ACAACAGAGATGCAGAAATAATAGTAAAAGGAGGTGGCGCACGAGCATGAGAAGCGCCTAGGACCTAGAGCCTAGGTGCGAGGCGCGAGGCGCCGGGAGCGCTGCAAGAAGGTAGGTGGATTCTTATTCGAAGGCGAGGGGAAATCGAATGACCGGGGACCGAGATGACTGTGCGCGTTACACGGGACGTGAACGTGAACGTGGAAGGAACGTCGGAAGGAGGGAAGGAAGGGATGGGACTCGCAGCCGCGGGTGGAAGGAAGGAAGCGCTCGTCGTGTCCGACTTAGTGTAAACACCGCGATAAGATCGCGTTCGTACGCGTGCACCCACACGACGAGTCGACGATAAATAAATCCATCTACTGGTGTAAAGCGGAAGAGCTCGAGAGAAGAATTCGAAGGAACGGAAGAGGACAACCCGTTCGCGTCTCCCATCGGCGAGTCGCTCTCTCCATCCATCCGTTCCTCCTCCGGCCAACAGTAGAGTACTATCGCCTTCGGCGCTTCCAAGCTTCACAATAAAATTGATAATCCCTCCCCAAACCCATGGCGATAATCCATGGCGATAATCCCAGTACTCCACTAGTCCACTAAAGACCCTCACCTTGATTTCACCTTGATCACCCCTCCCACCATCACCACTAATTATAATTGTACCACCACCACCAACAATTAATAGTCGTACTACTACTGCTACGTGTACTACTGCTACCCGCCCCAGGTACCTCCACCGTTCATCATCTCAGTCTGGAGGTACATCACCCGAACACGAACTCTCAATGGGATGGGTGATCACTTCCACGTTAACGTTCCATGGCTATTGCCATGTCCATGTTGAAAGTTAATTTTAACAAGACTCGAGTCCTTTCTGATTCTCCTCCTAGTTGAACATCCGAATTCGTGATATTGCCAAACAAATGAGTTATTAACGTCTGAGGCTCTGGGGTGTCAACGCAAAACTAAAACCAAAACTAAACCCGAAAACTTAAATACAGCCAGCCCGCGGCGGGGGTTTCATACAATTGACAGTAGTGATCACCACGACGGGGCAGGGGCGGTGCGCGGGTCGACCGTCGAGCGCTAAATATATCTTACCTTTACCATGTACGGCGTTATACGTTTTACTTGTCGGTAACGGGCGACGGGCGACGGGCGACGGTAGACAATATTGTATCTTACGACTGTAACTTATTATTAGAAGGGATGTGAGAGGAATCCTAGCGACTAGTTTGTTTTTGTTACTATACATGCAAGAAGTGTACGAATGGGCCCTCGACGCGTTGGTGTTCGTATGGTTCTTCGTCGCCGGCGAGGCGCTGGCAACGGGCCATTTCTCGAGGCGGTGCTTTTGGAGAGAGGAAGAGAAAGAAGGTGTTTGAGCGCTAGCGCGTCATCCGGTCGGCGAGAACACGTACAGTCGCGAAAATAAGCCTCGCTTGGGCTGCATTTGAGTTGAGGAGTTTGGATGGCTTACCATGGCGCGCGGCCGTGCCAATAAACGGGAGCAGTAGGTGCTCATAAGGTTTGGTGGGTGTTTGCTGTTACAGGTGACCGGGAAGGGGAATGGGATGACGCGCGAGTGGACGAAAAGAGAGGCTTCCCTGCATGGTGGGTGGTGCATGCGACGGCGTTTCGCGGCTATGCAGTCAGAGGCAGAGGCACTGACGAGAGAGGCATCTCTGGGCGTTAATGTTTGGCGTTCCAGGTTGCCCCTTGCTTATGTAGACTGGGAATGTATTATCTGTGCAGCCTGCTTATCGCCCGCTATCTACAAAGGCCCCGAGACTGGGTGGTTCTGGCGCGCACTGGGGAGGACGGGTGGCGCGCGCGGGTGGGGAGAAAGAAGAGGGCGCGTGGGGTGGTGGCCGAGTCGGAGGGAGAGGAGGACGAGGAGAGCGGGGGGAGCCAGGGGAGTGGAACGTGTTTGGGGGTGCAGGGGCCGGGGGTGGCTGGGGGCGGGGTCCCGGGGGCCGTGGTATCCCCTTTGGCGGCGATGGGATCTGGGGGGTGGCTGGGGTCTGTGTGGCAAACAAGTCGAGGCGAGATTCGAAAGCGACGATTTGAGGCTGCCTTATCGGGCGGTCGGACTCTCAGTGTGCGCCCATTGAAAACCCCAGCCCGAATGCAGGCGCAAAAATCCGACAACACAAAGCCGACCCTCCACACACCATGGACTCGCTCACATTCGACGGCTACGCTTCCTACTCTGACGCCTCCACCCCCCGCACTCCGTCCCCGACAGACATGCACTTCAACACGCCCCAAAAGCACGACATCGACCACACCATCCCCGCCCTCTTTGCAGACGACGACTCCTGCAGCGCCCCTGTCGTCGTCCATCCGGATGGCTCCTACTGGCCACCCACCTCCGCCTCCTCATTCAACTTCTCCAACGCCAACAGCACGCGCGGCTCGCTGCTCCAGGAGCTCTACGAGCCCGAGTCGCTCACCCCCGAGTTCCAACCTCAGGAGACCACCTTCCAGCAGCAGCAGCAGCACGCCGACTGGGACCCCCACGGCCAGCAGCAGCACCACCGCCCCGGCGAGTTCGCCATGATGCGCCGTGCCACCTTCCCCTATGTCCGCCACGACCGCGACGACGGCGCCATGCCCCTCCAGCAGTACCCCCCTTTCATGCCCTCCCAGCAGCACCACCACCAGATCCACCACCAGAACGGTCACCTCATGCACCACCATCAGCAGGAGAACCTCCTCCCCGCCTACTCGCGCCAGGACTCCATGGACGCTGCCTACGGCCCCGACAGCTTCTCCATGTCCTCTTCGCCACACTCGTCGTACAACGAGTTTGACGATGGCACGAACATCAAGCTCGAGGACAACTCGTCGAGCATGATCGTCCCCTCGCACCCCCAGCAGCAGCAACAACAGCAAAACTTCTACCGCCCGCACTCCAACTCGTCCGCCGGTATCGCAGGGCACCCCTCGCACCCGCACCACCCGCACCACTCCAACCACCCTTCTCACCTCTCCCACCACCCCAACCACCACCACAACGCGCACCACACAACCAACCTCCCCATCTCCTACGTCTCCCCACACACCGGCCTCCCCGTGCAGCACACCGACGACGCTGCCTCCAAAGAAACCCAATACCTCCGGCGGCGCTGCTTCAACTGCCACACCACCGAGCCACCCTCATGGCGCCGGTCCACGCTCAACCCGGGCAAGATCGTGTGCAACAAGTGCGGGCTGTACGAGCGCACGCACCTCCGCCCGCGCCCCCTCCGCTTCGATGAGCTGCGTGCGGGGAACAAGGCGCGCAAGGCGAGTAAGGGGCAGTTGGGCGTGAATGGAGCGGGGGGAGTGAATGGAGGAGTTAGCCCGAAGCAGGGTAAGCTACTGGTGAAGAAGGAGCCGCGCGAGCGCGAGTTTGGGCCGAGCGGCCTTGTGCGTCGGTCCTCTGTCTCATCGTCTGCGAGCTCGGTCCACTCGGGCAGCGGCGCGAGCGACTGGGACGATAACGGTGCGTCGCGTTCGCGCAAGCGAACCTTCTCTCCCATTTGTAAAACGAAGTACTAATTTCGTCTTATCCAGTGTCAATCTACTCCTCCGGCAGCGCCCCGCCCACATCCTTCAACTCGCCTGTCACGCACTCATTCCCGCTCTCGCGCGACTCGCAGAGCCCACCGCGCGATGGCGGGATCCGGCTGCCCAAGAACCCGCTCTCGGACATCGCATCCATGCACTCTTCCCCCATGCACTCCGCGTCTCCTATGCAGCACCCACAGGGTCTCTCCCCGCAACTCCTGCCCAACCAAACGCTCTCCCTCTCCCCACACCACCCCAACCAGACTCTCTCGCTCTCCCCACACCACCCCTCGCAATCGACGACGCCGCTCCTGCCCCCGAGGAAGGCGCACAGTTCCCCGGGCGCGTTCGGTGCAGGTGTGAATGGGTGTTATAGCCCGTCGTTGAATGCGTCGCCCATGCCGAGCGTGGCGGAGAACGCGGTGTGGAGTGCGGAGCCGGAGGAGCAGGGAGGACAGGAGCAAGCGCAAAGTAAGGCGGGCAGCCCGGCGTCTTCATGAGTTGCTTGAGCGAACTTGTGAGATGCGTGGTTAGCGCACGAGGGACGAGCAGCCGCTTCCAAAATTTGTTCAAAAATTCGACTTCGCCGTTGTATTTATTATTCCTCTTTGCCTTCGCATTGGTTTTCTTGCGGCGTGCCCTCGTCCTCGTCCTAGCGGTACCTCCTCTCCTTGCCTCCCTTTCTCTCCCTACGGCACCATCTTCCTACGACGTTATTTCCCCTCGCAGCTCGCAGGCCGACGACACATAACATACCCCAGAATACCCGCATACCCCTGCCCTGGCTTCGTCTCCGTCTCCCTCCTATTGCGCCCCTCCATTCCCTCCTAACTACGCTCCCACCCGCCCGTTTCCTATCCCTCCATACCACCTCCTATCCCGCCCACATGACTCCCTCCCCTACGTCCGTCGTCGTCCGCCGTCGGTTCCGCGCCTAATACGAGGTGCCCAAACCGCCTTCCACTTATTTACGATGCGCCATACTCACCGCTTGCCGCTTGCCGCCTGCGCCCATACTCTGCGAGCCCGCTCACTTACTTATATTGTTGTTATCTTTATCTATTTATTCGCTCTGCCCATACCCCCTCACCCATAACCCAACCCAACCCCGTTGTACAGGTACGCACGAATTCGAAAAAGCATTTTTTCCGTTTTTTAAGTTCATTGCCTCTATTGCCCTCTCCCTCTCGAGCTCTCTTACTACTACAACTTACTACCTACCCCACTTATCCCCCATTGTATATTTGATTTTTTATGCAATACTTGTTAGGCGTCTTGTAAAAACTGTGTGGAACGAACTCTGTCCTCTTCTACCCCTCGTATGTGTGTTGTTGTGAAGGAACTGTTAGGGATATGTACGTACGTCGTTTGACACGTTCGTAAAGCTACTACTACGAGACGGAGGACACTGTCACGTTTGTCGACCACATCGGAGCGCTGGAATGTTCCGACGGCGGACGGCCGACTTCCCGTGGGCGTTGGCGTGGGCGCGTGGACGCCCACACACGCGCACGCTCGCGGACTTTTTAGGATACGAACGATCGTTTATCGCGGACGCTCCTTTCTTTTATCCTTCCTTTTTCTGTCAATTTCTTTATCTCTGCGCTCCCTTGTCCTTGTTCCCTTTCCCTCCCAATATCCACCGCTGGCTAGCCACCAGCGCACGTATGTACAGACAACGCGCGCCTTATTTATTCGTTAGTTATTCGAGCGCTATCGCCCCACTTGTAAGTTGTTGTACCTGTACGAAATACATACAGTAAAACTCAATTCCCTTCCTGGACCTGGGTGTGGAGATTCTGGAGAAGGAGGATTCGATAGAAAAGAAAAGAATTCTAAATCCCATCCCTTGGCGCTGGATTTTGAGTTCAATTCATTAGCTGTCCTTCAACTTCCATGCATGGCCACTCTCGTCCGACATTTGATTCTTTAGCTTTAAATTTCTCCCTGACCTGCGCACTATTCATTCACTAAGTGATATTCGCACCGCGCGCCGTAAGAGGTCGTAAGGTAGAGTAGGTGTGGTAAGGTGGTAAGTTTGAGTTGTTAGAGTATAAACGTTATTCCATATCCATATTTCGCATTTCGCATTTCGTGTTCATCCCCATGTGCGCCCGCACGTACGTATAGGCACTAGGACTGTAGGTACGTACTCTCCCTATCGCCATGCACTGTACATAAGTACGTTTTATTGCAATTCCACGTTTCCAGGCAGCGTCGCTGGAATTGTGCCCCACATCGTATCGCGTGGCCATAATTCAGAAGGCGCGCCGCCAAACTCAAAGGCTGAGGATGAACCCCGTATCCTTGCCCGCCGCAAGAAAACTTCACGCCCCGAAACCCGAAACCCAGCGACGCAACGAATTTATCCCTATTCGTCTGTCTGTCTGTCCACCGACCGCCTTCAGCGTCCAGACTGTAAATTATAACGGTGGCCATGGCGCCAACCGTGGGCCGTCACTGGGCCGCCCGCCGGTCGTGGGAGCGCGTCCGAATCCTGAGGGTGAGTTTTATTCACCGATTCGCCGAAAAATGCAGAAGCAAGAAGCACACACCCAGACGCTTGACAATGACATGGAAGCAAGAGTGAGTTGAGGGGGAGATTTGAAAAGGCGCACGCCGCGCACGGAAAATGAGGTTCGTCAGGGAGCGCCAAGCGCCCGATGAAGTCGTGTTATTTTACGAGCGCGGTGTGCGTGTGCGGCTCCGGTCGCCGATACACTCACAGCACGATATGGGACATGGGGGTGGCCTCCTGGAGAGTTCCCTCCTTTCTTCTCAAGCGTTATATTCCCGAGCAGCAAGCCGAGTCCTTCCTCAGTGCATACACTCAGAGAGAGGGGCGGTTAGCTCGCCGAACTTGAATGGACCCACCCCCTCCCGACTTCGACTTCGACTTCGAAGCGCGTCGAAGCACTTCGGAGCACAATTGGTGCAGCGTCGCGGATCCGGCACAGGCGCAGGCGCGGGCGTTCATGTGAAATACGGAACGGGGTATAGGCTGAGGTTCGTTTGCGAAGAAAGGGAAAAGCTTCGTCTTCTGTCTTCTCAGCGCCCCTCGGGAGTGGGCAGGGCTGCCAACGAGGGAGGAACTCAAAAGGAACTGGGAACTGCGGAACTGGGAACTGCGAAGGTGCAGCAAGTCTAGACCCGTCATCGGGGAGACGGAGGCCGCTGCAAGAGTCCAAGTATGTGACTGGGACATGGTACAGTCATAATAACGTTCCCCGACACCGCGCCTTACGTTGGTACGCACTTGACAAATGGAGGCATTCATAGGAGGGGGCAAAAGGTTACGTTAAACAAAAGGCGCGGGAGAGAAAAAGGAGCACAAAGAGAGGAAGGAATTTCTCCGAAGAAAGAAGCCTAAAGAGAAAAGAAAAAACGCGACAAAGCGATCGTGAAAAAAACACGTTTCTCGACCCGCGCTGTGTAGCCGAATTCGAATGGGGACCTGGTCCTGGGCCGCCACATAGATATTGTATGTATATTCGAGATATATGGGGCAGCATTCACCGTATGTAGTGGGCGATCGCGAATCGGAAAATCGCGTCGGGCGACCGGGTGGTCGGGAATTGCCTTCTGGGGGAATTTACTACCAAAGGGTCATGTATCTGGAGCGATTTTTCCCCGCAGTCAGGCCACGCAGTTCCTTGGAAGGTTGGGAGGTTGTTGAGTACTTGAGTTGGTGAGATAGAGGCGTGATAGAGAGTGAGAGCACCGGCGGAGGACGCGACCTTCGATGGCGCCGGAACACCTCTGCTTCATGGTGGGACGCGTCTAGGAAAACTTCTTCCACACACAGACCGGCCGGGGTGGGAGGTGAATGACACGATTGGATCGCTAGAGATTAATGGGGAGCGCGACGGTACGCGCTGCGATGACGCAAAGCAGCGAAAGCGTACGTACATATTCAGCGATCTGGCGCGCGGCCCTGGCGATTGAATTCATATGGGCGTGCGACTCACCATCCGAGAACGAGAGCCCGACTCGGAGAAACCCACCGCGTCTAGGGGGATCGCCGTTTTCCCCGTTCACTCACCCTTTCACCGGCGTTTGGCGTTTGGAGTCTCACTTACTCTAAGTATCTCTGAGTCAGCCAAGACGAGCAGAGTCAGCAGAGAGCCTGTGCTGTACGGAAATGGTCTGCGAGGAGACTTGGAGCTTGGGAGACGGCGGCGACGTCTGGTAAGGTTTGGCCGTATGTGAACCGAAGTTTACGACTTACAAAAGGTTCTGCGGCTGCGCCACGAACTGCGAAGGCAGCCCTTCGCCGTACGCGTCCATGCAACCACGGTCCACCATTAAGGGCCGTGAAACACGTATTTGAGTGAGTCAGCTTTGCATGTTTCTTGAAGCTCTTTTTACGCCACTCGACGTTGACTTACCCAGTGCTCGCCTTCTGCCGTTGCGTTTGTTGCACGACGCAGCACGAGGAACGCCTTCGATCGTCTGTGTGCGTGCGTGGGCGGTCCGGCACAGGGTCGCGACGGCGATAGCGAGCGTTCTTCTCCGACGCATATCTCGCGCCTACATCTCCCAGTCGAAAGTCGAAAGCCTCTTTGTCTGTAAGTTTTCTTTTTCTTCCTCTTTGCAACACACATCTGCGAAACGCTTATCAGGCGGCCCCGCCTATTCGTCATGTCACGTAATTATCTCTGGAGAAGCGGCGCGGGAAGCTGAGTGCACTTAGGCGGGCCGAGGGTCGTCTTTTTTCCACTTCCTCTTTCGGTTGTTTTCCAAAAGAAATAGTCGGGGTGCTTCTGGAGTCCTCAGGGCCCAGTTAGGCTTCCTGGTCCTCCATAAACGGGTGCATTTCTTTATTCCCTAACACTATCGCGCGTGCTTTCTTCATTAAAGTGCACAGTTAGCCTCTCAGGGCGTCTACTCCCGACTCCAAAGCCAACCTACTATGCCCCGCTGCCAGCCAAACCGACCTCCAAAAACCTCCAGAGGAAGAAGGCGCGCCGCCCCAGCGTCCTAGCTATTCGTGACCTGAAGTCAGAGCTTGAATTAGCCGGAGGCGCGCTAGTGTGATTTAGGCAGCACTTGGACGCCCTGCAGCCTCGTGCCGTCAGGGAAGCTGCACTAGGAACGTCATGCGGGAAAACTGGCAGGGTCGCGGGAGATCGTCCGCCTGTCCCAGTAGGCTTGCGTGAGGCGCTCCAGTCACCCATCGGCACCAGGGAGCCGTCCTGAATAGTCTCGTAAAATTCAAGGCGGGATTCACGGTTCAAAGACTCGAATTTCGGAGAAGAAGAGAATAGAAAAGACGAAAGGAAGGCCCCTATTTTATGTACTTCAAGCTTCGGTGCGGCCGCATAGCTGGTAACGGGGACCGTCTGCCAATTCATGTTAGGTTGGGCCCGTTTGCTAGCCCTGTCGTTCTTGACGCTCTTCGTCCCACTTCCCGTCCTGGCCTGCTCGATGGCCCCCTCCTCGCCCATCCTTTCATTTCCCTGCTCTGTTCATTGCGAATTTCTCGACGAAACACCGTATTTTCACGTTAGACTCTCTCCACTCATGGAAGCTGGGAGTCCTAGGATGGACTTCAAGCTTCAAGTCTACATACCCACACCAACAAGAGAATTCTGGCGTGGCCTGTCTATCGCATTATGGGCCTAGTCTCGTACGATTCGACGGTGCTTTTGGTCAAAGGCGCCATTTACGCCTAAATGCAGCTCGGCAGGGGAAACTTTCAATACAGACAGCGGGCCTCTCTAGGCCCACGACCACCAGCTCGGAAAAGGTATGGTATTGGCATTTCACGTACCGTTACCCGCATAATTCAGTGACGATCGTACCCGTAGGGTGTGCCGTAACCTCTCTGCCTCGTCTTTTGGGTATACAGTTCACCCATACTCGACCCTAGGATTTTTATTAACAGGAATTAATGGCAGGATAATGCCACGAGAGCGCGTGATTGTGCCCACCTTCGGCGCTTTCTGGTGATTCGCAGCGCAGCGTGCTCGAGTATTCGTTCATATTACAGGAGCTCTTACTCATAGCTTTCGTACGCCTTTCCTCGGGTCCTGATCCTCCTGACGTCGATAGCGCCTATATTAATGAACGGAGGTGCATGCGCCAGGTCCCAGCGGGCCCGGACGGGCCTTGACACTCACAAACGACCGATGCAAGTTCGCGTCCTTGCTATCGCCCTCGGTCTCCTCCTCTCCTCGGACACTGTGTAGGCTCCTTTACGCTGTTAGTGACAGCGAGAATGGAGTGAAGGTGTGGTCATTTATTCACATTGCTCTCCTGTGAAAACCCCCTCCGACAGGTTGCATTTTCTGTTGAGTTTATTTTGCCCAACCAAAGATAGCGTCTGGCAGGAAATACGAAGTCACTCCAGTGAACATGATTTTTTGTAAACGCCTAACGCGTATTCATGATCCTCAGTGTCGAACACGCCTCAACCTCCCCGCGAACACCGACGCTTCCGCGCGAAGCATCCCACGGACCCTAACTTTTCGGAACCTTCTTCAAAATTGAATCCTCACGGAGTGCAGCCAGCGTGCAGATCCGGCTCCGTACCCTTTGACGGCTTCTAGTTGACTAAGACCCCTTCCTAGAGCGAGGCTTTATTAATAATAATATTAATTATCGTGGCCCGCCACATCGACGTCGAAGAAGCCTCAAGTTCATTTGAGGACTCGTACGCGGCCGTGGAGCGGCGAGGTCGAGGCGGGGTCGAGTCGCGTAGTGGGTGGTTGGTAGGGAGTGGCGTCTTGCCTACAAGGATTTCAAGAAGATCCAATGGATTTCTCTATTAGAAATAATCAGAGAGCGAAGGACAGGACCTGGCGTCATTCGGCGTACATGCGAAGAACGGACTTGCATGTAGTATCTGCCAAACAAGAAGTAATGAGGATTGAAGTGCCACAGTCGAACGCGAACTCACCGTAAGTGTAACGCCACCGTCCGGCGACGATTACAGAGCGCTGCGGAAGCCTGAAGTTCGACCGTGCGTTCACAAGCCTTGACGATTTCTAGCACTAGATCGTGGCGCATTGGGCCCGCTCAGCACACGATGGATCCATTCAGCGCGTCCAATTGCAAATCCATGACCGATGCCAGCTTTGGGGACCGTTCTTTTTCCCCCGCTGTTCCAATAAAAGGTTGCAAGTAGTCAAATTAATGAATAACACATGGGCCACTGAACCCTCCAGACTACCGTGTCAGCTTTTTTTGGATAGGCGTGTGGCATGTAAACAAGCCAATAGATAATGGAGGAAGCCTGGGGTCGACGTCAGCGCTTCAACCCTCGGGTTTTCACGTCGTACCACTGACATGAAAGGCCGAAATGTGTCGGAGTTCATCTCTTCGAAATAGTTACTAGACGTCCCTATTCTGAGCGATATTGTCAAGCCTTTCACGGGTACATACCCAAGCGGCGCTTATTTAAGTACGGCGATTAAATACAGAACAATATAATCTGAGATGTGAGTCTATGCGGTAATAAAACTCACGCAGTCAAGCTGAAAGGTTTTCTACTAGCGTGAAATTCCAAACCAATAAAGTCCGCATCGGCTGCGCAAGACGCGGTGCTCAGAATTGCGATCTCCGAGTAGGACCCCGCTCACCACTCTACTCATACAATCCACTGCGCCACACAAGGTTCAGCTAGTACCGTACTTGGAAGCGGCAGCACGCTGTCCTCCCGCTCCGTCCATTTCGGTGTCCTTACGTCTTATGAATAATACCCCTGTGCCCGTGCTTCTTCTCGACGTCGGAATCCGGGTCTCCTGCCTCGGAGGCAGCGTTTAATGAAGGTGAGAGGCTTCGCTCGAAGCATGTGTCTTACGTGCGCTTGTTTCGGGCTTCAGAGTGTCAATAAATTTTACTTACTGAGAATCTTTAACTTGCCGCGGGAGGTTCCTTCCTGGAAACGAGATGGGGATGCCCCTCGGCCACCCTTGAGAAATTCTTCGAGAATACCCTGCGAAAGGTGGTTTGCCGGCGCTTTTGGATACGCCTTGTATCCAAGCATATTCCCTCAACTTTTAGGCATACGAAAAGTCCCGAAGTGAGTTTCGAAATTTCCGGGGGATGTTTCCACCAATAGGAGGAAGCACTGGCAGAAGCGCCCTTGAGAGATTTAAGCGCCCTGGATCCAGGGCGCTGTTCCGGCCTCCGACTTCCGTATGGGTGCAAATGAAGAGATTGGGCTCTATTTAGAAATTCTTCCTCCAGCGATGAACCTGCGTTCCATCAATCGATGCGCCCACAGCGCCAGCTTGTAACAATAGGAACGATAGGAAGGGGAAATGCGGCAGTACGTGAAGAGGACGCTCACGGGCTTCTGGAAATTTGAACACTCCTCGTGGTGGGCGATAGCGAACTGTGGTCCGCTGTAGGCAGCGAGCGTTTGGATGACATGGGCGCCCATAACTTGCTGTCACGGTCTGGGCATATCCGATGACTGCGTAGTTATATCTAAGTCCTGCGCAGATCGATGCAACCGAAGTCGGAGAGCGGGTCTTATTGGAAATTTGGCATCCCCATTCCTTCTCACAAAGCATTAGCTATTGAGTCATCAAGAACAAAGCCGTGGTGTAGAATGAAAACAAGGCCTTTCGGCACCTTTGCGCGGAATTCGAAGCTCCCCACTCCCGCGAACCTTCGTATCCAGGCCGTATTAAACGCAAGCAGCTCAATTATTGCCTTTGTGCGTTATTAGGATGTTTCATTCATTCTTGACACTTAAATCGTGCCTAGTAAGAGGCTTCGAGTCGTTGTAATTGAGCACCCCGCAGTCATGGGTATACTTACGCAGGGACACAAAACAGGGACTCGGAAACGGCCCGGCGGGGACGCCAGAACAAAGCAGATATGTTTTCGAATTCTTCGACAAATCTCAAATACTTACATCACAAGGAGTCTCTTTGTCGGAGAGAGGGCCTTCCTTATTCTTTCTCCATGCCTTGTTTCCGCCACAGGGTCTTCGTCTTTTTTGCCGACTGGCAGCTGTCCACCTGTTGTGGATACTTATGCACCCTCGTTATAGACCGCCACGATGACATAGCGTGGCCTACTACGGTGTCTATTGGGGCGATAGGACCCTCGGTTGGAGCTTTTGACTCAAAAAAACCTGCATATCGGCTTGACATTCGGAAAGACAATTGTAGACTATCGCCTTATGGTACCATGATCCCCTTGGGAGTTGTAAGCTAGCAAACTCAGGCTTTAGCACGTCCTCCAATGCAAGTGACGTTGGTGTCTCAAAAACCCGGTGAACAGGCGCAAGAGATTCGGAGTCGTACGGGGATGGGTATGTAACTCCGATGAAGACGAAAGTTAGATAGCAAAGGGACCAATCGAGATGTTGGAGTGACTGAGTGTGCCGAGAAGCGAGAGAAGGTTGGAGAATGGCTCAGGACGCTCGTCGTAAGAACTAGTAGCGCGCCGCAAAGGCACACAGATGTATTTTGGTTATCGGTGTATCCGGGGATCCTTGAGGGTCGCGTCTTCACACACACACAACTACAGCATGTGTGTCCTACTAACTCGGCTTCCAATGACTACATATCGAGTCAGTAATATGCGAGGGAGCGCCCACACCGATTTACCACCTAGCTGGCATGAGGGCAGCGAGTGCAATATTTTGGTGTGGAGGTCCTGCGAGAGGCAGGGCGAGTCAACGGATCGGAGGCTGCCGTGGATGTGCGGACTTTCTGGGTTAGATCCAGCTTCACGCCCTTGGTAAACCCATTTCAAGCACTTTCGCCAATTGGGACTGACAAGGAACTGTTCTGCGGAAGTATTCTGGAAGACAAGCGCCTAGATCGGGAAAGGTAATATCGAGAGGCTGGCCACGCGAAGAGCAAACAACAAACGTGGACTCTGACAGACCGTTCTCGTGAATCTGCGTGCATGAACCTGGACATACCCAATTTCGGAAGGACAGAGGAACTGCAGCGGTTGTGCCTGGATCGTGCGCTCGGAAACGAGCGCGAAGAGTGGAAAAGTGTGACATATGGCAGCATGGACTTCCCTCCTCGAGGCTACGGCTTCTTCCAGAGACAATAGGCTGGCGGAATAGACGATCATACTGTATGAGTAGGGGACGTCCCAAAATAGTCGAGCCAAATAGCAGTAATTGGCTGAAGACGACATGGATGCCTTCTTAAATGGCCGTCAAGTACAGAGCTCAAGTCAAGTTTTCAAGGATAGTCAAGGACAGTTTGCTAGGGTAACTGGGTTTTGGGATGTCAGCTACGACGAAGAGACTGGCTTCCAGAATGAATCGGGGTGAGCGCCAATTTGATATGATACGCCGCCATTAGGTTGGCACCCATTGAGGAGTTGAAGGACGCTCCAGAGGAAATGAAATTAATTCCTCCGTGTCGTCCATGAGGGTTCGATAGGCGGACGCGAAACGTTCATTTTGCCATGAAATGAAGGGTCTGGAATCGAAGGTCCATTGTTGCTGTCTCAACACCCGAGCACGCGCATTTGAAGTGGGCCCGCAAGACGACATCCAAAGAAGTCCACAGACATCTATTCCCGTCAGAAAATTTCCCGACTCCAATGCAGGTAGACGACGGCTGGAATAGAGTAGAAATCTGTGCTCGCCCGCGAAAGTTAGCCCATGGAACACGTTCGAGCGCCCGAGCTGCTCGGGAGAAGCGTGGAATAGTTATATCTGACGTCTGAGAAGCAGCGTGCGTGAAGAAAAGGTGGCCAGGGGCCACGGAGCAAGAAGAGCTAATCTAATCAGCGGGTATACTCTTCATACCTGCTCCATCTATGTCGTATCTGGCAGAAGTGACGACAAAGCCAGTCTAAGGAACTTTCCTGAATGAGCTGTCCGTGTGGTCCTGCCGGCGTGAAGAGAATGGCCTAATAGCGTACGAAGCTGAGGATCACATTTTCTGCTTCTCGAGCCGAAGATTTTTCCAATTCGCTATTCCGCTGCGGTAGGAGTTCTAGGATGTGAGCTGCGAGAGCAATTCGGCGTGAGGTTAAAGAGATTGGACTTGACCGCACCTTCGCAGGTGCACACCCTTGGATTCGTAGTTGCCACGGATGGCTGGAGCGGACCAAGTGTGTACGTACCCACAGTATAATGCAGTATCCAATGGCAAAGACCTTAGACGCTTCTTCGCCGCGAGGTTGGACCTGAAGCCCGACGGGCAGAGTAAAAGTGTCAGCGAATAGATAGAGAGGGTATTTGTTCAGAGAATAGCTTGGAAAAACTTTTTCATCCCCGTAGTCTAGTTGCTACAAAATTAGCTATAGATTCCTCCGGCCGGCGGGTAGGACGGAAAATTGTCAAGCCGTTCCATAGAACTTTAATGCAGTCATTGTCGAACATTGGCGCCGGAGGAGCCACCCCACCCCTTGAGCCCTTCAAAGACAAGGTCCTCCAAGTCGTCTTCAATGTATGAAAGGAGGGCTGCCTTCCGGGGAGGATGGTTTTGGGGGCCTTCCGTCCGCGTTGGGGCGACCTAACGGCCACCTGCTGTGCATCTGTTTCGTAAATGTCAGCTGGATGCATTACAGTTCCAGATTCCAGAAATACCAAGGCGTGAGATAATAGGCCGCTCGCGTGTCCTTCTTTGAATCTGCTTACCAGAAGACGTACGTGGGGCGCCTTCAAATGAATTGTGCCCAGCGCTGTGGATGCGGCTAGCGATGTCGTACCCCCGTACTGGAGAAACCCCATAGTCCCCCCAACTTTCCCATGGACGTTCGCGTAGTAGTTGTTCCCTCAAGCTCCAAGGGGAACTAAGGGTAAAGCTCAGCATAGTGCACAGAACTGAAATAAGGTTTTTCACTGAGCAAGATCAAGCCGCGGCGCGCGTCATCGACATCCTGTTGGAAACCCTCTTGTAAGGCACCGATTGAAGAAGACTTTCCAAACAAGTGAGATGCGAGGCGGACTGGAGAAGGAGAAGAAGCAACAGAGAGTTCCCGAGATCTAGCTATTTTCGCGCGAGATGTTGGAGCAAACCTCTCTACCGCCGAATTCCCGTGATCCAGACCGCAGAAATGTCCATGCCATTGCCACTGAGCTTCCCATGATGAAAGCTTGGCAGTTGTCAGAAGAGGTCTAATTGACGTTGGCGTTTTACGCGTTTTAAATTGAGCAGTCGGCAAGGTCAGGCTCCTCTTCAGTCGATTTCAGTCGCGAGGGCACGTGGAGCTCTGCGGTTGTCCCAAAAGCCGTTAACCGTACAAAGTACGAGGTATTGAAGAGCACCCAAACAAGGGTGACGCCATTCATGATTTATGGCCAAAATTCTTACGCAGCCCAAATGCACCCGCCGCTATCTGTACCAAACGATAAGGTCGGACGAAGAGGCGCCCAAGGTCAAATCATAGTAATGTGCCAAGGTGTGAGGGCGGCGAGCATTGTGGTAATGAGTCAACAAAGCTTCCGAGTACACTGGTCTACGTACAGATTGCAACAAGTTCAAGGCTGGGTGGCGAAGTATGATAAAGCTGTCAATGTACATATCATAAGTGGGGACTCTGAAACGCAACTATAAATGTACCATATTGTTCTGGCCAAGTAGTCCCCACAGCTCGTTTGGCGAACCTTCGGTGCACAGCTTTATTACAATCTTCGACAGGCTTCCATCCCATACAGTTGTTGGTCCCAATCGGCAGTGACAATGTTAGATCGACGAGCTGAACGGAGTAAAGGTAGTGCGATCTGCGATCATAGGACAAGGAGACATCCCTGCGAATATTGGGCCTTATCGAAGGAAATATGCCATGCGGTTAATTTCGAGTCGAGTTGCGAACCATCCTCCTGTCACCCCTACTGCAGGAAAATATGCGAAGGGATGACAACAATCACGCCATTGAGGCTGAGGAATGCCGGTATTTCGCCGTCGTCTTGAAACGCAAGCCTTGAGCATATTTGAGCGCCCATGTCCTGGTCGCCTGGCAAATGACCACGTTTTCGAACCCAGCGCATTCGTTTGAAGTCATGCCGTCGATTCAAGAAGGTCATCTGTTGTCATCGCCCATGCTCAAGATCCACAATATCAAGAGTGCGTGCCGTGTGTGCCGAACGTGTGTCCTCATTGCTCTTCGCGGTATTTGGCAAGAATTTGGAGACGTATGAGAGCCCAGCTGCGGCGATTCTTGTGCCAATCCACTGAGCTAATGACACGCCGGGTAATAGGCCCATGACATCCTTGATGTCCCAGATGTCACGATGGTGGGTTACGAGGCCCTGCTCGTTGAAGGAGAGGCGGGTGATGACGCGTAGCTTGAGGTGTAGAGGCGATGGAAATGATAGAGATGTTCCGGGAATGGGTAGAGACGGGGAAACAAAAGGGTGGTGGTGCGAGGGAATTACTGGAGAGCCATGAATATTCACCAGAGACTCCGTGGAAGAGTTGATCCTATGCGATATGGGTCCTTCACAGTGGATGCCGGGTAGAAGGAGAATGTTGAGCGTGTGTTCGACAATCACCTTGCGATGTCCATCTAGGATGGAATGAATACGAGTTTCATGTTGGAAAACCTATCGAGTAACTTACCAAAGGATTCGTTCTCACAGACGTCTAGGATATCAGTCCAAACACGCAGTGCCTTAAATAGGTGATCTTCGGATCCAAGGTTTGGTGGACGAAGGCGGAAGAGGATGCAAAGCATCGCGTATGGCTTTGGTACATCGATTGCGCTCAGCTGGCGGGACAGTTTATGAATATCACTTATGACAGAGCGCGAGGTCGCTGTGACGAATGGATTCTCGTAACTTGTTGAACGTCAAAATCAGGCTCACTGTGGTCGAACAACTGCACTTACACTGGCAGGGAGATGAGAAACAAATTAATCCTGGATATAGCAGGCAATTTACTCACTGGCATTGGCTTCATAAAAGTCATCTACCACCTCTGCAGCAACTGAACTCTCCCCATACACTGAGTAGCAGACGTCAAGTGCCGTCATTCGAGTGGAAATCATGGACAAGTCGGACGATCTATCGTGCACAGACTGCGTTGGAAAGGGTATCGCATTTGGTGAAAACGGCGCTGCCGAGCCCATGGCCAATTATTGGAAGATGAAGAAAGGAAGGAAGTGAGGAGAAAGAGAACTCGTTCGCATCAGATTCACTGTTTCGTAAGGCCCGAGTGACAGATAAACACGTGGTTGAAGACTTGCTGAAGACGAACAAAAACATCGAAAGTCTTCGCATTTGTCGATGAAATAATCAACAACTTCGACCGTCTCGAGCACAAACCATTGGTAAGGAGTGGTTTTCTCAATGAAGAAATGTAAGGACCCTGATTCCGCTGCCAGAGTGGACCCTGGAAGGCAACTTTGTGACAAGATTGCATCATGACTATGTGGGTCGCAATCTATCTGGTCACGAAAATTTCTTTGCTCAACTCTACACTTCGGGGATGGTCAAGGGCTCCCAGCTGTCCCAGCTAAAGGCTGCTCTCTCAAATTCTGGAATTACAGGCTCTGGTCACAGCAAGAAGAGGAAACGCGCTGCACCACTAGAAAAGGACAAGGAGAAAAGAGCAGCGAAACTCGAAGAGATCCATCGACGGCTCAACCCTTTCGACGTCAAGGTCACGAAATTGAAACATGATGTTGGTGGACGGAGGCTGAAAGGCATAACTGGGAAGCCTGCTCAAAGCAAGCAAGCGGGCATCGAGCAGGTTCGATTCAATTGCAAGGGATTGAGATGCCCATCCTGAAGTGCTCTCTTTAGCGAAAGAAATCTCTATTAAAGGAGTGGGAAGAGAAGGATCGTGCCGGCGGAATTGTCGACAAACGATTTGGTGAAAATGATCCTACTATGAGCCTGGAAGACCGTATGTTAGAGCGATTCACGAAGGAAAGGCAGCGCGCGTCCAAAGGAACCACCTTCAACCTCGAGGATGAAGACGATCTGACTCATTACGGCCAGAGTCTATCTAAGCTCGACGATTTCGACAACGCTGGACTCGGATTGGGCAGCGACGAAGAGGGAGAAACTTCAGGTCAGTTCTGTTACTGTGCCATCAATATTGCCTGAACCTAGCCCTTCGTCAGGACAAATTGGACGAGATCTTGTCAGCAAAACTCATTTTGGTGGGTTTGGAGACGAAGACGTGGATGAAGACGAGGAAGAAGGGGTACGCAGCAGCTTTCAATTGCCGTGTGTAGATTCCTGACGAATTGTTCATTTGCACGTTAGCCTGCCCGCAAGAAGTCGAAAGCTGAAGTTATGGCCGAGGTCGTTGCAAAGAGCAAGGAACATAAGGTAAATTCCTCTAAATTCCCCTTCCTATCAGATCTAACAATTATTTTCAGATGCTTCGCCAACTTGAACGCGATCGAAATGATAATGTGCGGCATGAACTCGACGACCAATTTGCTACTCTGCGGGAATTGATTTATGCCCCCGACCCCTCGTCAAGTGGCAGTAACTCAATACCTCTGGGTGTACGCGAACCAGCCGTAGGATCACCGTCCGAAGATGCGACAGATTCCGTCGTCGCGAAACTGTTGCCCGAAGGCGACGAATATGATCAACACGTCCGGGAACTGGCGTTCGATAAACGTTCAAAACCGAAAGACAGAACAAAGACAGAAGAAGAGCTCGCATTGGAGGCGAAGGAGACACTAGAAAAGGCCGAACGGAAACGGAGACGACGCATGCTAGGTTTGGATGGGAGTGATAGTGAAGGTGAGACGGGCAAGCCGCGAGGCAAACGGAAACGAGGAGCAGACGACTTGGAGGATGACTTTAATGGCGAGCTGGGCGAGTATGATGGCCTGGAGCTTGGTGCAGGGTTGGAAGAGAAGGTTGAAGATTCAGGAGAAGGGGATGAGGAGGGTTCAAATGAGGATGAAGAGAATCCAGATGAAGGACCTGAGGAAGACGAAGACGGCGGGGAGAGCGGAGATGAGGAATCGGATGATTCGGAACGCGAAGAGGGAGAACACGAACAACTCGTTGCTACATTCAAAGCCTCAAAGGGCAAGTCTCAAGGCAAGAAACTGGCCAAGCAAGAGCTCCCCTTCACATTTCCTTGCCCCGAGACCCACGAGGAGTTTCTGGACATCGTGGAAAACGTGGACGATGAAGACGTGCCAACAGTTGTTCAACGAATACGTGCGCTCCACCACACAAGCTTGGCTGCCGACAATAAATTCAAACTTCAAGTGGGTTTTTTTATTTTTTCAGAAATCCTATTTCTCTCATCTCATATTTGGCTAGAATCTGGTAACCGTGCTCATCGACCACATCCTCTATATATCATCTCCCCCTACTCCTCGCTATAGTCTTATTTCCTCACTATTCCCCCATCTCCTTGCAATCACTCGCGCATATCCAATACCAGCGGCACAACATTTTAACGAAAAACTCTTGCTGATGCACAAGAACCTGAAGCGTGGTATCTCGCGAGGCTCTCTGTCACCAGAGACGAAAACATGGCCTGGATCCTCCGAGCTATCCCTGTTCCGTGTAATTGGTCTCATTTGGCCGACAAGTGATCTCAATCATGCAGTTGTTTCTCCAACGCGAATCCTATTAGGCGCCTATCTCAGCCTATGTCGTGTCAGATCGTTGCAGGATATAGCCTGCGGTCTATTCGTGTCCACTCTTTTCCTTCAATACGAGACGCTGTCGAAACGGCTGGTCCCAGAAGCGATCAACTTTCTAGTGAATGCCGTTCTGCATCTCGCTCCGCATGGATACGAAGATGTAGCCTCAATACCAGGCTCATTCCCATCGCCCGACTTCAAATCGGAACTTTGTCGCCCGCTTTCAATGAAGGCTAAGGCGATAAAATACCTTGTTTCTCGGAAGGCCGAGCTATCTTCCCTCATGAACGCGGATGACGATGACGAACAGGCCAAAGCCGACCTTCTTTCGCTTTCTTTTGACCTTCTCGGCCTATACGCTGATTTGTACAAGGGGATCGAGGGATTTATTGAACTGTATGAACCTATACTAGCAATCTTGGATGCCATCGAAACCAAATATCTTCTCGAGCAACACAATGTCGGTGATTTTCTCTCCTCATTAGCGATGTATCTGGCTAATTTCTTCTCCAGACTCGATTGTCCAAGCTGACAGACTCTCTTCGCCGTTTGCTGAAGTTCTTTCACCAGGCACGCAAGCCCCTCCTTCTCCAAGCACATAAGCCCATCCCTATCCCCACATATATACCGAAGTTCGAGACTTCTAACTCGAGTTATCTACGCCGGCAAGACCCCGACCACGAGAAGAACCAGACCGCGAAACTGCGGAATCAGTACAAGCAAGAGAAGAAGGGTGCCATCAGAGAACTTCGGAAGGACGCGCGGTTCCTGGCGAGTGTGGAGCAGAAGAAACAGGTTGAGAAGGATCGGGCGTATAATGAGCGCATGCGGAGGGTATTCGGGTCCATTGAAGGCGAGAGGGCGGAGGAAAAAGCAATGGAAAGAGAAAAGTCTAAGGAGAAGAGAAGGGCAGGTCGAAAATAGGGCTTTCCCAGACATTTGTCTTCATCTGTCTTCGCGCACTTTTGAATGTTATATTCTTGCTCTACATATTATGGGAGGGAGGTTGATCGTCGACGAGAATTAAATTTGACGCGTCGTGACCACGTGACGGTGAAACGCGGTCCGGATTTGGACTTGTAATTTAAATTCAGACTAATTCAGAGCACGACGCTTTCTAACCCTTCAAGTGGCCCAACTCTCATCGTCTCTCGCGAAGATTAGAGATTTTCGCGAATGACCCATTGTTCATAGCCCAAAAACTGCTTGGAGGGCGCTGGAAGACTCACTATGAACAACACCCCGCCCTCAACACCATTTCCCGTCCCAGGTTTCGCTGGGGCAGACAACAATGCCAGCCCAGCAGAATTCCTCAAGTTCCTGCGGTCTCTCACAACCCAGTACCTTGGGGACAACTCTCCCCGGATTCTCGCTGCAAATAAGGCCGCATGGGTGACAATAGTCAATGGGCTGACTGATCACTTCCTCGGTTCATTCCCGCTACCCGACATTGTATCGTGGAGCGCCATGCAAGAGAGAGTCGAGGTTGCAGAGGTAACATTAGAAGCTATAAAGCGCGTCTTCGAACGCGTAGAAGGCATATACAACGATTCGGAGGAACTCGTACGAAAGCTGTTTGCAAGATTGCTCGATCTGTGTCGGGTACTCGACGTATGGACAGAACCAGAAGTTGTTTGCGAGGAAGCCATGTTTTCACCAGCACATATGAAGGAAAAGGTCTCCCTTCTTCTCATCGCGGTTCTCCGTGGTCTTGGTGATAACGCTCCAGCTCCTTCAGAGCAGCATTCGGCCTCATGGAAGGTACTGCGTGAAGTCTTGGTGGAATCCCTCGGCGTTTGCAACGGTAAGCGCCTTCGTCAGGAATCCGTAAACCGTGCGTTGACTTTCCAAGATCTCATTACACCCTTGACACCTCTTACAAATGTTGCTGTGGTCGCTCTTTTTGGAAAGCCGCGAATTCTTGTTGCTAAAGATGATCCCGAACTGGTCGGTCATTGTATCACTCGTTTGTCGGCGGTCGTTTGATTTCATTCAGGAGGTAGAAGGAAATGCGCTGAACATAACTATCTTCCCGCTCTCGCGAATCGCCTCCTTTTTGGTTGTGGTGCTAGAGGTTGTGGTGCAAGTAATCGTCCTTCCTCTCAAATGCCAGTGGTTCTTAGCAGATATCCGTCGAGCGGTAATCGAGCTTACGCGCTCTCTTTTCACTCATTTGACGGACTCCAGTTGTCCAACTACCTCTACGCTTCGGACTGCGTCGATCTTGAGGACACTTTCGGTAACAGCGCCGCTGCGTCAAATACCTGAATGTCGGGCAGCTTTAGGCTGTCTTCCAGAATGTCTCCTTCAGTTACGCTTGGGTTCTGCGCTGAAATTAGATTGGGATGTGGCCGACCGTTCCCTTGCTGCCATTTTCGCAAAGGAACAAAATTTACCAGTCTCACGGGCAGTGATACAGGCTATATGCTTCAAAATGGCAAATTATCACTGGGACGCTCCTGACAAAGAATTTTTGGTGCGTTCGCATAGTTTCAGAAATGTAGCTCTGCTCAACGTAATCAGGGGCTCTTGTGGGCGTTTCTTCGGAGCGCCCTTCCGCAGCTAGAAACCACCCTCCTCACGACATTGCGAGAAACTATGGAATCGGTTATCCCCAGCCCAGAGCGTATATCGTTTCTTGAAGAGCTTTCGAAATATCCACAAGAGCATGAAACTTCCAACAAATCCAAAGCAAATGAAGGAAGGTTAATCATACAACCCCATGTATGGCGTCAACGGGTGCAAGACAGTGTTCAGGACATCATATACCCCGATGTATTATCGTGGATGGACGATGACGAGGGCTCATCTGTTCCTGACTTATGTCAGAGATCGCTCTATGAAATCCAGGTTAGATTCGAACAGTATGTGTTTGGCTTCGTCCAAGGGAAAACAACCTAATCGACCTATAGACGACCTTTACAATCAACAACGGCCATTGCTCGCTCTGGTCTCTTGGAACGAATCTCTGCACTACCGTGTCTCCTCGCCCAATGTGACCAATCTAACTGTTTGGAACAAAATGGCAATAACCAATACATAATGGCGCAAGTCTATGTTCCATTGGTCTCGCGCCTCCTGAAAGGCACGGATGACGAGGTTACCGTTGAAATCCGTCGCAAAACTTATAGTGCCCTCTCGCACATCTTCAAGCACCACTCCGGAACGCAAGACCTTACCCTGCTGTGGGGCTTGTTGCATAGAGGCTTGATCGACCCTGACCGCAACGTTCGACTCAGTGCCGGGTAGGGTGCTACCACGGACAAGATAACAATGCTTCTTACGCCTTATACCCGTCAGATCTGCTCTCAGTAGTCTTGTCCAACTGTATGGCACACATGGCAAAGAAGGGTACGATGTTACCGAACCTATTTTCGCACAACTATACCAGCAATTCGAAACATCAAAAAATCCTGTCCGAGAAACGTTGCTCCCCGCCGTGGGTGCTATGGGAAAGTAGGCAATATGCATTTTTCGGTTTGATTCGAAGCTGACTGGGCAAAGGACAAATAATGCAGGCATTCTTGGCCAAGTACTTTGTCTCCTGATTGCGCAACTTGGGCGACAGAACCCTGTTATTAAAGGAATGGCCTGTATGCATGTATGTTTTCTCTCTTTCTATTGACAACAGGTATAATTTAATATTCGAAGATCCTCGCCATAGCAAAGTATCACAACAAGACACCCTACTCACTCGTGCTACCTTACTTAGATCAGGCCGCTCCTTTTATCATCCAACGTCTACCAATGCAACCGGTTCTTTTAACTGAAGCCTGTAGGCTTATGTCGATTGCCCCCGCCGATTTCATTATGATTACCCTGCCGCACACGTTGCCTGAAGTGTTTGCAACAGGTGATCAAAAGGTTCTGGATGCAATTACCAAGGAATTGTCCACCAGAGCCCCAGCCTTGCTGCTCAAGCACTCGCATACAATCCTTGCACACATATTCATGCTTCGTAGTCAATCGGCGACCACCAAAGCTCTGAACTTCGTTGTCAAAGTTGTCAACGATGCCTCAAGATCGAAGATTGACATCCAAAGCATTGTCAAAAGTTGCGTCGTTCCTCTTCTGGCTGAGTTAGTTATGGTCATGGGTGATGATAATCAGGACGTCGCTCGACAGGTAAGGTAGTCACTTGTGAAGAAATAGCTTATTAATGATTTCATAGGGAGTTGCCGCTTTGAAGAAGGTCGAAGGCGTTTTAACTTCCTCCAACAATCTTTCTCCAACGCCTGATCTAGGAGGGTTTCTGAAAAATTATATGCTAGGCCTAATCTCAGATATCAATGACATATTACAGGATGTCCAAGGAAAGAAGCCTCTGGCTTTGAAGCAAAAAATCCTCAGAAGTTTAGGCGCACTTGTGGAATTGATAGGTCCAGCAATTAACAACGTTGCTCCGCAGGTTAGTCATGCATTTCCTTTTTTCGTGCTGTTTCCTTTTTGACTGACTACCTTGCAAAGATTATGGCGACCTTTCAGACGATGGTCACCATACCAGAACTCTCCGAAGTCACTTTAGAGAGCTGGTACAAGTTTTTGACCACGCTAGCACCCACGGAACTTGGGTCGCATGTTGGCCCAACCAGTGCCGCCTTTGTCATGTCGTGGCCCGCATTTTCTACACACTGTCGTGACATCGCCGTTCAAACCCTGGAGTACATTCTGTGCACAATGGGTGAAACCCTGAACCTCTACTTGAACGACGTTGTCGATCTTTCAGTCATTGATGAATTGCATCCACTTGCCGACCAGCTAAAGGTTCTCCGAGGAAAATCATCGCCGAAGGAGGAAGTCCTTAGAATCTTGAAGCAATCCTCAAGCGACAACCTGGCCGTTGCAATGCAGGCTCTGCGGGAGTTGAAGAACTTCATGATGAAAGACCACAAAGATTTCATTCGCCAAATAACATCTGGAGATGCCTTCGATCCCTTGGTCGGCCACGTATTGAACGCGCTCTTCTCTGCCGCCTGTCGGGACAACGGAGATGGCACTGAGAGCCTTCGGCTTTTGGCCTTTGAGTGTATCGGGGTTCTAGGTGCTCTAGATCCGGATCGTTGCGAAATAAATTATAGAAATACCAACATGGTCGTTCTCAAGAACTTCACGGATGACGTCGAGTCCATTTTGTTTGCCCTTCATCTCATCCAGGATCTCTTGGTCAGCGCATTCCGATCCACTAGCGACATCAAATACCAAAGCCATCTCGCTTACAGTATTCAAGAACTCTTGAAGTTTTGTCAGTTCACTCCAGCACTAGTTGCGACTGTTGGTGCTGGTTCTATATCTGTCAAAATTCGCAACAGGTGGAACAACCTCCCCAAGCACGTCCTCGAAACTGTCACGCCTTTGCTGGAAGGACGCTTTACATTGAATCAAAGTACTACCGTGGCAATCCAGCACCCTGTCTACCCGACACAGTCAACATATCGAGAGTGGATTCAACTGTGGACGACTCATCTCATCAGCCGGGTATCCGGTAAAACCGCGCAGAGGATCTTTGGCGTTTTCCGTTCTGCTGTTCGGAGTAAAGATGTGGTCGTTGCCCACCACCTTCTTCCTCATTTAATCTTGAATATTCTGATATCGGGTGACGATGACGACGCTCAGGCAATACGCACGGAAATGTTAACCGTTCTTGAAGATCAGGTCGACATAGAAAGCAATTCAACATCGGACAAAAAATTGCTGAGCGCCCAGGTATTTTTTACTCGACTTAAACTGATGTAATGACCAATTTTCTTCTTCCAGGCTGTCTTCATGCTTCTCGACCATCTGAATAAATGGATTCGTGTCGTACGACAGGACATCAACTCGAAGAAAAACGAGAGCAAACGAGCACGACCAGAGCGAATCAGTTTCCAGATAGAAGACCAACTGCTGCGACTGGACTCTATCCTCTCCAGCATCGACCAAACTTTAATGGCCAAGGCTGCATTCCAGTGCAAAGCATATGCCCGCTCCCTCATGAGCTTTGAGCAGCAGATTCTAACCCTTCAAGAACGCAAGGCCAATCCGAAAGACCTTCAGGAATATTACGAGAAGCTGCACGAAATCTATTCCTACTTGGACGAGCCCGATGGGATGGAAGGCATTTCTACCTTGATTTTATCCCCTTCTCTAGAGCATCAGATTCGAGAGCATGAGAGCACCGGGAGGTGGACATCCTCCCAAAGCTGCTGGGAAGTTCGTTTGCAAGAATCACCTGATAATGTAGAGTTTCATTTAGGATTGCTTCGCTGCCTTCGAAACCTAGGGCACTACGGTAGGATGCTTCTTGTTCGAACGTCATGCACACAGCTGAGAGGCCCTCTCAGACACCTTGCGAACGCATGTCACTGGTGTATTGACCAGACATCCGGAATGGGAAGGCGTTCTATCTGGATTTCAAGTCGAAAGTGCCTGGATGGTTGGAGCTTGGGACGACGTTCAACGATTGGCAGGTCGCGTCGATGCACCGACATCATCCATGGTGATAGCTCGTGTGCTTTTAGCCATGCGGACGGAAGATGCAAACAACATCACAGAAGCCTTGGCCCAAGCACGAATTGTAATGGGCGCTCCTATTACCGCGTCCGGTGTCAAGGGATATCGTCGTTCATACGAAGCCGTGTTAGATTTGCACATGACACATGAGCTCGAGGTAATCTATAACATCGCTTCCTCACTTCCTCCTGGCTCGCAGAACGTCATCAAGCAAGAACGTCAGCGGGCCATCCTAGCATTGTCGAAGAACCTTGCGGGTCGATTGGACTTTACCCTTCCTACGTTCCGCATTCGAGAGCCAATTTTGAGCATGCGACGGACTGCATTTGCACTAGTGTAAGCACTGTTCGCCGTCCGTCCGTCCTACGGAGCAATTACTGATGCAATTTTTTTTTCTAGCAAAAACCCTCGTCTTGGATTAGGTAGAGAGATCGGAAAAGCCTGGCTTGCCAGCTCCAAGATTGCAAGAAAGGCCAAGCAATGGCAAACGGCGTATAGTGCCACCCTTCAGGCCCAGCAAGCCAAAATGCCATGGTCATTTATTGAAAGTGCGAAGCTTCTCAAAGAAACGGACCACCTACGAGCGTTGAACGACTTGGAAAGCTCGACAAAAATGCTTGGGCTTTTTGATGACGTTGTTGACCTCACCACAGATGCGGACTGGGAGAGGATGAAAGCCAAGGTATTTGACCTGACAAGTCCAGTGAGAATTTTTGATGAAAATGACAACGTAGATTCAAGTCATACGAGCTCGTTGGATGCATGAGACGGATAGGTTCGAAATGAGCGAAATTTTCAGTATGCTTCAGGATGCTGCAGGGTGGCAGAAAGAGTAAGAATTGTATTCAAGTCATCATATCATTGTTTCTAATCGGTGCGCAGGTGGGAGAGTGGGCACTACCACCTGGGTCATTTTCACGACGAATGTTTCAAGGGACTATCGCTTGCTGACCAAAAGACGAGGTAGACTCCTGTATTACTAACATCATCCCGCCCTGAAACTAAAACCCTGACATCAGAGGCTTGAAGATGAACTTCTGGACTGTTCGTTCGTTTTCAAGAGCCATCATGCATGGCTCCAAATACGTGTATCAAACCGTACCGCGGTTGTTGACTATCTGGTTGGATATGGGCGAAAACAAGATCGCGTGCCAGGATGACAATTTCAAGAAAATGACGGACAACGTGTCGCGATGCTTCCAAGAGGCACCTGTGTTCAAGGTGGGTGTGAATCCCCATCGTCCGCTTCTTCGACACACTCAGTCATGCTTGTGAATAGTGGTATACCGCCTTCCCGCAAATCGTCTCTCGGGTAGGCCACGAGAACCCTGAAGTGTACAGAATTCTGGCGAAGTTGATCGTCCTCGTGCTCGAGACATATCCCAAGCAAGCCCTATGGCTGTTTACTGCGGTCGTAAAATCTACCAAGTCGAACCGAAAAAACAGGGGCAAAACTATCCTCAACCAACTTCGGGTACGGACCACTCAACCAGGAGGGAGTTGTAGCTAACACGTCCGCAGAGCAACCCTCACAAGTCAAGAGAACGGCTATCCAAACTAATCGGTGAATCACTTGCTATGACAGATGAGCTGTTGGCCCTGTGCGATTCACATGTAGACGATAACAAGAACACGCTGAGCATGGCGAAGGACTTTCCGAAGCTCAGTAGCCTCGGTCGTTCTGATTTGATTATACCACTGCAAGAATCGTTAATTGCGACTCTGCCCCCTGCGTCTACTGAGGACTCGAAGCACCAGCCTTTCCCTGTGGATGCTCCAACATTTAATGGTTGGTTGTTCTACCTGTTTAATCTCGTTGCGCCTGACCCTTTTTTCGTGAAGAATTTGCGGATGAGATCGAGGTCATGCGCTCTCTAGCCAAACCAAGGAAGATATCAGTTCGTGGTAGCAATGGGCAGGTGTACACGTTCCTGGGCAAGCCAAAGGACGACCTGAGGAAGGATGCGCGATTGATGGATCTGAACGCCATCATTAACAAGCTGTTGAAGAGGGATTCGGAGTCTCGACGAAGGCAACTGCGTACGTTCATTCTGCTTTACCGGTTGCTTAGGAGTACGTTTGCTAAAACAAGGTTCCATTTATAGATATTCGAACATATGGCGTCGTGACATTGAACGAAGAGTGCGGTTTCATCCAATGGGTGCCCAACACGGCCCCCATTCGTCCGATCCTGCTCAAGTTGTACGACGCGAGGCGGATCAAGAGCTGGGTGAGAACATCTGCCGGTTGTGGATTAGGCTTGCGCTGACAAAGTCTCTCGTTAAGAGCGGGGAGATGGCCCAAGTATTCGCAAGGGTCAAGGACACGAACAACCCGATCAACGAAAAGGCATGCGCGGACCTCTTTGAGAGCAAGATTTTGTCCGTGTAAGCACTAAAATATCTTTGCTATCGCTTCTTTGATTTGACAATCTGGGCGTAGGTTCAAGCCCGTCTTCCATGAATGGTTCATTGAGACCTTCCCTGAACCAACGGCGTGGCTTGCCAGTCGACTTGCATATGGGCGGACGGCGGCTGTGATGTCGATGGTTGGCTTCATTCTCGGGTGCATTTCACGGAGATACTTTAATTTATTTTGCTCATGAGAGTGTTTTGGACAGTCTAGGAGACCGACACTGCGAAAACATCCTGCTAGACACCAACTCAGGCGATGTCGTACATGTCGACTTCAATTGCTTATTCGAAAAGGGGAAACTGCTTGAGACGCCTGAAAGAGTTCCGTTCAGGCTGACTCAGAATATCATTGACGGGTTTGGGGTTAGCGGTGTAGAAGGTACGTAGTGAAACCTTGCGCTGAACAGTGAGCTTTTCCCCCCTTAGGAGTCTTCAGGATTGCGTGTGAATCCACTCTACAACTCCTCCGCGACAACAAGGATTCCTTGATGAGTGTCCTGGATGCGTTCGTCCATGATCCACTCGTAGAGTGGGAAGACGAGAAACGGAAACTGGTACGCTTATTTTTCCCTGCAATTTCGGGTATGACTGAAAGGATTGCTGAACAAAGGACCGCGAGCCCACCACTCGAGCGAAGAACGCAACGAACAAGAGCAAGGATAAGGATAAGGACAGGGATAAGGATAAGGACCCAGCTGCAGCTGTCCAGACTGCCGCGGCGAAACCGAAGATAGACATGCGAGATCTCGCGAGAGCTGCGCTGAACCCTATCGAGAAAAAGCTAAAGGGAATTTATTCACCGAATAATGCCAGTGACAAACAGGAGAGGGAGAGATCGACGAGCAATTTGGTGCAGATGCTCATCCAGGAGGCGACAGACAAAGCGAATCTGGTCAGTTCATTCTTTTGTATAATGCCTTCGAGCCAGGTGCTGATGGCATTATGTGCAGTCGAGAATGTACCCTGGTTGGGCACCATGGCATTAACCAATTTTTTCCTGCGCATATAAACTTGAACTCTATTGAGATAAGATCGCCAACACATTGTAATATACCACTCATGCACTATCTTTACACTGTATTATTACACAAGAGCACCTAATGAGGTCAAGCAGCTTCGATTCCATTGACCCTCTTTTGCAGGTCCATAAGCTCATTCTCCTTTTCGATCAACATTGCTCTCCACTTTTCCTGCTCCTCCACGACACGAGTGCGCGCCTCCTTGAGTCGCTCTTCCTCCTCTCTCGCCATCTGCGTCGTGAACTCGGGTGTGCCGCCCTTCGATGCTTCCAAAGACGCAGGGTGGGCTAGATGGAAGGGTACGGGTTTTCGTTTGGACTTTGGCAGTGGCGTTGGAGGGTGGGAGGTCAGGATATTCAGGAAGTTTTGGTACGGGTCATTGAAGACGACTTCGTCGTACTGCCAGGAATGAACGGGTCCGAGTTTCATGGCAACGTCGAGAGGGGGGATTTCTGGCTCGCCGGAAGCTGTCCATGGGTGCAACTTGAGGTGATGGTAGAGGGTGGCAGCTTTCTCGCCTGACTCTGTGACAAAGGTTATGCGAATTTGGATCTCGAATTCACCCCATCTAGAGAGAAACCATCAGACCCAAAGAAGGAAGCTGGATGAGGGTGTACATACCCTGTCTCTGTCAATTCAAAAGGTGATTTATCGACGTCTGAGAAAGGCTTGGTGAGAATGCAAGGAATTACATTCAACAAAGACGACGCACTGCGAGATGGATTTGGGTACGTATCATGCAATTTGAAAGACACTCTCTTGATGAAGTAGCTCAAGTCGTCTGCCCCGCCAACCTGGTCGCCATCCGGTGGCGAAGCAGCACTACGCACCGCGACAGTCCATCGATGTGTGTGGTCAGGCGTTAGCGACGCATCGCGCTCTTTTTGGGTCAAAACGACGGCGGTGTTTCCGTAGATGATAGGTCGGAATATGCTCAGTCCCTAGAGAACGGCGCCCTGTGAGATACTGTGAGAAATGGTTGAGTATTGAAGAGTGGACGCACTCTAACGCGGACGCGGTCATTGGACATGGTCACGGTCTGGAAAGAGTCTCGGCTCCCGGAATGGAAAACTCCGCAACCACCCGCGCCATCCAGACAGCTCTTCAACACGACCCACCACCACCCACCTGCATAGACAGCTATGGCCCTCCTCAGCCCTCTCTACAACCGTATGTTCTGCATTTCCGGGCGCTGATACTTTGCTCAACTTACTTTCCCAGTCCCCAACCACGTTCTCGAGAAGCAAAAACTGTACCAAGTACGATAAATCGGACCACCCTCGTTTGCTACGAGCTGATCTCGCCTTTTTAGAACTCGTCGAAGCCCATCATGCTCCGAGGGCCCCGCTCGAACCTCTACGTCGGTTAGCATCCACCTCTCACCTCTACTCGCGTGTCGCGCCTCAACGCTGTCTCTTCGGGTTTTCTAGGGACGTTCGGCGTTCTTTTCACAGTTGGAATGGTTTCAACCGTCTATGCATTCACTTCCTTGGTTAGGGTGCGTTCGCCTGATTTTCCTTCCTATTCCCCAAAGTCAAACGTCTCCTTTTGTAGGGCAAACAATCAGAGTAAAGGCGATGTTGTGAGCTAGAAGGGTCAATCCTCCAACATACACGTGCATGTTTATTATTTCAACTGTCAATTGACATCCAACATCTACCGCGGAGTGATACAAGATACCTCAAGTCGAACCCACAACTCATTCACATCTTGAAGGCAACCAACCCTTGTGCCACAAGACTTAGGAATGATTGACAGTGGTGGTCTAATCCCGACACAAAAGGTATTCTTTTTGCGATGTGGGATCCATCCAACATTTTAGGACATTTAATGCACTACTGAGTACGGACTTCGCAACAAAAGTCTCAACCCCCTGTGAGTGAGTCCGTTTGACACATACTATCAATATCTGCTCTAGAAGCTGCCTGCATCGCGTGAAGCTGAGATTCCTCAGAGGATTTGGGCAGCTTCAGTATGGTGGTCGTCCTTAAGAGTTCCTTCCAGGAGCTCCCTTGTGGTCCATAGTGCAACAATATCTACTTTCGTTGCCAGGAGTTCTTTGGCACTGCCTTCCCAGGCAGACGACATCCGCTGTTTGGTGGAGTAGGCCAGCGTCCGTGAAGAGGCGACCATTCAGTCTACGTCCTGGTCATCTTAGCTGCAAACAAGGAGCGCATCGCCCTTGTCCATCAGTTTTGCTGTGCCAGTGTGTGCCTCGTAATGGGCTTCGCACGCTCGTCAACCCCATTCGCAGAGTGATCATGATCATCGATGGTGTGTTCCGTCGACAACAATCGCACACATAATCATCAGGACGCGGCGGATATCTGACTGTGCTGGCTGCGCCCTCCTTTATAATATCGGAGGGAAGCCACTGCTGCCTTCTTCCGCTCAAGCCACGATGTCCATCTCCATTATGTCCTCTATCGCTGAGCGAGACGAAAGACGGATGCCGCTGGGAGACGATGACTGTCCAGACTACGAAGCTGTGATTAGCAGGAGGTGAGCAAACCTGTCTCTCCCGTGGGACTTTCCCCTGCGTTCCTGTGCTGAACATCGGTCTTTCCGACACCATCATCTTCTATTTTTCTCTTCAAACTGGTTCTTGTAACGCACGGCTGAATGACATCAAGCAATTCGAACGGGACTTCGAGCAGTGTTCATTACTCAAGCCCTTTTCCTGATGATAGACGGCCAGTGTCGCCTTTAAAGTGGGTGCTTAACCTTATGCTGCGAAAGAAGCATGCCCCAACACCGCAGGAATCACCACTACCACTCCAGCCCTTCACGAAGACACCCACGACCCCTTCCACGCCATGAACGATATGTCTATACCTATCGCCTCTTGGCGAACAACACGCCTATCCAATTTATGATCTCGTATGTGCGGGCCCGCATTCGCTATCAGTACATAATACTTATGTTATCGTTCTTCCCGTCAACTATCCCCGCATAAGCGTCGAGCCGGAGTCGGGCAAGCCAAAACCAGGGAAATACACTTTCCGATTGTCTTTCAAGGCGAATGGCATCGAACGGAAACTTTGCGAGCCCGAAACACGAAAGCTGAAGGTGGATCCGAGGCATCTTGACTTTGTCGTATTGTGCGCCCTGTCTATCTGTATCTACCTCGCTTTAAAGCTAACGCAACCCATGTGTTTTCCTTGCTGCTTGCGCGTGCTCTATTCTTTTTGGACCCACAAAGCATCTTCCCCGGGAAATCCAGCCTGCCCGCAGGCTGCCTCTGGTCGCTGCGAGTGTGGCTCCGCGTCAACAACGTCGATCACCGAATATGGGGCGAGGACGACCTATGGATTGCCAAGGATCCGGACTTCAACTCAATCGGCGACGCCTCGTTCGCGCGGCTGAAAAACGCGGACACTGGAGAACAAATCTACAACGCGTATGTAGGACGAGCGCTGGTGACTTTTATTGTTAGGTGAGTTCTTCCCAACGCATCTTGCTTGATACGCAGGGTTATGAATATTGTTGGCCTCTTTAAATAGATGGCGGCATGTGAGCAACGGATTGTATAGCTATTCCCTCGAATACGAGGCGGCCGGTGTAGGAGATATGCTGTTCGACGATTACAAGCTACGGCTCGATGGTGATCCAAGAGCGCTTTCTTTCCTCATTTTGTGCGTTTCAGTGTCTTTCCTGATGAACACCACCGTCTCACCCGCATGGACTCCAGCTCAATACCTTCCAACTCTATTCCGTCCGGCGCTTCCCACAAATTACGCGTATGGATACGCTCTCTCGTTCCCTTATCTACTTCCGACCCAACGACATCCTATGTTCTCCCTTTCAACGACTCCTACATCTACCAGCGATTATGGAAAGACGACGCCTTCAAGATCGGTGGACGGCTTGATTTTGAATCGCTAGGCACGAAGATGATTATGGGCTTCTCTTCTGGCGCTCCGGAAACGATTGTCATGCCCCACCCCCCTCCGTCGTCAGACCTCCAAAGTCCACGATCAATATTCAATGAGAAAAACGGGTATGATTTTTGATTGCCCCCCTTACATCCTTTGTGGCTACCTGCATATAGCTTGCACACTTTACGGTCTTTAGGGCATGTATGGTATGGCTTCTTTGTACCACCTTTGCATGTACATCTAGGAAAGGATGTCCCATTATGGCGCTCCCGGTACCTCTTCATGATACGATATGATTACCTTGCTTCTACACAACATCTTGTACTATTTTACTTGTACCCTTGACCCTATCTTTATTCAATGTATTCGGAATTCTCGGAACCCTGTATATTGGACACGAGCAGTCCAGATTTTTACCAAGGGATGGCCACACTCTGAGCTGCCATCTGACTTCGGCAATTCGAGGACACAAACTATTTTATTTTTCTGCGGCATTCTGATAAATAGGGGGATCATGTGCATCTGTCAAGAACCAAGGGGCTCGAAGGACCGGAGTCGGGCACCCATTAGACTACAATCTTGTTCGCGAGGAAGTCCTTCCACTGGATCTCTTCCCATGAGCTCTCGATCTGGCTCTGATAGAGTCCATCCAGGAGGACCGATGGGGAAACGTGAATGCTGTTCTGCCTGCCGAACTTAACTGGAAGGAGTGGAGTAAGCCTATGTTTGCTTGAGCGCTTATCTTTGAGAACTTACTGTTGTACTTGAGATCATCTGTGACCGCATTTCCGCCGTTCGCAGCTCCTTTGAACGCGAGGAGGTCTTTGAAGCGCGCAACGGCGTCGGCGGGTAGGGTCTTAGCAGCAAGTTCGGCAAGCTTTTCTCGGATCTGGCGAGTCGTCAAGTCCTGGGTCGGGACATCGAAATAGTCTGCTTGGTGTTTAAATAGCTGTGTGCACTGACGTTAGCAAGAAGCGTGACTATCCGTCATAATACCTGACCGAAAGGCTGAACTTCCAGAAAGTCTCGGGGGATGCATGAAGCACCTAATAGTCGTTGAGATGACGAAGACTCGAATGGACTAGAACGCACTGCGAGACCTGCTTCATTGGTCAAAGTCGACGTCGAATGCCACGGCTGGACATGCAATCTGAAGATGACCTTCAATTGGCCTTCATACGGCCCGCCTTCAGTGATCAAGGGCTTGAGAATGCTGTCGATCTTGAAGGCCATCTTCGCGCTGCGTGATCGTATATGTCAGCTCAGACCATGAGTACGTCGGACGCCAGGGTTCCACCTGAATGGGCACACATAGTCCACTATTGACACGATTGTCAGCAAATCAGACTTCTCTACGAACGATGCTTCTTACAGAAGATGTCCAGACTGTGTGGCGCATCGGGGTTGCCGAGAATGATTTGAGGTCGCAAAGAGGGTTGGAGAGCCATCAATGCGGAGATCAAGAAGAGATTAGGAAGAAAATGAAATTTATAGACTAGAGAAAGCTGGGCTGGTCTTTATAGTGGTGCAATCCATACACATCATGAGCCAAGTTAGAGGTGTATAATAAATCACATCACGCGTCTTTGCTAATGAACGTGTCTGAGCACGTGCCGCAGTATTTCCGCGTCGTGACACTCACAGTAAGCCAGGCTAGGCTTATCGCGAAAGAGAGTCAAATTTAGGGTTTATGAGTGCAATTGCCAATTTCACGTAGAATCATGGGGCAAATAACTTCAAGTTTTGTTGGAGGTTCTTGGGGTCCCGGTCTGGCTAGTGAGATATGTATAATATGATAAGATAATATGGGTGTCCCGCCGCGTAGGGATTGTCACGGGTTTCAAAAACCGCCGGGTTGACGGGTAGGGTCAGCAGGGTAAGGGTACGGGTTGGCAAACCTGTACCCTCGTCGAACCCGCACCCGTGAGCCGGGTTGGCGGGTTTAGCGGCCCGTCTCGGAACTTGCCGACACAGCCACAATTTATGGCCGCGTCATCGTTGATCTTGTTTCTGTTCACTTTTGACCGTTTCCTTTGTTCTCCCCGCATCCCTCGCAGCCCTTTCTTGGTGAAGAAAGGTAAGTAAATACATTTCTATTCTATTTTGGTGCTTATTTGGGCTTGCATATCCACCCTAGTGCTTCGCCTATGTGCCATGACATCGACGATTTCGCCGTGTGCCCCTCCTTTCCAGTAGGATGTGGCCGGCTCTTGCAAATGGTAGGTACGTCGCTTAGCCAGAAACTCGATAGGTGAACAGGAGATGATGAGGTCGAGCATTCCCGAGCAGGCGCTGAGGTCGAGCATGGCCACGTCGACGACTCGACGAGCACGGCACGACGACGAGCACATTGACGGGCACAGGAATGATGGTGAGCACCGACAGCACAACGAAGGGCGCTGCACGATGACGGTCACCGGCACATTGACAAGCACGGCACGATGACAAGTACGGCACGATGACAAGTACGGCACGATGACAAGTACGGCACGATGACAAGTACGACGATGGGTATGGGAACCACGACAAGCACCGACGGCATGACGAGGGGCACAAACACGACGAAGGGCCCTACCATCGCAGAGTGTGACACCACGTCATTTGACGGTGTGTGTTGTTTCTACGATGCAAAAGGCCCCTGCCAATGTTATACCCGCCACGCGGGTTCAAAAACCTGCAGGCCCTCTCGAAACCCCTACCCTGACCCGCGGAAACCCCTACCCGTCGAGGCGGGTGCGGGTTTGCTGGGGTAAGGGTACGGGTAGCCCTGGAATACCCCAGGGTTACCCGTGACAATCCCTAGGGAGTCCCGCGTACATAATGGTTTTGACAAGAACACTTTCGCCTCGTCCTCAGCTTCCCACTATTCAATGACTTTCGAAGATGCTACTTTGCCATTTTCGATCTATAAATCGCCGTAGAACAGTAGTCATAACACCTCTATTTGTCAAAGGGCCGAGGAGCTTCCATTGGACTTCAAACATTGATTAGAGAGGTGGGACCCAAGGGCACCGTACTGGCCTATAGCTAATACTCCATTGCCAATCTCGGGCCTTGCGTAACAGTGTAAGTTGTTTCGGCAACTGAACAGTCGTCCACTTCTCATCTCTACTACTATGTCTTCTAGTGAGGAGGAAGGTGGCATTCAGAGCGCCAACCCTCAAAAGCATACAAGGGCCTGCAATGTCTGTCACAAGAAGAAAAGTGCGTAATGTTTGCTGGGTGGTTTGTTCCTCATTGACAAATTACATCCGTAGTTCGATGTAGGCAATCAATGGCATCTTTGAGGGATTATGCTCATCTTGCCTTCAGGCAACGCCTTGTCAACCCCAGGAGCCCAGTGTTCTTGTGTCGCTTCTGGTGTTGAATGCACCTACCTTGAAGTCCCTAAGGTCGTTCATTCCCCCTTTGCGAACCTCAAAGCTGATTGTTTTTGAATAGAGACGGGCACCGTCAAAGAGGTGTGTTCCAATTGCCCAGCTACCAATGTTGCGCTTATCTATTTCCATCAAAGATACGTCGCTGGGCTTGAACTGCAAGTACAGGGTCTGGAAAAAGACATTCGCCGAGTATGTAACCTACCAATCCATTCTCCAAGTGCCTGAGTATCATCTAGTTGTGCCCGGATGATAAAACCTATGAGCAATGGCTTGGATTGCTTAAGGAAGGGTCTGAGGAGCACATACTCAGCCCAAGGCAGAAAGCCTGACCACCCAGTCAGGTCAAACCAGGAGTACTAATCGACAGGATTTCTCGTGCGATCCGTTCTGTTGGAACTGACTCCTTACTCACATTGGATGACCAAATAGACAGCCCAATCGCCGCCGTGGCTATGAGTCCAACAACTGACTGATTTTTCAGGAAATCCAGCAGAGGATCTCTCATTCGTATGGCAATAAATATGAAGAATGAATGGGAGGGTAGTCCACTGTCAGTGCTGTGCAACCGACGGGAAGAATTTTGGACTATTAGACCCATGTGTCTCTGTCACTATCCAACACCCTTCCCAAACTCATATCCTTTAGTGGGAAAGGAAATCAGAAGTCTCACACTCGGCTCAATACACTTTCCCTGATCTTGACCTTTCGATGACTCTCATTGAGCTCTTTTTTCAACACATCAATCTTCACTTACCCCTTCTTCATTGCCCATCCTTCCATAAAGTGGTTCAAGATGGGTTGTATCGCTACAACGACGATTTTGCAGCGGTTTATCTCACCATCTGTGCCATAGGCTCCCAGTTCTCGACTGACCTGAGGGTGCTTTCTGAAACGTTTGACTCCTATCAGTCGGCAGGGTGGAAATGGTACAATCAGGTGGAAAGCACAAAAACGATGTTCCTCACCTCTCTGACTCTGTGTAATCTCCAGTTCTATTGTGTGAGTTGCTTTATATCAAGATGTTACTGATCAACTCACATGGGTGCCACACATGGTAGCTTAGTGTGTTATTCTTGCAGTCTTCTTCAGCACCATCCTCAGTTTGGACGATGGTTGGCATTGCTATTCGGTCGGCACAAGATGTTGGTGTCCATAGACGTAAAATGTCTGCAAATAGTCTAGAAAATGAGTTATGGAAACGTGCTTTCTGGTGAATATCTCCTCTTGCCCTTCAGCTGAATATTAACTAGATCTTCCAGGGTACTTCTTTGTCTTGATAGAACCATCAGTGTTTCTGTGGGTTGACCTTGTGCGATACAGGAGGAAGAGTTCGTGCTCGTGGTTGACTGTTGCTGCAAGAGTGAATCACTCACATACATTTTTAGCTATGATGTGGACATGCCAATTGACTGTGACAATGAGCATTTGGATCATCCAGATGTGGAGCAAAGATTCAAGCAACCCAGTGGCAAACCTTCCTTGATCTCTGTGTTCATCTTGCAAATTAAATTAATGCAGACTCTAATCTATTGCATTTGTGGAATTGTGTGTCCCTTCTTTCCTAGATTATGCTAGTTTACTGACCAATTCCCCTAGTACTCACTTAGCAGTATGAACTGGAGGCTTGGTTTGCTCAGGCAGAAATGGAAATCCCATATTGTTGCCAAGTTGGACTCGAGTCTCAACAAATGGCTTGACTCTGTGCCAGACCATTGTAGGATTTCCCTCTTTCTCTAGTCCAAGCAATATTGACGAATCCTATTTTATAGTGCACTGGGATCCAGATCATCAAAGCAACAACTTCTTCAATCAGTCTGTGGTGCTGTATGTGACGTACAACCATGTTAGAATTCTGGTCCATCGCCCATTCATCCCATTGCTGGGCAGGCCATCTCCTCTCACTATTCCCTCACTCACTATATGTACCAATGCTGCTCATGCATGCTGTGATGTTGTCTATACCCTTTGCCAGTGCAATATGCTAGTGTCATTGCCGGTTGTCCAGGTTAGTTTAATCAGTTATCCCAAGCCCATAACTGATCTCGATTTAAGGTTGCCACACTGTGTCAGCCATTATCATGATGTTTAATATCTGGAGGGAGAAGCCGCCAGGCCTAGGTGTTTCTTTCGAAGGTAACCCAGACCTGGAAAGTGTCCGCAAGTGTATGCAAGTCCTGAAAGTTGCAGAGGAGCAGTGGCACATGGCAGGCAGATTTGGGTTTGGTCAAATTCTGCATTCTCATCGAATGTGCAGTCTAATTCTCCTGCAGGGATCTATTACATGAATTGACCTCCATTCGTGATCCTCTTCTCTCCACACAGACGGCGCAAGCAAGAAAGCCTCTGGTCAGTACTGAACAAGAAGGCCCATACGGACATGGTGTACCACCTCAGGCCAAAGTCGCGGTGACAGAACTTACCGACCATGGAAGTCCGTGCGACTACCAGAGCTCGACTCATTGTCTGATGGAAGGCAGCTATGCAACACCACATATACACCAATCTTTGACTGAATCTCTGCAGCTCCGCCCTTTTGACTACAACTGCCTCCCTAGCTCTGTACAGCAACAGCTGCAAGTCCCTATCCGGCATATTTCACACAGTGGATCCCATGCTCGGGAGTCACAGCAACCACAAGCAAACAGGATTTTCAGTGACGAGGTGATGGACATGTGGTCGAATGCACCGACTGGATTTGGGTAAGTCGTAATATTCTTCCTCTCTGTGTCCTGAGTGATTACAAACGTACTCTTTATTTCTATCCTGCAGGCTGGACGATTGGGACGTCTATTTGGGTGGATTTCCAAATGCTAACGAGTCACACTGGCATACCCTGACCTCTTAGCTTTGAGGTTTGTTAGCGCGATGCGGCTGGTCCTACATTAACAGATTTCTTGCTATGGGATCGGTCATCATGAAGGACAGAAGATTTCATGTAACATTTTGGTTGCAAATCCTTGTATATATCCCAGCATTCTGGACACCAGACATGGTGTTCTTACATTGGCTCTCCAAGTCGAGTATAACACCTCGAAGCGAAAGTCCGTGCTAAAAAAAAATGGACTCTGTAGGATATTACTACGCATAGTTGGGAGAAAAATAACAACTATGAAACAGTGAATAGCGAAAGAGTCGCGCTGAGTCGCGATTCATGACGGTCCACCATCCCATCCAACTAATTGGGCAGATATCGCACAAAAAAAGAGGTTGGGATGAGGTTACTGTGGATAGAACACAGGACCTTCAGAATATGATGCGGGCTTCAGTCTGCTGCTCTTAGCTATAACCCCGATATCCAGGCGGCAGTCCCAACCAGCGACGTCACGGAGACAGATAATCAGGAATGCAAGGCGCATCGCAAGAATTGGGCAGAAAAGTGTGCAGGTGAAGCCTTGTTCCCGGTTGACGCGCAGGGAGTAATCTATTAAGGGAGGCGCTGACGAATCTTTTGGGCTCTGTCACTGTCCTTTGGTCGAAGAAAGCTCTATGATTTTGCAAGAAAGGATAACTTGAACGCTGCGATGGCGTAGGCGCGAGCCTAACTAAAGACGGCTGCGACATGGGTTTAAGGAAGGTGACTTTCACTTTATCAAGTTGGGCGTCCGGAGCTCTCGCGGACAACGATATTCTGGGCTGCAGAATCAGAGTCTCCAGGACGAGGTAGCCCAGACGGTAGGCATAAAGAGCTTCGTGTTCTCTCCCGTGTCTCGCTCAGGAAGCACTGATGGTAAGCACGCGTCATACGGAGTTGTTGGCTCAAAGGGGTTCGAGAGAAGAGGTTGCGGCCGTGCTGGAAAGGGAGAGGGGGTCCGATCGTGGTGTTTTGAAGGATACCCCGAAAAGGAAATGGACCCGCTTGGCGACGCTCCCCATTTCTCGAAACTACTCTAATTGGACCTGCCCATTTACTTCTTGCATTCCACTCCCATATCACTATCGGCACTTCACATTAGCTTCTACCATGTCTGTTGTTCAAGACCGCCCACACCTTCCTCCTCTCCCTCGCTCAGCTTCGCTACCCAAGCCTAAGGGAATCTTGAAGAATGCGCCACAGACCCCTGGCGCGAACACGCAGTGAGCATCACTATCGTCCAGTTCTTTGCGACAGACACTGATCCCAGCTTCTATCGTCCAAAGCAGCTTGCAGTGGGACGAAGAGAACATTGCCTTGACAGAAATCCAGAAAGATAGCCTTATGAAGATCACAGAGCCAAAGACACCATATGTTCGATATAACGCAGAGACTGACGAGGTTGAAGGCGGTCCGTGCATACACTTACTTCTTTATCTCTTGCCCTCACGAGAGTTCTAGATATCCCTAACCTCGATTTGGGACTCGCCGCCTCCCCGGTGCAGGAACATCACCCAGAGTCGCCAATTTCATCGACAGGCGCGGACACATCTGGCCCATCGTCTCGCCGGACCTCCATCTCAAGCAACGGAAGGCCCGGAACTGCTATGTCTGGACGTTCTGGAAGCGGAACTTCCAGCAGAAGCACCAGCTTCAATCTTCCCAACGATGCACGGAATGTGATCCGGGCTGACTCGAGATCACCTGGTGAGGAGGTTGAGTTCGAAGAGGAGATGGATGAAGAGAGTACGACTCTTCGATTTCTTGTGTTTACATGTTCCTGATGAAGTCGCCGTGTTGTAGCTGCTGCGAAACATGCGGCGTTCGTCCGTGCTCGTGGAAGGCACTACTCCAATGAGGCAGAGGCCATGAAGGTGTGTGATCTTGTCATGCCGAACAAAGAAGGCATCTATTCATTGCCTGTCCTCAGCGTGCTGCACAAATGATGGACGAGGAGGAGGATGACGAAGCAGTACCGCCCCTTCCTCGACGCGATCTTGCTGACGGTGACAGAGACACCGAGTCCGTGACCGACGAGAGTGGCACGGAGGCCAGCGAAACCACAGACAGCATCCCAGGCAAGGTCAACGGCATCGGACACGGAGCTTAAGGCTGTAACCCCGATCCCCCCAAGTTGTGTGCCTCTCCCATCCAGTATCCCACCGTGTATCATTCCATAATATCTCTCTTCTCCGTGTTTACTGGTCTCTCGATGACGTCACCTTCTTTCCTTTCATACGAACTCTAAACGTGTTCCACTACCAGAGATAATCTTATGAACCAGACAGCGCCTTTGGACTTTGATGTGGCGTTGAAATGGCGACCTTCATTCATGATCTTTGGGTTGTGTATATGCGTCTGATTGAGCCTTTTCAGAGCTGCACCATCCAGTGCGTATTATTTGCGAAGGTGCTTCATTTTGATACGACGGAATTTTTTTGTCATCGCATCGCGCTCGCGGTTTGGAGCTTTATGCCAGCTTTTGACTTTCCGCCCCCCGCACGTGATGGACCGCATTACATAAACATGCTGGTTCGCGAATCGGTTCTGTCCCACATGCCTTCCAATCACTCCTTCCCTTCGACCATCATCTCTGCCGCCACCATCGTTGTCCACCGCTGCCATATCCTTCACCGCCCACATCCCGCCCACATTGACGCCCCCCAACGATACCCACCATTTTCCCCTCGTCCGACTTGCGCCTTCGCCAGCGAGTCCCCTCTTCCATCACTGTGGCCACCATCGTCGTGGACAGGGCTCGCGGCGTTTCCCTCGACCCCCTAGGTGGTGGCTCCACTGCGTTTCGTGCTCCCCTCCCAATCACTCCCGTCGTCTACATTCCCGACGACGTGCCTGTGCCACAACCCCCAGCCTCTCCTTGCTACGACGTGATTGATAGAAATTTGTATATTTTGTGCTACGTAACTTGAAATATATGCCACATAGCTCTTCATAAATTTTGTTCTCAGTGGATGAGAGCCCCGAAGCAACGGATAGATTACACTCAGTTTTTTCGCTGTTTGACTTAGATATTTTTGAAGTCCACTGAGCCACAAAGGCTTCCAAACGAACTGGTTCGCAAATTTGAGGGTGTTATGTAATGTAAGCCATCACGTGGGGGGGCGGAATCTCGCCAACTCTTTAAAAGACTTTAAATTTTATTAGACTTCTTGCGGGGTCACGGGGTCACGGCGCTCAGCGCCTAATGTGGGTATAGATAAGATTAAATTAATAAGCGCGTCCCGCCCGAGATTAGATTAGATGCTATATTGCACAATCGAGAAAATTTAGTAGATTGCCGGTCTACATTCGGGTCTCAACGTAGTCAACTCCCGTGCCCCAGCAAGACCGCGTTTACGACTTCTCAGCGGAGAACCATCCCGATGTCCGATCCCGTAGCAAGGAAAGGTCTTCTGCTCAAAGCCGACCCGATCGCTGCCGCGTTTCGCGACGAGGTGAAGGGCACCCTCGAAGAATGCTCGCGTCCACCGAAACTCGTTGGAATTCTGGCGACGTCGTCTGCACCGAGCAAGAGCTACGCGGAATTCACGAAGAAACAGTGCGAAGAGCTTGGTGTAGAATTTGTGTTGAAGAAGACTGGCGCGGCGTTGGATCCTGAACTTGGCGAGGGCGAGGGTGTGGAGGAGGTGATCATTGAGGCGAATGAGGACGAGGCGGTGCATGGAATTATGGTGGGTGTTTCTTCTCTTGTCGATCTTGGTTCTTACAATCCAATTTCTCTCCGTTCAAGGTGTATTTCCCCATCTTCGGTGCACAGCAGGTCCGTTAGACACTCTCACCGAAACACGCCGGACTCAACCCTTCTATTGCGTGCTGTTAGGATCACTACCTCCAACAGGTAAGGGCTCACTGCCGCAACATTCGAAGAAATTATCTATAGCCACGTCATTCAGGTCGTCTCGCCTCTCAAGGATGTTGAAGGATTACATTTCAAATTTCACTATAATTTATACCACAAGTGAATGCTTCCCAACGTTCCCTTACTTACTTTCACCAACCCCAGAATCCTAGTATTCGTTTCATAGAACCAAAATCCCTGCTCGCCGCCGGCATGTCACCGACAGCACCGACAGAAACGGCGAGCGAAGAACCTCCGCCCGGGACGGTCAAGTCCATCATTCCTTGTACGCCGCTGGCCATTGTGAAATGCCTGGAATACATCGGCGTGTACAACAAAATACTCCCCTACGGTGATAGAGCTTATGGCAAGACGGTGACCGTAATAAACAGGTAAGACGATTGACGAAATGCCCCCGCTTCCGCGGTCTGAATGTCGTTACATCTTAATCGCAGGTCAGAAGTAGTCGGAAGGCCCTTGGCTGCGCTTCTTGCGAACGATGGCGCTCGAGTTTTGTCTGTCGATATTGATTCTATTCAAGTAAGCCTAGTCTTTAGCCTTGTCGACACCAACTAGACGCGTCTTAGGAATACACGAAACGGCCCAAAGTTTCGACGAACGCGTCGCCAGAATCCGTTTCGGCCCAAAGATACCACCCACGGCACGTCGTCCATCCCAGCCATCTCACACTGCAGGAATGTCTCGCCATCTCCGATGTCGTCATCTCTGCGGTTCCGAGTGTGACCTACAAGGTTAAGACCGAATGGCTGAAGGATGGCTGCATCTGTGTCAACGTCGCTGCGGACAAGAACTTTGACAAAGACGTCCGGGATAAGGTAAATCATGGTATGTCATTTGCGGTCTGACTTGCCCGTTAACAGAATCCTCCAGGCCTCAATTTACGTCCCTGCTGTCGGGAAAGTGACTATCCTCATGCTACTTAGAAACTTGTAGGTGTTGTCTACCGAAGAGACTCGTCATTTCTAACATGTCGGTTAGATTGCGACTGCAACAATATCAACAAGTGTAAGGCTTTGTGCAGGGTGCAATAATTGAGCTGTAATGTACGTGTGATAATAATATAGACCATAGGTAGATATGCGCGCCAAGGGGAGCTAGGGCAATTTCCTCCCGAATTCTCTCTATATATAGCTACAAGCAATAAGGATCGACATGGAGGATATACGAAGAACAAGTTGTGCCTTCCGGTATATCCATTTCATAGCGCGCGGCCAAAAAGGTTTCCGCAGTGAGCAAATTATCGGAAGTGAGCCTCCGTAAGGTTGGCTGGGGTGTCCCTTGTCGGCGTTGACGGTTCGGAGTTAGGGAAACTTGGTGTTAGAGGAGTCGCCATGCCGGAGGCGCTGTCGGTTCCGGTCATGAAACGTACTCGTTGACGGTGAAGCTAGTGATTGGTTTAATAAGTCGAACGACATGCCCGAAGGATAACGCGTACCTGCGGCAGCTTTGGTATTAGTACGAAGACGAGGGCAGTAACGTTGATAGCGAAGAGCCATGGATTGTAGTTTGTGTAGTGCGTGGATGCCAGGAACCTAGCCGCACCGGGTATTATAAGCGCTTGGAAATGGCATGATATTCTAGACTCACAGTCCTACGGGCACAGTGAAGAGCCATTTCTTCGCTGGTGTATATTGCGCGCCGTCGTCAATTTGCTCCCACATCGTGAGTTCGTCGTAAGCTCCTGCATGTAGACCACCTTCGAATGGTATGCCGGTCACCCAGTGGAACATTAAGTAGGAGAGCTGGAAAACAAATCACAAGCATTTCAGCGGATCTGCGAGCGAGAAAAAATACCAGATTTACCGCTAAGTATATTAAATTCACTAGCGTCCAGCTTATTTCTTGAGACATTCCTGGCAGAGTGTCGATGACAATCTTGCCACAGATTATAAGGACGACGTGGATGAGCCATGCACCTAGAAACGGAGGTCACGAAGGGCAAAGACATACGAGAAATACAGCTACGTACCCTTAGCATTGACCCAATCCGCATTGCTGTTCACATATGCACCCCGGTCCATCAACTCCTCGACACGATCGCACACCTCCTCGACCTTGACGATGCTCGCACTGCGCTTCCGCGACCTGGAAGAGGTCGGGGAGTGCGTAGCGGCGATGTCGATTGCTGGAAGCTTGATTGTTGTTGAGCGACTCATGCTCGAAGGACGTAAGAAGGGAGCAGAGAAGAGCAGAGCAGAGAGTTGCCCCTCAATTCTACGTGACCTGTATTTCGGCTACTGCCGAACGGCCCGGAAAGGCAACTGCGCCGACGCCGACGAATACTCTTTTACCTCCGTTCTCTGTACGGAACCATGGGACTGCTGCAATGGTGCGAGCTTCGTCCCGAGGGACCTTCAGGTGACATCGCGGCAGTGCTCTTTCCACAGCCGGTGCGCGTCTCGTCGATACGTATCTTCCCAACAGGCGCCCAGCCGTTCAGCCAGTCGCCGACAACAGTCGCGTACGTCCTCCTTCAACCTATCAATGGGTTGAAATGCTTATGTCAAGGAAGAGAGACAGAGCCTGAGGCATTCTACCTCAACGTATACTTCAACGCGCAAGCAGTTCCAACTCCTGCAGGGTGCCAGGAAACACAAAGCCAGGACAAACGCCAAACGAAGAACGCGTTGGTTCCAACTCGTATCGCTTTTGCTGGAGGTCAAACCGATTTCTCAGTCGACATGGGCTCTGAGGTGCGCTTGCTTCTCGCTGTGGCCTTGAATTAAGCTGATATAGTGGTCTAGTATGCAACACGGCTGGTCATCTTTCAAGGTGACTTCCAGGTCATTTCGATGGCTATATACGGAGAACGCGTTACAGAATATGAGGAAGTTACTGATTATGAACCAAAGCCTCTTCCTACTCCTTCACACATCTTATTGCCCTCTGCACTTGATGTCACCAACTCTGCGAAACCAGTTTCATTGGTCCACCAAATTTTGTCACTACTACCCTCACCGCCACCTCTCTCACTCATCATACGCTTAATGTTTTGTTTGAAACCTGACTCTGAAGACTGGGACGATCCCGAATTTCCTTATGTCTACTCAGATCTAGACAAGAGGTTCAATGAAGATGACGTAGAATCTGAAGTCTTCGATCTTGAATCCTTGGTCAAGACGGTTAGCAAACCTTTGAGAGATGATGTTTCTGTGGAATCCCTGAACGAATTCGCGGAAAGAATGCAAGACTTTCTGATATCGAATGTGAGTTCAGTCTCGACGTCCGTCTCATTGACAAGGGATTTATATGATTTAGACTCCAGACGACGTATATTATGTTGCGAAGCTCCTTACTAAATCTGCCTGTCAGCAAACGATATTCTTGAGGACACTTCTGGCGAGCCTATGTTTATTACGATGTTATACTCCTAGCTGACAGATGTCTGTGTAGCAACACCTTAACTTGCCGGAAGTATTTAACGAAGATGTTCTGGACGAAGCAACTGTCCTATGTTTGTTGGAAGCGTCTTCCAACATAGAAATTTCAAGATACTTTCGAGACGATGAACCCTTCCTCCTGTCTCTTGAGGCCATTCAGTCGAGCCTGAAAGTGGAGAAACCCACCCAGAAGGCGTTGAAGAGACTTCTGGCCAGAATACGTGGGTGGGAAACCTTCGAGGATGCACTGACAAATTCGAATGGAGACTTCGTGGGCGCTGCCGCATTCTTGAAAGATATCAGCATGGAGGAGTATGCTCTCGGGTGCTGGCTAGAATGCATGATCAACCACGAAGGCCTCGTTAGCAAACTTGAGCAAACTTCCCCGGCTCCTGGTTCCCAACCTCCTTTGCTATTTCAAGACCGACAGGCTGAGGTCACTCATGATGACTTCCTCGCCTTTGTTAGAGCCTTCCTTGGAATCATGCCTGTGCTTGCGGCACTGGCATGGGCAGACAGCATCGGTAACAATATGTGCACTGAGAGGGTTCTCGGCATTTTGGTCATTTGGCAAGGTGTTAAGGGTTATAGAGAGGTCAGTCTCTTCCATCCTGGCCAATCGCTTGTTGACGATGTTTTTGTTAGATCCTGAACCATGGTCTACTCTTACGGCAAATGACAAGACGACTGCAATGGATAAAGAACGACGCAGACAATCAGCAGCCAAAGAAATCTGGAATCCTTGCTGAACGACTTGTCGTTGGACTGGCCAAGGATCCAATTGCAATGCTACGCGACGACCTCATCACTGCCGTCCTTTCCCTCAAACCACCGTTTTCATTCATCGAGGAAGACGAGATCCTGGAGATGGGCAAGCTGGCGAAAGTCGCTCGAGATGGGTTGCTGTCTGCCATCGACGAGCTGGCATATAATAGTGTCCGCCCATTCTCACTTCGGCGTCTCCGTGTTCTCCGTGTTTCTATAGCCATCATCACAGAAGAGCTGAATGACGACGACGGCCCATGGCGCGTTCTGGAGAGCTTTTGGAATGAACACGGTCAAGGGCTCATTCCAAGGCTTGTTACCATCCTTTCCGACCTCTCAGACGACCTGAACCAGCATTTCACCCTTCACTCGATCCCACGAATGCATCAAGCTCTCGCCGAGCTCCTCTTCCGAACAGCGGACGATTTCATGCACCTCATCACACATTTCGCCTCTCACTATCCCCTCGTCGCCCGCGACTTGCAGAGGGTTGCAACCGCCGTTAGCGACTTGTACTCATGCTCTGATGCAACTACCGGGACATTTTCCCGGGCATCGCCAGCCTATCTGGCGGCGCAGAGCGTCAGAGAGACATGTCCAGGGTTTCTTTCCAGATTGTCACAGCAAGATGTTCCATCCGAACCTGACGGCCTCGTAGCACAGGCCATGCTCCGCACTCTCTTCGATAATGCCTCTCGGAGTGTTGGGCGAGACCCTGTCCAACAGGTGCTTCTAGTCTATAATCTAGTAGACAGCATTTTCCCTCAAGATGAAGACCCTGGTTCATCATCTTGGACTGCGTCGGTATTCCCGACGATCCTGTCTGAACTCAGGGATTTCTGCAACCTTCTCGACCCCAAGACACAAGTTCGCTTCATTGAGCGGCTCGTCAAGCTGGACAACGAAGAGACCGGCCTTGGAGCGTGGCTGCTCGCAGAAGAACTACAGCGCCTGTCTACAGTTTTTGAAGACCTTCCGCGCCAGCAGGACCCGAATTACCAACTGTTGCTGCAGTATCAACTCTCAGCTTCCTTCCGACTGCTCCATCTCCTCATGACGTCTCCAACTCTATCCTCTTGGACGATATCAACGCTCTCCTCCAATGCAGACCTATCACAGCTATTAGACAGCACGCTATCCCATATCCTGGAGGTCAATGTTTCGTCCTCCCCACTTGCATATCTCACCCGAGAGTTGGCGAAGCACTCAGCCGACTTCACTCCTGACACGCGGCAAAACATCCTCCTCCTTCTCCTACGCAACGCACAGACGGATCCATCTGTTGCTGGCGCTCTCGACTTCGTGCCTGGAACTCTTCAGAGCGTCCCGTCAACGTCCATCGCCCCTGTGCCCTTGCGCAACGAGCTTGGACGGACACTCTCCGCCTACTCCGACCACGCATCCACCATGAAGGCAGATACCGCCGAGTTGGTGCTCCAAATGCTGGAATGGCTCTCCTCGCAGGAAGACGCCAAATTGAAGACCCTCGTTGGTATCGCGCCAGAAGGACTTGACTACCTCTGCACCACCCTCTCTGCAATCTTACCCCCACCCCGTGCGGAAGTGGTAAGCAGTATCCGAGCCAGGCTCAGCACAGACGAGGACGAGCTCCTCCTTCCCCCGACGATAGAGCTCCCCGATCCCAATGCTTTTGCCCTGCCACTATCGGCACTGGAAAATCTCCTCGAGCGGAAGAAGCTGAAGGAGCCATCGACGCCGACCAAAGGCACGAAGACGCCTGATATTTTGGGCGTGGTTATCTCGCCGCCAACGGCGCTTCTACGGTCACCAGCTGCGACGGGGCTGACGAAGACGTATGCAAACAACGACTTCAGGCAGCTGAGGCAGATGCCTTCGACAAGGTTAAACACGAGCAGGCTACCGAGCACGCATGGTGGGTCTTCTCCTCGGACGTTTGTCTGCAGAACAGTGGTAACAGAATGCTAACTGTTGGATCTGCTTTTCGTACCTACGCTGTTTCTTACCTGGATGTTGTTTTGTCTTGTAATAGTTGATGTAGGTATCAACGGTCGTTCCGACCTGGTATTCTACTGACCACTTGGTCTTAACGATAGGAGTTTGGACAGCGGCCTACAGCATCCCCGGAGATGGGTATGGGCCTCCTGCTTCCAGCCATGCCGCTTGACCCGCTCGGTGGTGCGTATCAAGGCATATCTGGAATGTTGTGATCGTTTCTACTTCGCCCCGTGTTGACCTCGTGTATAGTAGATGTGTTACTCTTTGTGTATTCTTTTTTGTTATTTGCACTTGCTTTCGATGTGCATCGTGTTCCGTTGGACCTATCAGTGCGTTTTGTATTTTTGTGAGTGTGAAGGTCGCTGGAGGAGTATTTATTGTAATTACGAAGCGCGAAGTGATCTTTTGGGGTGTCGCACAATGAGGATACAGTACATCTAGACGTGTAGCGGAATGCAGGAATAATTGTACAATAGGTCATGAAGGAAAGAATGTCTGCCAGTGGTTTGTTGTCTTCGTATACACCGATCAAAAAGAACAAAGAGAACTTCAAAGTCATTGGAAAGTGAATCCAAGAAAAAGACACCATAAAATGTAAGAGATTAGATAAAATTATGTGAGGTGCCGTAGAGGCCGTTGTCGTAGCGTCCGACTGCCAATACCCAAACTCGAAGACGGCGCCGTCCCCGACCGCAGAGGCGGAGCAGACATGGTGGAAGGAGGGCCTCGCGGGGCTGCGGGAGACCGCGGAGAGGACGGCTCGTCATAGTCAAATGAACGAAAGTATCGATCCATGTCCTCCGCATCAAATTCAGAGGGAGGAGCTGGTGAAGACGGGTGTGGAGGTAAGTCTTTCCTTGCAGTTGGTCCCTGGCCTGAAGGTCCAGCAGATGGGGATGCAGCAGCATTGGGGTCACCAGCAACTGGTTTCTTACCCCCCAGCCTGTACGTCCGTTTCCTCTTAGCCTTGACAGGCTGCCGCTCGCCGCTGGCTCCATACCCATATGGCCCTCCGCCTACCACACCCAGGCCCCTTGGCGGCACGCTCCGTACCGTAAAGTGCGACAAGTCTCTCGTGTATGGCGACAGAGTGTGGTTGGAATGGCTGAGCGTCGAGAGCTGGTGTATAGAGTCATTTAGCGACGGCCGGAGGACGATCTTCGCGTGTGGGTGGCCGTTCAAGTGGGGCAATTGCATGTGCGAGGGAGAGGGAGAAGTGGAGAGGAACTCGGCATGGGTGTTAAAAGTCGAGGTCGTAGAGGTTATGGAAAGGCGTCGCTCGGAGAGCGGTCGGCGGACATGCGGATGGGGTGCAGTACTTGGGGCGTATGTTGACGCCGTACCTGCGTGGTGAGATGAGGAAGATGCGAAAGGGGGCTCGTCATACGGCGTGTGCTCCGTGGGGACCGTCGACAGTGTCCTTGTTGGCCCGCTACTCGACCTGGACGGCTGCGAGCGCGACTCAAGACTCTCGGGTGATGGCGGACGGTAGCCATGACCTATTGGAGGTGCGCTGCGGGGTGGTGCATGCATAGACATGCCAGACACGCTCGGCGCTGCACTACCAAAGTTAAAGCTGCTCATCCTACTTGAGTGCGGTCCCTGTCCACCGTACGAATACGTGCGCGGATACGCTGATGGGTATTCGGGAAAATAAGGATTCGATGCTGTGCTGGGGTGACGAGAGAGCATTGACAAGGCGGGTGTCGCAAGCCCGGACCTGAAGACACCTCCCATACCCGCAAGGGATGAGGAAGATGCTGGACGCGTGAGAGGTGGTGGGAGGTTGGCCGACGCGTGTGTCTGTATGGCCGACTGCGAATGAAATACCCTTGGTCGAGTGATTGTGCCGCCGCCAACGGCAGGTATCGTCTCATACTCTATCTCTCTTTCCCTCTCTCTGTCGCGCTCATTCAAGCTTGAAGGCGGCGACGTCCCTGCTGGCTCATCCCCCCAATCAACGAAGTCAAACGAAGCAGCCTCATCGTCATCGTATTCGTCATCGTCCTGTTCGCTCGGTTCAGGCTCCTCAGCGAGGTCTGCAAGGCCCTTGTTCGGCGTAAATAGGCTGCTGAAGCCCTTGAACACGCTTTTCGTGGGTAGGCCCTCAGGCCGGAGGCCGTACGTCGGGTCGAAGTTTTCTAGATCAGGGTGTGAAGACGTAGATGGCTCGTTTAGCAGTGATTGAGGTGAAGAACCTGCAGGAGGTTGGGGTGGCCGACTGGCGCTGGTGACCGACCCGGACGCCGAGCGTGGTTTACGCGAGCCAAGTGAGGTTGAAGAAGCTTTACGTGACAGGTGTGGGTGGAGGCCAATATCTGACGCGATGGACCTGTGAAACGATATGTCGGGCGTCGAGAGCGTGTCGAACGTTGGTCGTGTCTGAGGAATTGGTGGTCGTTTCGACAAATACGGTGCCTCGACCTTGGCCTTCACCCATTGTTGGCTCAGTCTATGAATGATCCCCGGTAAGTCCTCCCTAAACATCTGCCGCAGTTGACCTTCTATCTCCCTCTGAATGAAATTCTGGATGACAGCGATGGAGTCGAAGGTGCTATTAATATCAACGTTTTGGAGAGGGTCTGTCTTGAACACGAGGGTAATCCCCTTCTGCTTCGAGACAACGAGGACAACATAAGAGCTGAGGCGGAAGTGGGATAGACGGAGAAGCATGGGGACGACGAGTGGGTGCTTGGCGGCGAGCATGCCCCGAGAACCAGCCATGAGGTGAATGTCAGGTTGCTTGTGGTTGAGCGGGTTGGCCTGGAGATTGCTTGAGCAGGACAGCAGGACAGAACAGACGACCTCAACGCACCTGGACCTTTGTCTTCAAAACGAGATGCGCATCGCCCGCGTATGTCAACCGAAAGATCCCTCTAAACTGGTCGACAGTGAGGTCTCCAATGTCGCGAATTTCGAGTTCTGGCGGCTACCCGTGGTACAGAAAAATAGCAAAACGACAGGACGACAGCCGTCGGTTACTCAGAGACGATCATAGGAGTAGCAGGTGCCTCACCTGGGTACCCATCTCCAGCTCGACGACCTCTATTCTGTCGGCTATGATTGGGGGCTTGTTTCCCTTGTTGAGAGCGGTGTTGAGCATTTGAATGGCATCATAGTGAAACTGGTCGGAGAAACGAGGCCAGTTGAAGGTGAAAGACATAGAGGACCGCGCATTCAGGCCAAACCCGGGATGTCCTCGTATAAAACAGTAAAGAGATACCAATCGGGGACAGAGCTGTCGTCACTGGGCTTTTCGAGCTGGGGTTAGGTGCACGTTTACGGGCACACGAGGGCTTGAGTTTAGGAGAAAGGAAGGAAGACAGTCGGGACTCGGAAGATAAGTAGTGCAGTAGGAAGGGTCCAACCTGAAATACACAACTGCGCACGAACGCGGTGATGCTGAAGACGAAACGCAACGGCACAGTGATATTTGCGTGTATTTGCGGAACGTCGCCGGAAGGTGCGCCACACACCCTCACTAAGAAAGGTGGATTTATCATGTTCGTCGTATGTATTAGGACCGCGTATCGTACCCGTCATTAAAAAATCCAAAGTGAATAAATACAGCAAAAAATATATCATGAAGCAAGAGAAACATTACTTCTTCACCGCTCTCAGCTGTGCTCTCAGATTGCCGTTCTCCGTCTGCATCGAGTTCAGCTCGTCGAGCAAGGCGATCCGCTGAGACTGCTCCGACATGCGCATTGCGTCGATCTCCTCCTGGGCCAGCTCCAGCTTCTTCTTCGTCTCCTGCAGCTGCACCTCGAGCTGCTTGCGCACCATCTCGGGGGCCATCGCGGCCTCCTCCGCTAGCGTCAATGTTCGTGCGCTCAGCGTGTTGTTCGCCTCAGTCAGCTGCTCGAGTGTCTCGCCCTGCTCTGCCGCACGCATCTCCAGCTCCCGCTTCTCCGCAGACATCCTCTCGATCGTCTCGTGCAGCAGGAGCAACTCGTCTTGGCTGTGGCAGGACCACAGCTAATCGTCAGGTGCGCTTTCATGAACAGAGAAGGAGAAACGTACATCGCAGCCTGCTTTGCACCCATCGACATGTTCCTCTCCTCCAGCATCCGCACTTGCTTCTGGTACGTCTCCATAGCGGTGTTACCCTCCTGCGCCAGTTTTTGGGCCCTCTCCGCATTCTTCTTCAGAAGATCGTGCGCTTGGGCAAAGCGTATAAGTCGTTCGATTAGCGCCTTATCGTCGTTGATGAGCGCCTGCACCCGCTGAGCGAAGGCTTCAATAGAGAACGGCCCGTTGCCTGGTCGAGGCGATGACGGTGTTGTCTGGCCGTTCTGCCGCGTGTCATAGAGAGACTTGAGCGAACGGACGTCGAGGTCGGAAAGTGAAGAGGCAACACCGTTGGGATTCGCCCCGCCCGGCGTAGAGGGCGTCGGGGAACCCGTACGGAAGGTGCGGCTTGAGGCGCTGCCAAACTTGGCCGCGCGTGCCTCGGGTGAGGGCAGGACCTGCCAGAGAGGCTGGAGGATGGCGACAATCCGTGCAACGTCCGTGTCGCCCGCATAGTCGTCTAGAGGGAGTGGAATTGACAGGGAAGGCGATATAGGCGTCGACGCCATCGAGCCGTTGCGCATGTGCGACGGGATGGCGCGTGCTGCCCTTGTCTCGATACTTAGCGTTTCGCGCTTCGCCGTGTCCCTCTCCCGCCTCGCCTCCTCGAGCTCCCGTGTCAACGATTCACGCTTGTCGAGGCCGGCACGGACGTCGTCCTCCAGCTTCCGCCGTGCCGTCTCCCATTCAGCTTCCGCCCTCGCGTGGCCCTCGAGCTTCGCGTGCACCGTCTCAATGTGCATGCCGATCGCATCGAGCAGGCCTTTCAAGGACGAGTCTCTTGAGAAGAGAACGATGCCGTGCGTCTTGACCATGCTTTGCAACGTCGCGAGCCCTGTCGAGAGTTCCCGGTTCGCCTCAGCCACAGCAGTCTCATCCTCCTCGCGTGTGCGCTCCATTTCCTCCTGCAGCCGGGCGAGGTCCTCCATACGCTCGTCTTCTATCTGTTGGCGCTCTTGTTCCCACTCGACCCGCTCAGCATCCCGTTCCGCCTTTAGCCTTGCGAGTTCGGCGTCCTTCTCGCTCAGCTGTTTCGTGGTCTTTTCTCGAAGCTCAGAGAGCATACGCTCTGCTCCGCCAGCCGCTTCACCTGTCCGTGCCTCCGAATCTATCAACCGCGCCTGAAGGATCTCTACTTGCCTGCCTCTTTCCTCCAGCTCCTCCCGCTCCTCCTCCCATGCGCTTTTCTCCCTCCGCAGTGTCTGAACCTCCTCATTCAGCTCCTCCAGCCGTGGGATCTCCTTTTCCAGCGCTGCGATGGTCTCCTCGGCCGCCTGCAGATCCATTCCCATGACAGTCTCGACCTCCTGCTTTTCGAGGCGCATTAGCGACAGGTCGCGTGTCATCTCGGCCTGCTTCTTCCCTGCTTCCGTAAGTTGGTCCTTCGCAGCCTTCAGCTTCTCCTCAAGAGTGGCAATCTCCGCTGCTGCAGCCTCAGCAGACAGCTTCGCTTTGGGCATGATCGCATCTGCGTGCCCCGCGAACAAATGCGCACCGTCGAAGCGCGCCTTTGAGGAGGTCGACACGGATGTCATGGACGACAAGGCAGGGCTCATCAGCGTGCTCCGGTTCGACTCGGAGGAGTCTTCCGTCGACGACGACATCTTCTTCTCCATGTTCCGCACCTGGAACCCCAGCACGCCTGCCCGGTGCTCCATCAGCCGCCTGTTCACCTCGTTCACCCGATCGGACACCTTCCATAACTCCGTCTGCGCAGAATCGACCCGCCGATTTGCTACGTCCAGTTGCTCAGACGTCTGCTTGCTGACCTTTTTGTGCGAGGCGTTCACTTTCGACAGAGACAGCGCAGCATCCCGTATTTTCGTTTCCAGTGCCAGTTTCTTCGTTAACGCGCCTAACCGTGACGTGAGGACTTGGTGTTCCTTCGAGAGTCGTCTTTAGTCAGTCCCTCCGAAATACGTAATGAAGCACACCTTTTTAAGCTCGTCAACGTCCTCGCCGTTGAGGATCTCATACTCTCGACTGTCGATGACGGCCTCACTGGCCATGAGACTCATGAGCAGCTCGTCGCGTGTGTTGAGATTGCCCGACACGCGCTTCCAGCCCGGATCGGTGTTGACCGACTTGCGCGCCGAGTACCGGTTGGTCGTGCTGCGGGGTGAGGAAGAGGAGGCTGGCGAACTGGGCACGGTCTGCGATCGCGTTGGCGAGCGATTAGAGCTGCCCTGGCTGCGCGAGAGGTTGGCGGTCTGTCGTCCTGGTGAACCATACGGCACCGAGCTGGTGCTTGGGTCCTCGTCGGCGGCTGGCGGTCGTGAACGGTCCTTTTTGAGGAACAGAGAGGCGGTCATGGGTGGTCGCGGACTTGGCTCGGAGTTCGGGGAGTATACGGACGTCGGGGATGTAACTGGGGATGACGGCGGCCAGGTTGGACCTGACTTGGGAGTGAAGGCGAGCGGGACGGTTGACTGGGGCGTCTGTGGAGGAATACTAGGAATATTGGGGAGGGGGTCGGGCCTTGTCGGTGGCGAAGGCGAGGCGGTGGCCCCCAGAAGCCTGCGCACTCCGTTCATGTTGGCTGTTGAAAGCCTGCCGGACTGCTGCTCGTCGTCGTAAGGTAAAAAATCGCCGAGAATAACTCTTACCTTAGGGGTGTACAACCACATTGTTCCCACCCTAGTTCAAGTCCAGAAATAGCCGCCACTGGTCTGGTTCGACCCATCATCATCTCTCTCATGCCATGACAGTGTCCTGAAGATCTCGTCCACTTTGTATCACTCATACTCTAGCGACATTGAGATGGCCACCACATTGACAATGATCTCGACACTGCACCCAGAAACATCTGCCATCGCTCGATTGGTGCCAGTCGCAGGATTCAACGAACTTGTTTCCTCTCTATTCTTCGTTGTTGTCGCACCGCGTTCTCTGAAAGCTCATCGGTAACCAGGCCGTGGTAGGCGCCCTACGAGAGTGCAGGAATGGCCTCGATACTGTCCCAACCCACATCCTGCCGCTGGTCGTCCTTGATTTATCAACTTGCACTGTGCGTGCTTATTTCTTTTCTTTCTCTGACCAAATGTTGATTGTCTTAGACCGTCCGAACTTCTGCTGAAAGCGAGAAAGTGACAACGAGGGGCGTCGAATGCGCTTGTCAAACAGCAGCACTTCCTTGACGTCTTGCCCAAAGCGGTGGTGACCACTCTCGATATGGCAGCATCGCACAGTTACTTCCCCCCACCATGTCCCTCGAAAAAGTACTCAAGAGCATGTCCGCCCTCGAGCCCCTTCCCCTCGACGCGACCCCAAAGACACGCAAGACATTTGAAAAGTCTCTTATGAATCGCCATCGCCTTTCCGGCCTCATCCACATGCACACGAGTGGGCTCCTGGCGGCATCCGGAATCGACGTTGTCAATTCCCAACTCGACTGGACCGATCCGCAGATCGACAACAGTGGTCCTACTGTGCGCTTTTTTCTTCTTCCTTATGTGCATATATTCACCTCGAGCCAGACTGCCGAAGCTCGGTACGACGAAATCATGGAAGCCCTGGATGATCCCATGTTTCTCCCGGAGGAATGGCTCCAACCCATTCTCAAACCAATGAAGGGCACGTTTCAGCAGATGGAGCACCAAGCCTTTCTCCACCTTGTCCGAGGATACTTTCCAGCAAAGTCTGTAGAGGAATTGGTGGGTTTCTCCTTACTTATCCATCTTCGTACCTGACTGGCTCCAGGGTGAACTCTTCGACGGGGCTCGCGGCGATGATGTCAATCTCTTAGCCTTCGCCGCCAGCATAGCGCTGGAAACCAATCTGGACCCAACCGCCCGCCTCCACGCACGCGAGGCGATCATGCAGTCCATCGACGCGTCCGACAACAGTCAGTCGTTCGTCTCGTCAGTCATACGCTCCATACAATGCCTTCGATTCGCCGCCGAATGGGCTCTACTCCCCAGCCTTCCAGGCGGCCGCCTCTGGAAGACGCAGTACCGCACAGACGCCTTCAGCAAACATAATGCCGAGTTTGTCGCCACCGATCACACTGCCCAAGAGTTCAACAAACGCTTTTCTGCCTTCACCAATCGGCACGAAAGGGTAATCACCGCAAGGAATGATCTTCGCAGATTGTTTTCTGTGGTAAGTGTCTTATTCTTTTTCCTTCCCATGCTCAACGTATTGATAGTACGGCCCAGCGATCTTGATGCATCCTGCGTGGTCGCCAGTCGCCTCGTACAACACGAGCACGACGGGGCGGTCGACCACCTTTCCAGGCCTTCTCAGCCTTTTTCTGCACGGGCCGCCTGAGTTTTCTCAAGACTACCACGAGGAGAATGATAAAGCTTTCAAGCAACTGATCAAGATCCTCCTGCCCACTTAGGCGTATGACTACATTGTCAAATTCGTGGACGAGTACAAGTAGCTCCTGTGGCCGTCGCTTTTTGCTCGCAATGTGAAACTTGGCATGCTTTCTATAGCAACAAAGAACAGCAGTGTGTATCTACTCGTTGCCCACCTGCGCTGCAAACCCAGAGGGGATTACAGCGTTGTGCTGCTGCTGTCCCATCATCGGCACCATACCATGCGTATAGGTCATCGGCAACCACGGGTTCGTGTACCCAAAATCGTGGGGTGCGAACGGCGCGGTCCAGGGCATGACCACCCCGGCTTCTCTGAACCTCTCGATGACAAACAGTTGCAAGTTGTATGCGCGGATGCGTGCATCCTCCACCTCCAGTTCTCTCCTCGCTGTCTCAATCTTGAACCTTTCCAACTCAATGGCTCTGTCGGCTTTGTACTTTTCAAGCTTGTTCGCTCGTTCGGTTCTGAGGATTTCTAGCTCCTTGGGGTTTTCGGCCTTGAGGATCTCTAGCCCACGGGCTGCTTCGATGCCCTTCGTCTTCGTTTCGCTTGCGATCTTCTCGGCCTCGAGCTGCATCTTGTGGGCGTCCTGTTACATTTTACTGGCTGCGATTTGGCACTGGGACACATGGAAAGCACTGCGCTTCCAGTCTTCGATGTCGCTCAACGAGACCATTGACTGAGTCGGGCTGACAGGCTCCTTTCCCCTGGTCTTTTTCGCTGTGTATATGCGCCGTCAGGAGCGCATACATGGACTGTAAAGACGTCACTCACCCTTCGACGCTTCTTCATCATTCTCGGAATCATCGGGTTTTCTCTTTTTGGTCTTGGAAGCTTGAGATGCGCATGAGTATACGAGCACCAAAGAAAGGGACGGAAAAATCTACCAAGCATTTCGTATTTACGGTTGGACATGGTTGGAATCGGAATGAAAGCTAGAAAGGTGGGTACGATTGAAGAGCTTGACTTGACAGACTGTTTGGTTACACAAACAACCTCCGCCTCAAGTACCAAGATTGGTGCATCGCTCTCTCTACCTATTTCACCATGAGGATATCGACTGCCGTCCGGCTCTTGGACATGGTCGGCTGAGGGCCGACCGCTGCAGAGCGAGTACGTGTCGGTCCTGACTCTCCTCAGTACAAGAAGGTCGAAAAGGAGTTCCTCGCGGCATTTGGCACTCCTGAGGAGGCACGTCGAATACTGCAAGAACAGGCCGAGCATCTTGAAAGGATAGCAAAAGACATGGCTTCTGGGGCAATAATAGACGAGACAGCTTTGGTACGTTGACGCCACTCGCGAGAGACGCTTCTGTGCTCATTCCTCTCTAGGGCACCGCTGTCGACGAGAAAAAGGATCAATGCAATTGTGCTCGCTGCCATGGTTTGCTCTTTGATTACCATTACAATATGAGACACGCTTACACATATTTTCCTTGTACAGTTCTTTCACTCGAGATAGTCGAGTCTTGGCCACAGTCAAACCCTAGAGCAGTCCGATGATCCTTCTCTCGACGAACTGAAAATCAGCTTTGACATCCCGGCAAGTCAATCCTTTATTGGCATAATACCGATTCAACTGTCTTTAGGAGATTCAACTTATGCTGGGTTTATCCCACAATATGGATGGAGTTGTACAGGGACCATACCTGTGTGCTTCCAGGTCCCCTCAAGATCCCTACCCTTCATGACTGGGCTTCTCTCCCGATCCCAACGGACGCGGAGACAAATTCATATCGGAATCTTTCGACGTAAACAAATATACGAGTAACTGTCGGCCTTCGGCCGACGGACGCTCGCTACGCGGTGTAGAATGTGAGTGGCTTCAGACCGCGACGCGGCTAGCGTGGGCCGTGATGTGGCACCCCTTGAAGACCAGTTTTTTCAGGTCTTTCACAGTTGCAAAGACGAAGATTGTACATCTAAATTAGGGCAAATATAAGACACTAGTGGTAGTTGTACACAGAATGTGATATGTGCAATATCGAAGAGGAGACGTGTTTAGGGGTGTCATTTACAGTTAGAAAAGTGGCACCCCTCTAAAACCTTCAAATTTTCCCGTAGATGCATGATTTTTTTTGACCATCGTACTTATTCATGAGTGAATACTACATATATGCAGTACTATAGGGAAAGAAAGAGAATTGAGCGAGATTTTGAGCATTCTATGAATCTCGGAGGCATTTTGCGAGTCAAGAAGTTTGGTTTTGTTTACTCCTCGCTGCACCCCTTTAGCCGTAACTGCTCGCTTCGCTCGCAATAACACTTTACCGTAGCTCTAACAAGTCTCTCTGATACTGTATTTAACCGACGAGAGGTTTGCCCGTGCTTCGCAAGGGGCTTAAGGAGAAAAATAAAATTACGCTTTCTTTTTCTCTGCTCGGGAAGATGTATTTCAGAAAAGCATAGTTGATTCCATTTGAATTCACTTCACTTTGCCCCTCCATCGGGCCCCTCAAGTAAAACGAAGGAGGATAAAAGGTGTTGGCTCTTAAGGAATTGAAGAAAAAGGTTACACAAAACCCCTGGCGGGACTCGAACCCGCAGCCTCCAGATATTACGTAATATTTCACGAGTTTGATTCCGCAAAGATAGAAGTCTGACGTCATAACCATTAGACAACAGGGGCGTTGTTAAATGAACGGCAGCTGGTCATTATAATTGTCCGACTCAGGAAATAGTACTACTAGTACTGCATACTTCGGAGACAAACCTTCTTTGTCTTTAACCCCTGCGTCCAATTAGCCCCGCAGGAGACAATACCTACTTCCCATTGTACCTTTTGCGGGGCTCCCGAGAAACGGAAACCTGCACCATCAATTGACGTGTCCCTGTCATGAAGAGTCATAAAGGCCTTTGTCGCCCACATTTTTTGACTCAAGTCACTTAACCATCATTTGCTCCCCCTAAAAGCCTTTCCAAAACCACAGACTTGCGTTGAAAGTTTCTTTTCACGTCGTACGCAAGCTTGTGTCGCTTCCTGTTCTGCTATGCCCGCTCTTGAAACTGACGAGTTCGCTAACCTCGTCAACCTCGCCGATGAATTCTACGAGCTCGACCGGTCCCTATTCCCCTTTCGAGCTATGGGCGGCAATGAAGTACGAAAAATATATGACCTGCACCCTCTGTGGTTTGACGAAGAGTATCCAAGCCGACGTGATCTGCGCGGTATGTGCATTTCCTTTCGTTTCTTTCTATCTCCTGGGCCGAATAGCACGTTCTTCTGCCAGGCAACTACGTCGCAAATTACATATTCCGTCAACTGAAGACACAGGCTAAACAAGCAGAACCTCGTTTTAAAGACCTTACTGCTATGTTTAACAAGCTTCCTATGGAATTGATTTACGAGGTATATTCTTCGCCTCAACGTCGTTGCATTCTAACCAACGCTTGGACTAGATTTTTGAACATCTTCATCCTTTTGACTTGTATACGATGATCCGGACTACGAAAGGCTTGAGAGCATTTCTACTCAGTCGTAAGGCATCTGGTGTATGGGTTGGATCTTTTGCCCGTCAGCCCAGCATTCCCTCGTGTCCTTTCGATCTTTCGTACCCTAAGTGGGTCTCACTATTGTTTGGCCCGAGTAGATGTGATGTATGTGCCCGGTCCTCTTTCACTGCGTGTGTTACACATCTTGCAACTAGGAATGTAATCACCGGGGTGCGATGATTGACTTTGCCATTCGCCGCCGACTTTGTGATAACTGCATGGTAAAAAGCCTTCATCACTTGCTTGAATTTTAATCCAATGTTGCAGCAGGACGACGAGAGTGTTTTTCATCAGCATGAAATGCCCTCCATCCTGAAATCCGAGGAAGAGTATGAGACGTTACAAACGTTGCTCCGAGGGAGCCATCGAAATGGTAAATCGTTATCTGTGGTCGAACAAAAACCCGGACCAACCCCATCCTTAGATCCCATTACGTATCCAGATCTTGACGAGTACACCGGGGAATCACGATATTTGGAAAGTGAAGTCCTAGAGAGGAGTGTCCAATTGCGCGAGCATCTTGATGCAATAGGCCAGAATGTTCCCGGGGCGCAGGACCGGTATAAACAGTTCAAATCGGAGACCTCGCGAACCATCCAAGAACTCGCTGAGGTGCGTGATTGTCTGGATTAATTCATTTGGAATACTGATATCTCATTTAGCATGCCAAAACTTGTGATCAATACTTTGCGGAAGTGTTTGAAACCATTGATAGCGAGTACGATCTCGTCCTACAGAATCTTCTGCCTAGGTCAGAGTTTCATGGCCACTGATGGTCTCATATCTTAATGTCCCACAGGTGGACCGACGCACTGGCCTGTCTGGGACACGACTGTCAAGATATTGCACATGTGCAAAGTCGACTCAAGTGGATGCTGTATTATGATCATGTCGACAGGTACAGCGACAAGTGTCAGTCCAATGGCTTCAAGAAATCTTCCTTGGCTTACCCATCTTGTAGTACTCCGGCGATACCTACGTTGGATTGAGCCGTCCTTAAACGAGGCCTGGGCAAATCGGCTGGTGAAGGAACATGAAGAACGAGTGGTGGAGCGAAGAAGGCTCGTCCTCGAGTTCTACGGCCGTTATTGTTCCTCAATAGGCGCTGTAACCCGGCAATACCTGCCTAATGTTGAACGAATCGGCCAACTCAAAAGCATCTCCAACTTTATCTACAATCGTAGCGAAGTCGTTGGGGATTTCCCGGTCGTCGCTGTTACGAAGGAAACCGAGGAATTCGTGGAGGCTTGGCTGGCTTTCGGGAAACGCCATCTGTGCAATGTTCTATCTCACACGTCGTTGCCGTCCTCGTCCGGTCTTGCGGACGAGAGGATGCTGGAGCTTGCGACGGCCGTCTTTTCTTCTCGCCTGAGCCTTGACTCTAGCATGCCACGATCAGCAAGTGGCCTAATCGGATGGGCCGACGTAGGAATCTACTTCGACCGTCTTGTTTCTGATGGTGCTGCCGATTTCTCGGAGGAAGGTGGAGCTCACATGTCCGACCTGCAGTTCGATAAGGAAGGATACCTGGCTGTGCAGCATATCCTCGGGCTATTGGAATTGGACGTGGATTCGACACTGGCGAGTACTGTCGACGCCTTGAATGAACGTTTCACTTGCACCTATTGTCCATTATTGACCAGCAAGTCGACCTGGAGACCCGTCATGACTTGGAGAGAATGTGTAGGTCCCTTCTTAACACTTAATCAGCCAACTAAGTTGTCATTTGCCCCTAGGTCTCACACTTCTTGCACGAATCTGACCACCATCAGCAAGGGCCACGATTTGCTATTCTTTCTAACGAGCTCAAGAAATCGGTGTTGTTCCACGAGGCCCCGTTTCCTCCACCCAGCGAACCCCAGTGGTGCTGCAATCACTGCGGTGATTCCATTGCAAAGAGCAGGATGGATGTGGTTGCCCATCTTAAAGCACAGTTTGTGTATCATTTTTTACCGGTAGACGCTGAGCTTATCACTGACGTGGCAGACACTCGATTTATCGTCCGGTCTCCAATGTAGACTTCATTTATCACCGAACTGCTGTCGATACGGATCGAAAGCCGTATCGCCTGTATTTGGAACCCCCGGCCAATCTGCGTTGCAATAGATGTCCTGATGAAAGAAAGCTGCGCCTATGGAAGAAGGAGCCACTGCTAGCTCATCTCAGAGACAAGTAGGCGTTCCACACAATTTTTGAAATTGCTACCTCATCCGGCTTACTTAGACATGGCCAAGAACGATATGTTGAAGGCGAGGACTGGATAACCTTGCAACTTTGGAATGAGGGACAAGAATGATTTTCGGTATTGTCACGGTTAGGACTCTGATCTTTGAACATCCTCTACGTCGTCTCTCTTTCCTGCGGTATCCGAAGCCGTGGTTTGTTTCTTGGAATGCTTGCCGTTGACAGCGATGACGACTCGGAGGACGCTTCTTGCATGCGAACATTTGCCCAAAATTCGTTTTGTTGATATGATCATTATACTGTCCCATGATCCTGCGATGAATAATACTCCCTCCTTGTCTAGGTTCGTGTATGTATGTGGTGTTGTTGTTTACTACAGTCGAACCCCTAACCCATACCCCTCGGTGGACGGCCCAGGGTATGGGTTATGAGAGGTTATGGGTTATGAGAGGTCAATTTTGGTGTAAATTTTGGTTTGGTAGCGGCCAAAACCTATGGGTTATGGGAATGTATGGCTTACGAGAGGTATGGATTAAGAGGGGTCTGACTGTACTACGCAATAATGGATTGGAAGATAAGTAAGGGAGGGTGCGAAATCTGACGTGCGACGACCAGGGGAGATACGTACAGCAGAGGCGCAAGTGCTGCATAAGCAACAAGAGTATGCTGGATAACATTAACAAAAATTCCTCGAAATAAATCCACCTGCGTCCATCCTCACTTCCTCACCATAAACTTATACGTCGAGTACCCACCCACCAGCGCAAACGCCGCCAGACACGCAATAATACTAATAAACCACGCATAACCCTCGACACCCTCACCCGGTACGTGTACGTTCATACCCCACAGACCTGTGACCAAATTCATAGGGATAAGAACTGTACCAAGGGCGGTCAGCTTGGAGAGGACGTCGTTGATCTGGTTGTTGGCGTCCGTCATCTCGATGGAGATCTGAGCGAGATAATTTGAGTGTGACCGCGAGAGGATCTTCTCGTAGTGGTTCAGATTTTGGGTCATGGTAATTAGGTGGTCCTGAGGAAAGGAGAGAGAGATCAGCAATGGAGAAATGAAGACTAAATGGAGGGTTCGAACCTGAATATCGGAGAGGTAGAGACCCTGTAGACAAGCAAGAAAAAAAGAAGGGAAATCCAATTAGTACTGGCAATCCTCCAACTCTCGAGAGACAAGCACGCACGATATCCGATGTGGGGGCCACCCGCCAGTTCTCATTGCATCTCTTCGCCAGCCCCTTAACCACGTCCGCCTTATTACCCATCAGCCGCAACAAACCCATAACCTTCTTCCTGCACGTCCCAATACGTCTCAACATATCGCTCTGCTCCGCCTCCTTCAAAATCAGCACCAGCTCATCAATACTGTCGACCTCATACTCAATCCCCTGGATCAACGGCCCGAACGCGTCAGTGATGTCGTCAATGAGCGCGTACGAAATCCAGTCGGAGGTGACCGAAATGTAGTCCTTGAGTTGCTTAATACGCCGGCGCACATTCTGCGGGTGCGGCGTGGGCCGGAAGTGGAAGGAGAGGGTCCCCTCACGGAAAACGATGATGTACATGTTCAACGGCTCGAGGTGCGTGGGCGAGTACGGGTCCTGGTCGAACGAGCGAAAGCACACGAGGTAGTAGTTCCGGAACAGCTCGATCTTCTCGCGTGTCTCCTCCATGAGGATATCTTCCGTTGTGAGTGGATGGATGGAGAACACCTGGTACATAATCTGATTGGCTTTGATGAAAAGGAAATAAATCAGACTGACTTGCCTTGGAAAGCATCTTCATCTCCTCGTCCGTAGGGCTCTGCACATCCAACCACCACGTATTCGCGTCTGCGTCCGCGCTGTTCATCGCACCGTTGGGTGCCCCACCGCCACCCATCTTCTCGGTCGGACCACCAAACGACCGCCTGGCGCCATTGATGTTCGGGCTAGGGAAGTAGCTGCCCGCATCCGAAGGCGCTCGTGTAGACGGTTCCTGGTATGGAGGCGAGAACGTCTGGCGGTCTTTCATCCCTGGAATGGGTGCAGCACGCGTCGGAGCAGTGCCTGTCGCCGCACTTGTGGGTGGATGGATCCCAGAAAACAATTGCTCAAACGTCTGTCCCTCGGCCGGTAGCTCGCTCAAGCTCCTTGCATGGATTGTGGCGGAAAGAGCATTCGAATAGAAAGAAAAACGGTACGGTCTGTCGTGGCCTGTGTTCAGGATGCCGCCCGATACGCCCGCCGTGCTGGGTACGCCGGCGATATGGTCGTACGAAGGACCGGAGGGTAGCCCACCAGTATTCCCACTGAGGACAAGCCCAAGCCTTGCCGAGAAGGAAGGTGTGTCGTGGGCGTTGGACTCGAACAGTGCCATTTTGCCGCCGATGCCCTTGCGGTGGGTGCGTGGATGAGGGTTGGACTGACTGAGCTTGCGGTGGCGTAGAGGCCGGAAAGAGGTTGGGTCTGCAGAACCAGAGGCAGATGCATCGTCGCTGGAGGGAAGGTGTTGTTGAGATGAAGAAGGTTGAGCTTGTGTTTCGCCGGTTTGGGATGCTCTGGCTGGGGATGCAGCCTGGGGTACATCTGTCATCGAGCCAGAACCTGAGCCTGAGGCAACGCCAACTCCTGACGAAGCTTGTGTCGTTGACAGGCCTGCTGGTGTCTCGAGGTTGAGCTTGGCTCGGCCACGGATGGCACTCAGTGAAAACCGGGCGCTGAGTGGTGCGTTAAGACCTAGTCTTGCCTTCTCCACGACGGCAAACTCCTCCATCGGAGAAAAATTGAAGCTGGGCTGGGTGACATTGGCCTGATAGGTGGGTAGGTCGAAATTTGAGGCGGATGGGTCCTCTACGTTGGGGACGGGATGGTCACGAAATTGTGTCTGATGTAGGTTGGTGTCGGTCGTAACGTCGTAGAGGCCATTATCGTGTTCGAAGATGGCGTCCTCAGTTGGGTCGAGGAGCAGGTCCTCGTCGTCGTGCTCGCGGCGAGAAAGGGAGGGAAAGAGGTCCGAGGAGCCCGCCGCCTGCTGGGTGGTATCAAACGGCGATGAGGTGGCGACTGGTGTCTGGAATGTCACGACAGGGGATGAGGCAGCATTGAGGGTGTCTCTTCGAGCTAAGGAGAGTTGCATGGCCATGTCAACGTCCATCGTACGTTGGCGCTCTCTAACTTGCGGGTCATTGGGGTCAAATGAACGGACGAGTGTGGGTGAATGACGAGGTGCCCGAGAGTTGATGTCGCTCATCTCACTTGGAGACAGGCTACGGCGGCGGACAGGGGAGATCCCCCGGATGGACACGGGGGAGCTCGACGCTGGCACATCGCGAGGCGGAGAGGCCATCCTGGCACGGAGCAACCTGAAGTTTTATCACTACCCTGCGAAACTTGTGATCTCTATATCCAGGAAGATGAAAAGGCGTGCACTCACGTTTCACAACAGGAAGACGAGTGTTGAACCAGCACAAGAACAAAATGGAACGTGGCTTCCCCGTTCAAACCTCCAGTCGGACACAAGTCGGGATCAAAATCTTCAATCCTCCCACCAGCCCACTTCCTCAGGTGACGTCAATTCCTAAAGTCCTTGGCACCGTCAGACCCTGGTGAGGTTCCTACTTACTCCCCATGAGATAATATCGATAGGGCGAACCCTACAGTGAATGTATAACGTATTATTCTAACCAGGGTGAACCTACATACGTTTACCTAGACCCGGCGAAATATAAGAGTCGAGAGAGATCACTGGAAGATCCTCTTGTACTATTGCCTGTGATTGAGTAAGGGGTTTCTAATAAGACAAGAGACAGCGTACGAATACACGGGAGTAAAATGGACGAAACGCGGAAAGCGGCAGAGAAAGGAGGAACGAAGAGAGATTCAAGACTTGGACGGCTCATAAAATTACGTAGAGAAAAGAAAGCATCGAGAGCAACGGCAAAGTGTCCAACAGAAGTTATCCAAAGAGCATAAAGGGCATACGAAAAATCATATACTCGATCATAGAGGACCACGAGCCTCGCCAGAAATCAGTGTCTTCACCGAAGGCAGGATCGGCGAAGCCCCAGGCCCATTCCTTAGCGGTGGTAGCTGATTACCGTTCCGTGGCGACGTGTGCACCGCCTGGTTTGTTGGCGAGACGATCATAGCCAACGATGGCGAAAGGGTCTGCACAGGCCGGGATGGAGGCGACATTGGTGTCGGTGTCAGGGAAGGCCCTGTGTGGCGCTTTAAGGGAAAGGTATTGTTCATGCGAGAGTCTTCCTCCTGCATGGAGGGGGGAGGGGGAGGAGGACGATGTTGATGTTGAGGCTGCGGTTGCGGTTGCGGTTGCGGTTGCGGCTGAGATTGAGCTTGCGGTATCGCCTCCACCTCCTCTGTATGTTTTCTCTTCCTCGACCCTGACGCCGACGATTGAGACGAACCGTTCGCTCTTGAGCCTTCGCCGTTGGGAGCACGTCGTTGTGTGGAAGGAGGCATTGCAGGAGTCGACATTGTTCCCCATCTCGACCACGGCGGCGGTGGCGGAACTCCTCCCGAAGGTGTTGCACTAAATGTGCTCATGGTTGGACCTGGTTGGTGCATTTGGATGGGCCCATGCGAGACAGTGTGGTGCGAGAAAGTTTGGCCGATGCCGTTGTGGACGGGTTGCGACATTCGATGGTTGGCCGGCCGTGGAGGAGGTGCGCTCGTCGTCGAGGTAGTACCATCTGAACCAGGTTGGAACTGCACAAGCTCGACGAAGAGGGTGGGAGTCTGAGGCGCCGGTAGCTTCTTGTAGACGACAACTTTACTGAAAGTATCTAGCATTTCCTTCGTATTGACATAGACATCCAAGCCAGCTTTCTCGCCGGTAAGGATTTCTGAAGACAGAATAAGCGAAGGTTCAAGGAAAGAAGCAAACCTCACAAACCTGCAGGGATTACTCGAACATCGGAATATTGATAACTCTTGCCCTTCCGCAGACAGCAAATCGGGCAAGTAAAGCGAGGGGTTGGCTGGATGTGGCCCTTCTCAGGGAAGAAAACACACCCACTATGGTAATGCCTGTTGCAAATCTCGCAGTCCACAGTCGGGTACCCATTAAGATAGTTCATTCTCCCTCTGCATATACACCTCGTTCCATCCTTCCAGTCCTTATCGATATCTTGACCAAAGGTGAAGCGAGGCCGCTTTCGTTTCTTGGGCTTCGTAGCAGGCGGACGCCCAGCTAGAATGCGATGCAGACCGGCGAGGTCCAATCCGAAAGAAATATCGGGATTGGGCGAAACAGCAAACTGAATCTTGTACAATTTGCGCATATAGTGCCGCACTTGAGGGATGTACTCCGGTCGTTGATTCTCGGGAATGGATGTATACGATAAAAATTGGCCAATAATCGCTGATAGTCGATCTACCCGATGAACGATGATCTCGAGCTTCTTGTAGTCGTCAGAATAGTTCTTGGAAATTTCTGGGGCATTTGCGAGGACGGTAGGGAGGAAACAGAAGTGGAAGCTGCGCTGCTTGGGAATTGAACCATTCCAGTGTTGATGATCGCAGAAAGGGCACGAGCCGCCATTCTTAGCGCATTCGCCGTGGAACCTGGCAAAGCAATGGTCGCACTGCACTGCGTCGGATGGTGCACCGTTCGGAGGCGGTCGAACCGACGTATTACAGATGCAGGTGAAAAACTCGTCGCTTGGTGGCAGATCATCGTCTGGACGAGTGCACTCCAGAACGTCGTCCAAGATGGGTTTGCTGTGAGTATGCCCATGTTCCTCACAATACCATGGGATATCCTTGAGCCATCTCTCATGCTTCGCAACCTGCTTCTCGAGTTGTTCGAAGTTGGGTAAAGCGAACACCTTCAAATGTTCTTGAGCGTACTCCCTCCATTTCGCAATTGCTTGGAAGACGTCTTCATCAGTGCTCGGATGGCGATTTCGGAGAACGTTATCACATCTCCCTTCCAGATCTTGAGCGATATCTGCGCTCCGTTTGAGCAGCTGGACGGAATAGATGCTGAAATCCTTGGAAGCGCGACTTGCAAGGCGAAGGACGTCTTGTATCCTGGCTTTGGTTTCGCCGTTTTCGCAGGCGAGCCAAGCCTTCGCCTGCTTCTGGAAATCGAGTGCCTTTGCACGGGCTGTCATCAAGCGACTAAGAACGGTTGGGTCAATTGGGATGTTCCCATCGATGTCGGCGAACTCATCCAATTCCTCAATCGTCTTGATCGGCTGTTCGAGGATATTGCGGGCACGCGTCTCCCAGTCGTCTCCTTCCCTCTGCCTGGCATCAAGCATTTGCATGTACTTGTTGTCGGCTGACAAATTACAAAGGCGAGCGCGAGTGAGCAATTGACGGACTTCTTCGAGGGTAATGGTGTTGTCAGGATCTTCCAACTTCTCTTCGAGTTCACTGACAAGCTGCTCCCGGTCGACAATCTTCTCTACCTCCACAAGCTCGTCGAGGAGAACGTTGAGTGACGAACCCTCGAGGAGTAAACGCTTGCAATCTCCCAAGAAGGTCTCCCGTTCCTCCTCTGATGGCACGGTGTTGAGAAGGGCAGTCGCCTTGACCTTGGCTTCCTCTGCCTGCTGAGCCAAATTAGTGAGAACACCAATTTCGGGGCAATCAAATCCTAGGTTTTCGACTTCGCGGAGAAGGGCATAAAGGTCGTCCAAACCACGATCTGGTCTATCTCCTAGACCGTCCGAAAAATTGGCCGATTCACTGGTCGAAGGGCGGCCAGGCGGCTTCCGAGAGCGGTTGCGACTTTGCTTGCGAATAATAAACGAATTGGCAGCCTCGACCCATTCGTTTGCACGCCGAACACACTTCCGAAGACTGATCATCTCCGGAAGAGGGAAAGCAAGGCGATCGGCTTCGGCGAGAATGGCACGAAGAGAGCGAAGAGGGGGACGTGCGCTCTCTGCGAGCAATCTCATCAACTTGTTGAGCCAATGCCGTGGAATCGCAGAGCGTTGGGTAAATCTGTATAAGGTACCTGAGAGTTCATCATCTGAAAAACGTTTCCGGAGGGTAAGATGTTGTGGAGTGCCGTTGTCACAGAGCAGGTCGGCATGATCAATGCAAACAACCTTCGTCGAGCACTGGCATGTTACTTGCGACAAGTAACAAAAGACCTTGCAGATACTGCATTGGTATTGATCCTCCGGGCGGTCCTCTTCCTCCAGGATTTCACCCAGTCCAAGGGCACGCGCTTTTTCTCGTTCAGCGAGTTCTCGGTCTGTCATCTCCTTCAAGCTGTCGATCACCCTGGGATGATTGTTAGAAACCAAACTTAAGTAACGCTTAGAATCCTGGGCTTACCATGTAGCAGTCATGGTTGATGTCGATTGCTCGGTAATTGTGCGGATCAATTCGTCATGAGAAAAGACAGGCAGCTTCCGGTGCTCTCGGTATCTTTGCACGCAGTCGAGTCCGAACGGAAGCCAGTCTGGTAGGGCAAAATTGACAGCTTCATTGAAATTTAGCTGAAAAGATGGTCAAAGACAGCTTCTAGTCTCAAGCATATGACCACCTACCCCGTGATTGAAACCAGCATGGTAGGCTTTGGGGAATGTGATGACCAAGTCACCTGCCCGCTGATTGCAAGCATAGACTCGTACACCAGCGTCTGTGACTCTTTGAGGGTTCATTAATGTTACAAGCTGGAATAGGAGGTCAGGTTGAGCCTCGAATAAATCCGGCGCTTCTCCCTTAATAGCCGTTTCGAATTTCTCTGCGTCGGCACCGGGAACACCATACCAAGTCTTAGTCTCTCCCCAGTGCACTAGAGGTCACAGTCAGTTGAATTCTACCGGGGAAATGACAATGGCCTACTATAGTTGATGCTATAAGTGTAGTGATCCTTTGAAAAAGTTGATTGGTAAATCGAAGGGGGAGAACACATTGATATGCCATACCTCGTTGTGCCAACAAAATGTGGAGAACGCCATACCAACATAAGTCCACGGTACCGTCATGCCAGATATATCCGATTTAATGTATCGAAGGAGAGAATCTGGCAGAATCGGAATGATGTTAAGGTTCCAAGAGTCTTTCGAGTATGGGTTCAGAGGATGTGTTTCTATTGTCGGCATTGCGCTGGAGAGGATGAGAGTTTGTCAGGAGAGTCCAAGTTGACATTTGGATTGACTTCACTAACCTTCCGTGAGTCGTAGAGTGGATATCTGCCCCATATTCAACCTCCACAGTTTCATGCGGGGATTGAACTAGACGCCAGAACTCTTCTTCCACAAACTTTTCCGAAACAGTGACCTCTCCTATCCGTGTTTTGAAGAAATCGACCTCTTCAAGCGATTCATCAGAATCAAGAGGTGGGTGCCTTTCAAAGTACGCCCGTCTAAATTCTCGATCGCGAGCCTGGAACGTCGATAGGCTATGTTCTTCGCCCTCATCAAAGCCGAAATCGCCACCCGTGCCAGCGAGGCAAGTTGAACAAAACCACTGCTCCCTTGGAATCGTGTCAAGAGGAGGATCGAGACAGAACATATGGAATCCTAGGAGAACTTATAGGGTTGACTGGGCAACAAAAGGAACCACTTACCACAATCGCACCCGTCACACAGGAGCATCTCTTCACCACGATTCTTCCTATGGCAAATTTCACAATTTTGCTGCTCCCGATAAGTTGTTGGTGTTGGTTTGTTGACAGCTTGAAGATTAGTGATCCGTACCTCAGGTGTCCCTATCTTCATATCCGACTTTTGCTTGTCGTAAAACATGGGGGGAGGAACAGGTGAGGGTAACGTTGCACTGGGAACGAGTTTCTTCGGGGCTGATAGAGTGCATAATCAGGACACGTCAACCACGAGGCACTTGACAGCTGTACGTACATTGTTCTTGGGAGCCCATGCGAGTACTACGGCGTAGTTTGGATATGGGCTTGCCGTTCGCGTCCTTGGATTCCGGTTCATCAGGGGGCTCTGAAAGAGGGCTGGATGTTGCAGTCAATGGGCTTGCTGGGGGGCTCGTATCCTCGGTCGAAGTAACGGTTGCACTCAGTCGGGAAGATTTTCCTGAAGATTGTGCGTTCGGATGTGTCTTCAGTTGGGAGTCACGTGGCGCCGCAGTTGCCACAGAAGGGGAGTTCCGCTCGCAGAAATGTTCGAAGGGAAGGATAACACGGGTGTAGGAATTCTTGATCTGGGTAGAGAGTCCTGGAATGCCACGATAGCCTAAGATGCGCCCTAGATCGGACCATTTCTTGCCTTTGCTGACCTATCAACATGATCGCAAGTGGCCTGAGTCATTTTGTTTCAGAAGATGGCAAGGGTGCTCACAGCTTCATAACCTCCTAATTTATGCACCTCCTTCCTTAAAAGCCAAAGATCCAGTGGTTTGTGGTTGATTGTAGGTACCACGACACGAGGATTGCCTTGTTGCTTGTGAAACTGGTATAACTGCTCAAGAAAATTGAGCTTAGCCCTACATGACGCCTCAATGTTATTCAGACGCTGAAGGCGGGTTTTGAAGCGAAAATTCTGAAAATTTTGTGAGCATCGTCAGACAAACGAGACAAGAAACCGATATCAAACCTCGGTATCCGTGACGAACGGCATCTTCCAGTCTGCGGGTGGAACTATCTTGCATATTCCGTAGTTCACAGCTGCTGGAGAAATGGACTTGATGTAAGCCATCGGATCTCTGAATTCCTCCGGAGTAGGATAGAACTCTGGGCAATCAGTCAGGCCGAATGGTCGTGGGGGCCGAGGGGCATCTCTAGGAGGTCGTGGTCCTGGTGTTTTGACCGTAGATAAGTCAAGTATCGGAGAAACAGCAATTGGACCCTGATTCGCGAATTTCTCAGCAAGGTTCTCAGTCACATCCATGTCGTCAGGGCCCACTGATGATTCCCTTGCTTGATTATTTAGTGCTGCAAGGGCATCAGTCTTCGATTTTCGTGGCGCTCGCTTCGAGTCGGTTGAAGTGGCTTCAGAAGAGTCGGCAGGTACAGAATTCTTCTGAGTATCGCTTTCAATCGGTGCTGTGCCTTGAACACGGATAGCGAGAGAGGTCATGAAGCTCGCAATAGGTTTGGCTGTGAGTTCGGTAGGGAGGGTGCTCGAACCGGGCTGGGGGCTGCTGTCAGAGGAAAATCGAGGAGATTTCCCCCGACGAGAAGGAGTTCCCCGGGGGGTCGAAGAGGACGGGCTGCCGTGCATAATTATACGAGGGAAATTGGAATTTTGGGAGGTTCCGCCCTCGCCTTCCGGCCGTTCTGGGGACGAAGAGTGTGTAGGAGGGTAAGTGTCGGAGTTCGAATCTTCTGAGTTATGCTCTGCGTGGGTAAATTACTCGAAATGGAAACCTTGTGGCACCTTTGTCCTCAACGAACTGACGGCAACCTCGGGAACTTCAAGGAAACGGCATGCAGACCGCTCCAGCCTTCTCTGAATTTATTCTAGCCGCCCTTAGAGTTGAATGGCTGCCTTAAATCACCTCGAGGCTCCACTAATACTCCGGTCGGCCCCTTGAAGTTCAGTGGATCGACCCATCACTGGCAAACACTGTGACTGCCATACTCCCTATGTTGGTATTATTAATCTAGGAGGCGAGAGGAAAATTCAAACCCTTCTCGAACCTCTTTTCAGAGCTCACGCGCGACTCATCTCACCAATTTCGATCAATTATCTCTGAATCGGCTCAGAACCTGTTAGCGCCGAACGCCTGAGATGGCTAGCGGTTGCATTATTTCCTCAAACCTAGGATACGAAATAGAGACCAAATTTTCAAGCTTTTACCAAGGTGACTCTGCGGGGTTTCTATCTTCCGTTCACACTTAAAGTATTGATGACTTGCCTCTACTAAGCTCAGGGTATAGCGTCCCAAAAAAGATCTGACTGGAAGAGGTTGCCTCCGTCGTTCTGAACATGGCAAGTAAGTATGCACCCCTTATTTCTAGCTATTGATGAAATGACATACCGCCAGGGAAGCTGAGGCTCCGGTTGATCACTCGTGTCGTCCTCATGGAACGCATACATTGGGCCGCAAAGCAAACGTATCAGAAAAAACTAGTTCTCGTTGGTAATGGGCTGTCTACCCCTAGCCAGTCAGCTCGGTTGAAATAATACTAGCTCTTTAAAGGCCGGCAACATCTACCCTACAGCTTGCCTAAATCAGCTTCTCCTTTACCCCCGAGAAGTGATCTAGTAAGTACACTGGTAGTATTCCGAGGCTTGCGCGGACCGTGTCCACCCCGTCTTTCCTATATGAGCCCCAAAGCAGGTCGTTTTTCCAATGGCCCAGTTGTCCGTTTGTAAATCAAACCCGAAATCATTCCTCCGGAAGCTCTCGTGTCAGGAATGCCAATTATAGCCTGCTGACAAAGCTGCCGACGATCCTCTTATGCTGCTGGTCAAACCTTCGAGTCATTGAAGGCTCGTTGACGGCTCGAGTAAGACCTCCGTTATTCACATACTTAGGTTCAGGATGCTCGACCCTCTTCGGATGCCCGCGTAAATCACAAACTTTTGGTCAGTCTAAAAGTATCTTGCCTTATATAAACTTGAACGCCACACATACTCTCTTCTTCTGGCAATTCACCAGGGAGGAATTCCGTTGGGTAGAAAAAACAACTCAAAACTTGATGTTACATAAAGTTTACACTAGTGTCCGTTAATTAAGTGGTGAAAGCAAGCTGAGCAACGGAAATTCCCATTGCGCTGAACGCATTTAGACAATGAACATGATGTTGGTGTCCTACCGCGAATCAATCGTTTAGACATCAAAATTATTGTGAACAGGAAAATACCCACCATCGGGTGAGAGCTCGAAAGCTGAGGTTTCTGACTGTACTTCGATCTCAAAATTTCGCGGATTTCGATAAGGAGTTCTTGGTAGCTCTGCTGTTGGTTAGCGCCTAAGAAGAAGTGAGGACCATTCTTTGGTGACAGAAAAAACACCATACTGAGAGCACTAATGAAAGCCTGGACAAGGAAAGAGTACATTGTAAAATACAAGTGGTGGAGACATAGTTGACTTACATAGCTCATAGCTCCAGTAGCACTCCCGGCCTCTTCGGTATCGGCGCTAGTTTGCGAATCCTTGCAACCACTGAAGGAGATCTATAAATGGACCGTCTGAGCAATATATTAGACGAACAAGGCCGGTGTCACATACAACATCAGCAGGACTTGTCCTTGTGGCTTTCGAGATTTTATCCGCCTTTTGGGAGCTTCCGGTGGCAGTCTTGACCAAGCCCATAGCCGATTTGAAGACACCTCCAAGATCACCACGGGCGTAGGAGGTCACAGCCGTTAAGAGACCTTGTCCGGCTTCAGCTGCAAGGTTAGGTTCCTTGATTTTCCCCTCAGTGGAATACTGGAAACCAGAGTCAGCCAATTAGTCGAGTACAGGGTAAACATAAAGAGACACGTACAATATACGGGAGATCTTGAAAATGGGAAGGATTATCAAGAGAGGGAAGATGTCCCAGGAGCCAGACTCACCCAAGGCGGAACCAGAATGGCAGGACTATCGGATTATTAGTGCAAAAACTCACGAATCCCAAAGAGACCTACGTCGAAAATAGCAGTCAGACGACAGCCTGCTGGCAAAGGCTTCACCATGATCTCGTGCATTAACTTCAAAATGGAATTAGCAACTGCCGGCGCGATGAATCGAAGTTGATTTCTTACGTCATCGACGATGTGTCCATTTGCCTCGAAGTCCATCTAGTAGTGGGGCGGGACAAGTGGGTTATATTGCAGCTACTTCCCGTATATCGCACTCACAGGATAAATGACTGAAATCCAACGATCAGAGGCAAGGATGGCCAGTCAATGACGTGGATTTACCTTCATCATAACCATCCGCTTCATCTCCGTCTAGGTCTTTCGTTTGACCGCCGTGGCCGGAATCTAACAGGATTAGAAAGACGAAGCTGATGACCAAGGAAAGGGTGGCGCACAATGGAAGAACAGGGAATCGTTGGGCTGAGCTCCCCGCACAAGCCACTGCATCGCTTGGATCTACCGGTTTCGTAATCAGTGGTGGAAAAGCTCACGAAATATTTGGCCGCCTACGATGTTTTCACGGGTGGGCATCATACGAGGATTTGTGGCGTCGTCCGTAAGAGTGACCATATCTTCCCGCTTGTAACCACAGTTGCCTAACCAAGAAAGAGATATTAGGAAGGAATAGACAAGTTTACTGAACTTGTCCTTACTGCAAAGGAAGTTTTGAATATTCTTCACGTCGTTGATACACCCTCTGAGTTCCCCATTTTGTCCGAAATAATTTATGCCAATCTTCAGGAAGAGGGCGGTCAGGCAGTATGACATGAGACAACAGGCTATCACGTACACAAAGCGCCTTCTTTTTCCCATTACACTGAGAATATTGGAAGTATGGCTGTGCGTCTTGATGATTAGGACCTTCAAAGTGAGGACCATAGTTCTGGACCTGCGTGGGAGGGCGAGGGGGAGGCCCATCTACGAGGACAGGACTACGTTGGGCCATTTCATAACCAGGTCGAAATTGTGACGTACGCGGATGGTAGGCATTTCCTCCCCTGCGGATGGAATTAGATTTCTGCATTGACACACGGCGCCTTACTCACGGAGGCCCGCCGTAGGCATTGTGGACCTGCTGTCCTGGATAACCACCCTGTGGTTGCTGTTGGCGGTATTGCTGACCAGGATATCCTCGGCTCTGGGGAGGAGGGCCGGGGGGAGGGCGGTAGCTAGAATCGGCGTTCAGTACAAGGTCTGACGGTTGACAGGAACTTGGGCAGACCCAGAAGGAGGCGGGCCAGGAGGTGGTCCGTAACTGAAGGTGATATAGGTGATGAATGGGTCCAAAAATTGAATCCGCTTACCCAGAAGGAGGAGGGCCTGGCGGGGGACCGTATCTATTCCACTGGTCAGCACAATGCACCTCGTTGTCGCCACCTGCGTTAAACGAACCCAGAAGGGGGGGCGCCATAGCTGTAAGATCAGAATCGATCAACGAACTGACAAGGAATAGAAATTGACGATAATCACGGAGCGCCGGGAGGAGGTGCATAGGAAGGAGCGTAACTGGGACGATAGCCTCCTTGAGGTGTCGGGAAGCTGTTATGTCCACCGCTGGAACAGAATCCATTATACATGGAGCAGAGACTACGGAGGTTCTGAGGGTGCCTACGCGCTGGGGAAACTTGGGAATCTGTAAATCGAATCCACCTTGAGCGCGATCTGAGACGATAACTTGTTGGCCTACTTACGGAGGAGCCCCTCCACCCGACTGCTGATTGTTATTATCGTTCCACATTGTACGATAATCGGTCGTATGAGAGGATTAGGAAGAGATGGGATCGCTGTAAAGGAAAGAAGAGTAACTTGGCGACTTGGGCAAAGAGCAGAATACTTATAAGAGGCTTGGATTTGCACCGCCACTGCCGCCGACGGTGAAGCTGCTGCGCAGTTCTTCCTTTGCAAGTGGATGCTGTACATACGTGCTTGATCGCTGTCCTTATTTATGCACTCTTCGAACGCCTTCTCCGATAAATTATAATGGAAAGATTGGTAAAGTACATTAGGGTTGTAAAGGCGGTTTAATGAGTAGTAGCACCGGGCCATGGCCGACCGCCCCAGTAACGCCTGCCAATCCTGCAAACGACAATCGCCCACGCAGTAACCCTTGCGACGTCAAGGATCAAGTAAGGTCTCCGCGAGCCATACAAGAAGGCTGTTCCGGCAGTGGCCGCAAATAGCCATCTCAAAGAGAGTCTGTTTTCGAAGCTAAACAAGCAAGGCTCAGCTAAATGCAAGCAGAGGACCAAGAAAATCGTGACCTGGTCCTTTCAAACAATCGTCCGGGCGTCCACGAGGCGAAATCGACGAGAACAAGGAAAGGGAGGACGGCAATGAAGTTATGATCTCCATCAAACGGTGTTGTGAATCCTGCCGTTAATAACGTGCGCACCCACACCGCCAGCACGGGCGCTGTCAATGGCAACAACCACGTCATCAGTAGTAATAAATGTAGGCTGTGGTTGAGATTGTTTTGCTTAATATCTTTCAGGCTCGAGGTGGCTCGTTCGGCAGAGGCAGGGGAGGTTGCTTCAAAGGATTCACTACTCTCCCTCCTCTGTCGTCGAACGAGTGGAACCGCGTCATCTAAACGAGTGGGCTCCAGACGTTGCATCGCCGATGCGCAGGTATAGAGATGTAGTAGCCAGCATCCGAGGTAAGCAACTTGCCAAGGAACAAAGAGGAAGATCGCAAGGCAGATCACGAAGAGGGATAAAAGAGTTCCCCTGTGAACACTGTTTTTTTCGACTCGGCTACATTTGAGGTTAGACACCGTACAAATGGAGAAGAATGACGAACCTGCCAAAAATGATTGTACTTGTCTTCCCAACAATAGTCAGGAGCAATAGTAGAATCCACCAGCTCACACAAACCAAGCCGCTGGCAACAAACAAAATTAGAGGCGCAATTCCGGAGAAAAAAGGGACCCCTTTGTTTCCAATGTAAAGTGACGGTGGGAGGGGGAGGAAGGAGAGGGCGAAGGAACCCGGAAGTAGATAGCGAAACAACAGGGGGCAGTAAGAGGCAAGAGATTGCCCAACACTGGGGGTGGAAGCTAAACGATTCGTCTCAGCAGCGGGCTAAGATCTAGAGGATGTTGAAGTACTGACAGGTTTTCTCATCTTGACGCCAAGTCCAAAATATGACCAAGGAGGCGACACCGGCTGCCCAGCCCACCACTGTATGCAAATACCTTGACACCCAGCGCCCAACTGTCGCCGTCCAATCGATGGTGAGAACCAACTTGGAGAGCTCCTTCCTGCATCCCTGTTCTCCAGACGAATATATCCTGAAGGCAAGCGATGAGCCATGGGCTGTCCTTCGGTCAATAAATGGAGCATCTGAATGGGTGTGCAGCAAAATCCGACGGTCAGGACCAGAAATTAGAGGATAGGAATGTGTTTCGGCAGGATGGGATGTGTGGACGATCAAAGGAGGAAGCAATGCGTCTGTTTTCGGAAACAGTTGGTTACAAAACCTCAAGAAGAGCCAAATAGCCACACGAACCTGAGCAGCTGGACAAAGGGCTCTTCTTCGCAACCACACGATATACCACCAAGGCGTTTGACAGTAAGCTGGGAAACGTAAAAGAAGAACCCAAAGTTTCTTTAGGAGGCACGTTAACAGATGCACTCCAGAACATCAAAGCTAACCTAAATGTGAGCAAGTAACTCTGAGAAAGACAAAACGAAGAAAGTACTCACAGAAAGTGCTCGCAGAAGAGACGACAGGTGTATCGTCCTCAATACCAGCGACAACCCATCCTTGATCGTCTCCATTCTCAATCCTGATACCAACCCACTGCCCATCAGGACCAGAATCTTTCACCGGGACACTGCTCTCGAATAGCACCACCCCTTCGGATTCATCAGAACCTTCTTTAGGAACAGGAAAACTTCGACCAGGCATGGGATTAGGGATAAGTTTCAGCGTATCAGGGCTAAGCAGAGTGCATTTAGCTCCTGAAGTGGAAGTTTCTGTGCAAGTTAAGACAGAAACCCGCAGTGATACAGGGTGCTGTGGCGAGACATCTTGAATAGAGCCTTGCGACACCAAAACCCTTAGTCTGCGTTTTTGGGAGGTCGCAGAGTCACTTGGAACGGGTAAACGGTGGATACTGCCGCCGCGTGGATTCTTCACGACCAGAGTTTGACCAGGCAAAACGAGATGCGAATCCGCCAGGTCAGACGCGTCCAAATGGTCATTTCCGTTCGACACCACAGGAGGAAGTGAATGTCCATCCCTGAGCCATTTATCCAGGATTACTGATCGCGACTTTTCCGTGTTCGCCGCTCCGAGTTCAAGTGCGGCGCGGGCGACCCTCCATCGAACTTGATGGCACCAAACCATCTCCCGATGTCCCACACCTGTCCATGCTCCTTCCAACGCGGAGGTGAAGACTGTTCTCCGGAAGACATCTTTCTCCGGCTCTGGTAAGATGCAAGACTCGGAGGTGATCATCATGTCTGTTGCACCGCCGCAAATGGAGACTACGGGCGTCGTGTCATTCTCCAACGTCAGGCGCACGTTATTGTATAATTTGTCGATTCGAGAGTCGAAGCGCGCAGGCGGTAAGGTGTGAGGAGTGGACATGGTGATGATAGTCGATATATTCGGGTCAGGAAGCAATGAGGTCGCGACAACACCTCCCATCGAATGACCCATAACGATAATTTTTGTGCCTTTTGGATATAGCGAGAGGATATAGGAAACAGCCCTCGAAGTATACGCAATTTGAGAATCGAGCGTCGAGCCATGGAACGCCGACAGGTCCTCGTTAAATTCCACTGTGAAAGTGGTTCGTCGGTGAGTTAATCAAACCGAACGCGTTTACATACCGGCGAAGAAGTCCAACGGCTTCAAGGAACGTGCATCGAACTCATGGGATATGATATAAGGAGATGAAAAGTATTGCCGCGTTGCAGAAGACGCTATTGAGCGGACTTGGTGAGATGAGCCAGCGTTGCCTGGGATGAAGAGCACAGGTAAACTGTCTCGTCTTTGCCCAGTTTCCTACATGGTGACGACGAGTCCTTTGAGCGCTTCTGAGTTCTGTGAGAGGCCACACGACGAACCTGGACGTAATCCCAACCTACTTCTCTGTATAGCCAAAGAGAATATCTACGCGCCAAAGGGGTCCAAGTTGAGTCAAGACCACCTTGCAGGACATAGGATGGCGACATCCATGACATTCGACATCCTTGTGGTGATAGGCTATGAGAGATGTCGGATGTTGCCGTTAAGAAGAATAGCAGGCACATTAGCGACGATATTCCAAGAAACCATGGCACGAGGTTAGGCATGTAAGTGGTGGGTGACGTGAAGCAAGATACGAATCAGAAAGTACTATATATTTCCAGGGCTCATTTGTGCTCACAAGTCTTCAACATGGACATGGACGTTGGACTTCCGAGTATATGCGGGACAACGCAGTGAACGAGAAGAATCTTCGCACATATGTAGATATAGGTACGCTCCACTGTCAACTTTGCCACTCAAAATTCGATATCAGGGACAGAATAAGTGCGTCTTTGAACAATGTAGATGAATTGGACTATGATAAAGAATACGAACATCTCAATAGTGCGCATGCAGGAAAGTGAAGGTCATGAGGCGGAAAGGTCACATCGAACCATCTATGAGGCTAACTCATGACGGGTGACGATCGTGCAAGAAGGGAGAGGAAGCGAGGAGCGAAATCGAGATGAGACCAAGAGACCCAAGAGAGCAAGTTTACTCGTCAGCAGGGGCATCACCCTCATCCTTAGCATCGCCGGCCTTGTCGGCTAGAAAGACCGCATAAATGTCTAAGTCCGTAGAATAGGATTACACAGGACTAACCTGAGTCCTGCATGTCCGAAGTCCATAGCGTCAGGTTGTCACGGAGGAGTTGCATGATCAGGGTAGAGTCCTTGTAGCTCTCTTCTGAGAGGGTGTCGAGCTCGGCGATGGCATCGTCGAAGGCCTGCTTGGCGAGATGGCAAGCACGGTCGGGGCTGTTGAGGATTTCGTAGTAGAACACGGAAAAGTTCAACGCCAGACCAAGGCGAATGGGGTGTGTAGGAGGGAGCTCGGTGACGGCAACGTCTGAGGCAGCCTTGTAGGCCTCCAGCGACTTATCAGCAGAATCCTTACGCTTATCACCAGTGGCGAACTCGGCGAGATACCGGTGGTAATCACCCATCCTGAGAAGATCGATGAGACAGGGGCACAAGATCAGAAGCACGAAAAAACCCACATCTTGTGGTAGAACACCTTCGACTCTCCTGAGGCGGCGGAGGGAATGAGATGCTTGTCGAGAACATCCAAGATATCCTCGCAGATCTTAGCCAGCTCGCTCTCTATCTTCTCCCGGTAGCCCTTAATCATAGAAACCTGAGCCTCATTGCCTTTCGACTCCTCCTTCTGCTCGATTGAGGAGACAATACGCCAGGAGGCACGGCGGGCACCAATAACGTTCTTGTAAGCCACTGAGAGGAGGTTTCGCTCCTCGACGGTGAGCTCTTGGTCGGACGACGCCACACGCTTCATGTTCTCTACCATCTCTGGAATGGCGTCAGCAACGTGAGATACGCGAGAAAGTATCTCCGTTCACCTTCGTAGCGTTCGGCCTGCTCAGCGAGCTTGGCGAGGTAGACAGAGTCTTCACGGGATTCGGGCATCTTGACACGTAGTCAGCATGAGTGATAAGACGCGTCCAACGCGTAAAACACGTACGGTGATTGAGTGTTAGGGGTGGTGAGAGGGCTGGATGCTGTGGCGGGCTAGGTGAGCTCGACGGCAGGGCGGGGGACGGGCGGGGGACTCACGATGTTGCAGGGAGATAACCTTATAGATGAAGATGGGAGTGCGGAGGAAAGAGCAATAAAAGGAGGCGGAAATAAAGCCACTTGGGCAGAGGGTTTGGGGGGTAGTCATGTGATCGATGATACCCTGGGCAAAGGGTTGGTGGAACTCTCACGTGTGCGTTCCATTGGAACTTTCCATCAAAGTTTCTGCATCAGTTGTTCCAGCGTTATCTTGACGACGTCACCTTGTCCAGGCTCCGTTGTTTTTCACCTCTTCTGAGCACTCTCTGGAGTCTGCAAGGCCACCCTCGTTGTCTTCCCAAGCCTCACGATGCCGCATTCTCTTCCCGCTACTGAGGTGCTCTCTTTTGTCTCCTTGTCGGGAACTCCTCGATGCGATCTTCCAGAGGGTTCCGATCTGGGCCTGAACCTATTTCACCAAAGAAATCGCAGTTAATGCGGAATTCTCTATGCTTTGCTACCTGTTGAATAGCACAAATACCGTTCATCCAATCGTCACCATCTTTCTATTCCAACGCGCGCGGTTAAACTTCTCGTTTTCCACCGTATCGAAGTTTATCCAGATTCCAGATGCTGTTGATAAGCCCCTCGTTAACCCAATTCTCAATGCAAATCCAGTCATAAGCGCTCGACTCTCAAACGCTTATTTACGATTATATATCTGCTGTGGGAAGAGATCTCTTCCATCATCCTGGAGGCCTGCACCGGACCTCTGGGCCACCGCGCTGGTCGGCCTGTCTGGCCTACTGATCTATGGCGTCCAGCATATCCTTCTGTATGCCCGTCGTGATGAAACAAGCTTTGCACAGAGAAAAGTATGTTCACGGCCGCCTACCTCGCTCCTTCGGGCTAATATGCCGGACACAGGTTCTAAATTCGACGTCTCCTTTTGGGCGTTTACAGTGCCTCGATCTAGCCGCTGGGTATTCAAGACAGTTGGGACTTGATAGATGTATTGTGGAACTGTTGCGCCCAAGGCTATGACATTCACCAGTCAATCAAGAAAGCGCAATTTCATCCTCCATCAGTGTAAGGGTTGGTATCTCCTATCTATGCCCAACTTGGTGCATTGACGGTCGACAACGGAGAGGTGGGCCGAGTGTGATCAAAATGGGGATTGTGTGGCGCACTGTCATGCTCACTAGACGTCAATCTATTGCCAATCGCCGCGTGTCTAAATACTCAAAATACGGACCTTTCTTTTCTTTTCTTTCGCGACGTACTCTACTGAACCTCCAGCCTTTGTAGGCCGTTGGCCATACATAGACTAAGACTTCAATTCCGAGGCTGCATAGTGCGGATCGTCGTTCTAGGCAGACGCCATCACGTGCCGCTCGCGACCCTATTTATTGCAATGATTTGTCGCGTCACAAATCCTTTCATTCTTCCAACCAAGTTACGTTTTCCCACATCGAGATTTTCAAGCCCTGCAATGTCGTCCACGACCGTCACCAAGAAGAGAAAGAGCGACTCCACAGCAGCATCCGCCGCGAAGAAAGCCAAACTCGACGCGCGGGTTCAGGTTGTAACTTCAATCCTGTCGGACGCGACTGGTTTCGAGCTTCCAGCTGGAGACGCGTCTACACGCGCCCTAATATTGCAGCTCGTCCAATACGCGCGTGACTTGGAGCAGGAGGTCGCTGCGCTGAAGCCTAAAGCCAAGTCGCCTCAAGAGCTGGCTGCCGCTGCGGACAAACTAGCGAATGCGGCTAGGAGTGGAATAAGGAAGCAACTCACAGTTAGTCCTCTCCTCTCTGTAGCCATGAAACATTCGTTGATTACGTCCTTATACATAGTGGAAGCCAACTGCAAAGTCCGGAACGGCGAGATGGTTGTATGACGGGGTCTGCAATGACCCGGAAGTCTTCGGCGCGATGCTCAACTTAGGAGGACCACCAACTTTCAAAGCGAAGAAGATGCCCAAGGAAGAGTTTGAGAATCTCATTGGTGACCTGGATGTTGCTATCCGGTATGTTCGCCTTTCTTTGTTAGTACCTGAGGGCCAGCGTTTTAACGAGGCATTGGCAGCTATGATACCCTCAGAATCAACTCGGATGTCAACATCTCTTGGAAACCTGCTGACGGCACATTCAAGTTTAGTGGAACATATGGAAAGTAAGGTCCCTCAGAACCTCGCTCACCATGATCTGCGCCTGGTCAAGCCTCGCAAATTACATGCTCTTCGGATGCTCATCTTATATTCTGGTTCTTTATAATACCCACCGATAACTCACGTCGTGTACATATTGTATTCTTTTTTTTTCATTGTACTATATCTTTGTTCAGAACATGAAATACTAAGCACCAACTTTCTAGCCTGTCGCGATCCTCTGAGATCATGTCGGGCCGGACACTGCCGTCATTACTGCCGCAAACCTTACGTTGCGCAATCTCAACCTCAGACTTTTCGTCCATTACCGAAGTTGCACTCAATTTTCTACAACCATGCCTGACGCTCGCAATACGCAGGCTCAGGGCCAAACCGAGGAGGAGGAGACTACCTTCTCAAGGATATTCAGGATAGGCCAGGTGTGCCAACTGCGATTTATATAGTACTAGTGGGATGGCAGACACTGACGAGCATTCTGTAGCAAATGTTCATGATATGGGCCGTCATGCAGATTGGTCAGTCGAGTGCCTGACGTGCACTCATCCCCCTGCTATACTCAAAACACACATTAACCGTCCACCCTGCTCTGCGTATTCTATGTCTCGTAACGGCCGTCGTGCCCACAGCTACCAAGTTCCTCGGAGGCAGTCAACAACCACCCAAGGCCGGAGATACCCCCTCGAATCCCGATAGACCTGTAGATAAAATTGACCCTCGCAAGCTCCCTCCGGTCGACGCCGTGCCATACTGGCCCATTGGTACTTCCCTCAACATGCACGTCTACCTCTCGACGTCGGCCAAAGGAGACGTGTTCACGAAATGGACCGAGGGGTATAGGAAGAACAGGGACGAGGGCCTGCCGAATTTCGTGTGGAAGAATATCACGTATGGCGACTATAGTGATTCGAGGACTGTGGATTATGAGATTAAGTTCCCGGAGGTGCGTCATGCTTTTTCTTTCAACGTCTCACGGGTGTTGAATGTTAGTGCGCTGTAGTATGTGCTGAGGAACGGTTCATTATGGGCCGATATCTACCTCACGAAGTCTGAGGTGGATCTCGACCCGAGAAGTGAGGCATACGATCCTAGAGGCGTCCACCACGTTCGGAAATGTATGCATGTCAGTTCATCTTGAAGGAATAAGGATTGATATCTGGCCCAGTGTTGACACCGTATCTTGCGCGACTCAAAGCAAGGAAGGAAAAAAATCTTCTTTCTGGACACGAGCAAGAGGGCGACGAGGTTGAGGAGGTGCGCTTCTCTATGTCGTATTTCATTCATCTTTTTGCTGAAATGTGGCGAAGCCTGATATTATTGCTCCACACTGGCACCAAGTATGTTCTTACTCTCTTGTGCCTCTGCCCTCTCTAACCACCTACCGTCTTTCTAGAATGTCACCTTGGCACTCATATCTGACCCACACATAGTCCCTTACTCGGCGTTACCAGCTCCCTTGGCTGAACGTTAGTCGACGTGAATCTTCTTTCAACTTCTCTAATTCTTCTGATATTCCTGCAATAGATATCTATTTGGTTCACGGGCAGCGCGACGAGACCGGCAAACGAGGATACTACAAGCCCATCATCTTCCCCAACGAGTTCTGGCACCTGCGTCAACACTACGTCCAAATCAACGAGACTACTCCCTCTCTTCCCCTTCAGATAACTTTCCAGCCCATGTCGTTTTTGAAGTTCCAGATATTTGCTTCAATGACTCACGGATTTAATGAGGCGGCGAAACAGCAAGGAAGCTCTTCGGCCGAGCTTGATGAGATAAAACGCATGCTGCTTGAGACCAACTCATGGTTTTTGGGGCTAACTGCACTCGTCAGCATTCTCCATGTTGTGTGAGTTATGTTCACATAGTTTGATACTTGTGACTCGGTTGCACTAACTAATTAGTGCTTAAAAGTTTCGAGATGTTGGCGTTCAAGTCTGACGTCTCGCATTGGCGTCAGAAGAAGGAGATGGTCGGCGTCTCTGTTCGGTGGGTCTTCATACTTAGTCTATCACATTTCCTCGCGCTAATCCTTTCCTGTAGAACCGTACGTCACTTTTGAGTTTCGTTTGCCGTTCTCGGTCCAATAACTTTGATTAATTCAGATCGTCACGAATGTCTTCGTTCAGACCATCATTCTACTCTATCTCATCGATAATAACGAGAACACAAGTTGGATGATTCTTATGGGGTCCGGCATGGGTGTCGTCATCGAAGCCTGGAAGGTCTGGTTCTGCGACATCACAATTTCGGAATGAGTTCTCACTGACATTCTTCCGAGCAGATCACCAAAGCTGTGGATATCACTGTGGTCCCCGCCCCAGCAGGGTCACTTCTCCCGTACCACCTTGACATCAAAGGTGTGTATTTTTGTTAGTGACTTCGCGAACGAGCCAAAAGTGACATTCTGGGGTGAAGACAAGCACGTTCTGAGTGAAGATGAGAAGAAAACTCAAGAGTAAGTTTGTTCTAGGAATGTCTGCGACGGCGGCCGTGTGATTTGGGCTCCCCGTGATTTCGATAGATATGACCGTCTTGCCTTCCGCTACGTGTCGTATGTGGCTATCCCACTGTTGGCGGGGTACACAGTGTACTCGCTCGTGTACGAGTCACACCGTGGCTGGTACAGTTTCGTCATCTCGACGCTTACATCTTTCGTGTACATGTTCGGTTTCGTAAGTGATCCGCTCACCTATCGAGACCGAGTAGTTCATTTCTGCCTTTTCCTCCAGGCGCAACTGGTTCCCCAGTTGATCATCAACTACAAACTTAAGGTAGGTGATATTTTCTCATGTCATTTCCACAGGTGCTCATATTGCGTGGCAGAGTGTGGCGCACATGCCTATGAAGGCAATGATATACAAGACCCTGTCCACGGTTGTCGACGACCTGTTTGCGTAAGTCGACGTTTAGTGCTTCAGGACGTGGGGTCGTGCTCATAAATGACATCTTCTCTTAAGGTTCTGTATCAAGATGCCATTCCTGCACCGCCTAGCTTGTTTCCGGTAAGATAGTCCCTCCGGTATATTAATGGCCTCGCAACTGACAACTACCGGTGACGGTGCTGCGTGGTGCGGATAGAGACGACGTCGTGTTTCTCATCTTCTTGTATCAGGTGCGCCATTTTGGCAGCAACGAGAAAGCAGCCGCTGACGGGACTGGACAGCGCTGGATCTATCGCATCGACCCAAAGCGGGTGAACGAGTACGGACAGGTGCTGGCCACGGACGTAAACGAGACCGAGGGGGTAGAGAGCAAAAAGGACAAGTAGAGGGCCGTGTGATTGCTCGGGGAAATTGGAAGACGGGGCGTGTGTGGTATAGCATATTAGATTTGAGAATCAAATTGGCTCATGACCGGGATTGGCGGACGTGTCCACGAGATGGAAGCGGGGCAGGAAGCCCGATTGGGACGCCGGGAGGCCGATCCGGGACCGTTCCTCCGAGACCGACAGAAAAGCGCTGTGAGAGTCTGACGTCCGCTCCGACCTACTGCTGCTGCCCCGCACCCGCACCCGCTCCCCATGGCCTCCGACGCCGCACCCGCAGCAGTCTATGCTTGCAGGTGCCTCAATGTCCGCATCGTCGTCGCCACTGCCACCGGGTCGCCTCCAGACTATCCTCGCGACGCCCAGTATACCCCCGTCTTCGTCAACGACGACGGCATATCCGTCGTATGTCGCCCTTCTCTTAGAAAAATTCGATTTTCTCACCCAGTCCAGACCCACCCTCAGGTAACGGTCCGTATCAACTCGAAGGGCGTCCCAATACCCGGTACATCGCGCTGTTCACGATTTACAGCCGTGACATGCCTGTTCTGCAATTTGCCTGTTTATCGCGTATATCAAATAATCTCGCTTGATGTCGAGGGAAACGAGTCTGTTCTGCTACCAACGGAGGAATGGGTAGAGCGCGAGGTGCTGAAGACCGCCACTGGGTGGATTGATGTCCATAAAGACTGCCTCGTAAGTGGTGACTCTTACTATTCTCTTTTCGTTCAAGTTTGAATGGCAGAGATCATTCTCTCGTCTGTTTTGAATTCACCTATTCGAACAGAGAATAGGCACCATTTCTGCCTCTTATTCTGAGCAACGCTCGATTAGATTCGCTGATTTTATCTGACTCATCTCTCCCTCTTAGGTTGGAGACGGCATCGCCAGCGCTCAAGCTTCGTCTTCATATGCGGCAGTGTTCAATCTGTACCTCCCATCCCGTTCATCCGTGCCTGCCTCCCCCAAGCTGATCAAAGCGGACGAGGAAACCCCACTGAAGGACACTGCGTCTCCTGAGGTTCCAACTCCGTCCTATCTCGCTGAAATGCGGCCCCTCTTTTTGCCCCCCCCTTTCACCCCCTCCCACCCTATATTCGTTCATTTGGCAGCGGTAGCCACCAAAGAATCGCAGGAATTACGTGCAACTGCAGAGCAACGCATCTCGGATTTCATAAAAGCCGAGACTGCCGGAGTGGAGATGCAAGAGAGAGATATTAAACGTCAGGTTGAGGTACTATGGAAGAAATTCCGACAGCATCTAGTGTCGGTGCAGCAGGAGCGTTCTGCAAATAACGTTCGCTCGCCAACACGGGGTAAAGAGGCTGCTCCTAGTGGCCTTCTTAGTCCGACGACTGTTTCGTCCTCTGTGGCTGTTCGGAATTTCGAGCCAGTTCCGGTCTCGTTGGGAGATATTACATCTATTTCATCCTCAGTTCCCCGGCGATCCGCTCTTTCCGAATCTTTGGCGACATCGGGCTTTCATCATCCAAAGCAAAAGCAAAGGCAGAACTCGTCCACCGGAGAAGCTTCCAATGGCTATGACTCTGACCGTAGCGAGACGTTGTCGACGAGGTCCGGTTCCTCTACCCTCGTGCACCCGGTTCATCAGGTGGACGGGACCAACATCTTACAGTTCAGACGCAACGTCAACGACACGATCAACACTGAAGCAAGCTACCGGTATTTCGTCAACCTAGAGGAAGATATCACTCGACACAAACGCCAGCAGGAAGAGGCCATGAAGAAGCAAGGGGTAGCTCGGGCCCAACAGGATCAGGAAGCCGGACCGTCACAAGTGCCATCGGGCCCCAATGCGAACGACAAGAAGCCGTCTAGGAAGGTACAAATCGTTGAGCCTCAGCTACCTACGGCAGGCGAGGCCAAGGCCGAAGACAAGGATGCGTCGTCACGTGGAGCAGATAAGGGCAAGAGGAAGGTCACTTTCGACGTTCAGCCAGCTGTAGTGACTATCAACGGCAAAGATGACAAGGCAGAAAATGACGAGTCAGAGGAAGATCCCACTGAGGACGCTCGAGGTAAGTTGATCAGTGCAATGAAAACCAGATCCGAACCGATGGCTTATACTGGGGTGATAGAAATGATCTTTGATTTAGAAGACCTCGAGACTGCAGTCACGGCGATAGTTGAAGGGCAAACAGCTCTGCCACTACTCGAGCAACCTGCCGGTCGACCTTCACGGGCAAAGAAAGCGCGGACACAGACTAGCAACGCCATGGATGCCTTCAGCACTCTGCGACCTTCTTCGTTACCCAATCCTTCACATATTCGGCCTATTCGGAGCCAACCAGGTGTAGACTCGTCTTCTTCGCAGGGAATGATGCTCTCCTTGCCTCGAGTGTCGGCTGCTGCCCCGCGCAACAAGGTAACACACGTTGTGTCGTCCTCGCAAACTCCGTTGAATGAGCAAGATGCTGAATTATTGAAACTGGTGGCGGCTGATACCCCAAGCCATCGTGGAGCATGGACACCAGATTCCAAAGCCTGGCAGACGTTCACTCGTCGACAGGACGCGAAGAATGGTCCTGAGAGTGGGAAAGCAGTTGATGATGGGGGAGAGGCAGAAGAAGAGGCGTCTTCGACTGTCTCGCCGCTTAAAGTATCCAAGGGAAAAGGAAAGAAGATACTGGACTTCTCTGAAGAAGACGACGATCGTGAGTCTATTTCTGATATTTTCTCATGTTGCACAAGCGCTGATGTCTCAATCTTTTTACTCAGTGTACGAACAGTCTAGAAATTACGGTGTTGCTGCCTCGCTACCCATCGAAATCGTGAAACGGGTTAAACCGCGCGAGCAGCTCAGTTTGGCTTCTTATCGACCGCAGGCCGCTGTAGGACCAGAGCAAGAAGAGCAAGCGAGCTCTGCGGCGCCTGTTTCATCGTCTAGTCATGGCAACAAAAACCTCTCTGCAGCCGCCGTCCGAAAGGCAGCCTACGCTGAGCGTGATCGGTTGAGGTCAATGGACCCCGGAGCACTGGACTTCGCCAATGGTCCCGACGAGCAAGACGATGATGATGACGATGACGAGGAGGAACCAAGTGAGCAGAAGGCTCGCAAGCAGGCACTACGAATACTCCAAGCTCGCAGCGAAGTTCCTGAAGAGGGAATGTGGAGAAGTTTGGCGTCATGAGCGTCATGGGTGTTGTCGAAAGCTCTGACATCGTCTCCGTTGAAGTCTCTGGTCGCAAATAAATTAATTTTGGAGAAGGATACGCTGGAGGTGCGTGGTGCATATGGCCAAGGATATAATTTATTCTTCCCATCCGATATCGACCGCCCAGCTCACTCTCCCTCCAACTCTCCTCTTTCCCTCCATCGGCTCGAATACAAATACCTACCTACCCTTTTTCATCAATCCGCCATAATCACTTGTGTTTTTAGTATTTACTTTTACCATCCGAGCGTCAACAATCCTCCCGCATCCCATCGTGAATCAACCCTCCATCCGTACATTATCTTCCTGTGCATATTTTGATCTCATTTTGCATTGTACGTTGTCGTGTTGTACTTGTTCGTGCTACCTGGCCTGGTCTCGATCCCATCTTCCCATCCCGATCCATTCATCCAACCACGCCTTACCCAAACCATCCATTGCTGTCCTCAAGTCCAAATTCTATCAATTGAAATTCCTTCTCTCGCCATTATCTATTCTTAGCATTGTCCTTATCCGTATCCTGTGTCGTCTCCATCATCTCACACCTTTGAAATCCTTGATTTCCAAACAAGCCACATAACCTTTGGTACTATACTTGTACGTTTAATTGCATGCTATATTCAGAGTTGTTTCGTCGGCGTTTATCGCAAAAAAAAAACCTTCGCATGCAACATGTTGGCTTATTGAATGAGTGTGGAGCAAGTACTATGGATTAAGCATAGGATATGAAGCTACGACAGATCAAAAATCTAAACTACGGTCAAGCTACGCTACTACTTTTCGTAATCACCACTCTGGATCTAAGGATGCGCCGATGCTCGCAGTGGGTGGAAGGACATCCGAGCTGGCAACGTAACTCTCCGGGGCCAGAAAGCGCCGAGGAAATTACTCAACCTCTTCGTTCGTCTGAGCTCGGGGCTTGCCATAATTCTTGACCGCGTTCTCCAACTTGCTTTGGTCCACCTGGTCAGGACTTGCAGCTGCCTTCTCCTCCATGCTCATCGACTTTGCCTCCTCCGCACACCGCTCGCACTGGCACGCAAACCCCCACCCTCTCGCGATCTCAAACCGCCGGCGCCTGCGAGCTTCCACGACGGCTTCTCCGGGGTGCTGTGTGACGTCGACGAAGGCGATTGTCAATTCGTCACCCTTCTTCAGGTCGCGATTGGCGATGATGGAGATCTCGGAGGTGCCGGAGCTGAATGAGGGGCGGGCAGAGGGCACGCAAGAGTGTGCAAGGTAGGAGGAGACAGTGTAGAGGGCACTGCCAATTTGACGCTGAGTGCCGTAGGGTGTACGAGTTCGCTCGAGGACTTCTGGACGAGCGGTAGGTTCGGGCTAAACGTGGTTGAGCTGATTAGAAATTGCCACGGCGAAATCAAGGATACACACCTTGTCATCACGTCCTCCACCATAACAGACACCGAACACGTTGTACGACATCTTACCAGCGAGGACTGTGTGCTTCTCCTCCGTGACAAATTCTTCCAGACCAGGGAGGGCGTGGTTCAGGACCTCCGCCAAAAGAGACTTCTCCTCTGGGTTCGGCTTCGCCTCGAGGTACCTGAATCGCTCAATGTGATCCGTCAAACTATACCCATCGACCATGTTGTCCGAGTCCGTGAAGTCTTGCTCAGCGGGTGTGATCCCCTTCGCACCGGGATTTGTCGCCTCAACTAATTTTTCCGTCTCGATCCCGACTTGCCTGGCAATGAACCGGGCGACGAGGAGGGGAACGGAACGACCTTCCTTCTCGAGGTAGGCAGCGAACTTGGCTTGAGCCCCCTTGCGGGCCTCAAGCTGTTCAGGCCTCGGCGGTAGAGAGGGGATCTCGGGTGGCAGTGGTGAGTCTAAGGTGAAAAGAACGTTGTGCGATTTCTTGGCGACGAGCAGGCAGGCCTTCGAGCAGTATGTTTGAGAGAACGAGCTGGTGCTCGCGTCTTTGATTGAAAGTGACATTTCTGGCTCGATGGGTCGGAGACATTGGCCACAATATGTTCCTTTGGACTGGAGATCAGAGTCGAGAGCGGCGACAACAGGGAATTCCTGTGGTTTCAATAGTGAGCTCCTATCAAGCCTTTCAATGAAGCTCATTCAACCTTGTAGACGACTTCTCCGGCAGCGAAGTCTTTGTTGACAATCAGAACGTGCCGGGGAGCTTGTCCTGCCGTCGCCTCACGCATGACAACAGAGACATTGGTTCGTTTGGGGGGGAAGAAATCGTAGTATGCTACAGCAATGAAACTAAGCTCATGTCGGGTTCTCGGATAACTCTCATGGCTCACCTTCAATTCGGATAGCGACCTGAATGAAACAGAAAACGAAATGCGACGAAGGAAAAAGAGTATATTAGAACACGCGTTGCAGATGGTTTCGAGAAAAGGTAAAAGGCAGGCATGAAAGAATCGAAGAGGATAAGGATCATCTTAAGTGCTCTATATCCAAGCGGCCTTTAATCTTCAAATAACGCTCCCGTATACATTGAGGAGATGGGGCCATGATAAGCGCCAGTCTTTACTCCAGACTAAGCGGGCGTGTGCGAACCCGGATCCGTGATTTTGTCCCACTCTTGCGAGGACGTCTCAGACGGTGGGCCCCTCGTGGGACTGATGTCCTCATCGATATCCAAGCTTGCGCTCAAGGGGGAACTGGGTGGACTTACGTCGAGGTTCGTCATATCCATGACCAACTACATCTTGTGAGTAGGCGACCGGATGTATAGAGAAAGGGAACACACCTTGAACACGGATTCGGTGATGGTCTTCTGGTAAATTACAATGAGCTCGACCGGTGAAGGGTACACCCGGAGGGCACGGTAGAAGGCCATTGCAGCCGGAAGGTAGTACGCGGGACCTAGGGAAGTGTTAAAACACGAAGTAGGAATGAAAAATAACACGCACCTTGAGCAGCAAGCTGTTCACCGAGTCCGACCTGAGCCATGAAGTATGTCTCCTTCTCCTCGGGTGTCTTTGGAGTCTCCTCATTTTTGACCTGCTGGAGTGCCTCTCGAAGAGCGGCAGGAGTGATTCCACTCGTCGATGCAGAGATTTCGCTCTCTTTGTTCTGTGCCACCGACTTCTGGACGCGTTTCTTCTCCTTTTCTACACAAAGGTGTCAGAGTGAAACGCTGGCAGAAGATGAAAAAGGACGTGCTCAGCTTCCGACGGAACTCGGTGTCGTTCCTGCGCCTGTAGTCAAAATACACAGCATACGCGGCGAAGCCGACCGCGACAGTGACGGCCGCGACAGTGATGAAGGTGGTTGTGGACCGGCCGCTGTCCATGGTGGATTGAGTTGAACGAGCGTCATCGGCAACCCGCGTCTTTTTTCACAGCGCTTATGTAAGTGACAAGCACGCCCCTCTTGTGAAAAGGTTTCTTTCTGGTCTCGGGCTGATCTATTTAGCGGCATAAAGAGTGTTGCGAGTTCTGCTAAAGGCCTGTTTATAGCGTCGTCTTGCTAGCAGCCCCGGAGACGTTGGGCGGGTGGATGGGGACGGAGAGCGCAGGGACCGGGCCGATCGTTTATTTTGACGGAAAAGAGTCCCACGGGCGACCGAACCGAGGCGTCCTTGCTCTGTCATCTCCGCTCATTTTCTCCTCCGTACTCACCGACTGGCCGAGTCCTTCTCCGGCCATGAACGGCCTTGCCACCGAGCAACAGCACTCCCAATCTCTCCTTCAAGACTCCCACATTGATGCTGCTGCACCTGCTCTTCCCAATGGTGCTGGTTCCACCACCAATAACAACGACGCTCTCTCATCACCCCACGATTCCCCGGCATCTGCAGATCCGAATCCTGCGCCTCGAAGTGCCACAGATGTATCTCCGGACGCTCTAGCTTCTTCGACTCCCCAAGCTGCATCGAACGGCTCTGGAACGACGGAAGCAGCAACGGTCCAAAAGGTGGAAGTAATTGGAAGTTCGAGTGACAAAGGCGAAGGTTCGGGTTCGGCTAACGCACTCTCGGAGACCGTGAATGTGAAGGAGGAGGGGGAGCTTCTGCTGGACTCTGTCAACGGGAGGATTGAGCTGTTGGAGCATGAACAAGAGGTCGCTGTGGGCTCAGATGAAGGAGGTTTGATGGGGAGTGACGACGGTCCAACTTGGGTTCCTGAGCCTGAGAACGAGCTGAAGCGCGTAAAGGTGAGCACCGTCTCTCGTTTGCACAGCTCAAGTCTCCACGTCGCGTCCTCTGCAATATGTGGCATGCACGCTGCGTCAACTCATTCCCATACCGAAGACTCGACGTTTCTCATCACATCTCCCATCCATCACATCCCCATATCGCTTACACGTTTCCTCAGGTTTACGAACTAATCGGCTCACGATGGATTGACCAAGGAACAGCGTTCTGCTTCGGCCAGTTCTCCGAAGAATCCAACGAGGCTCTCCTTATCGCCAGGTCGGAAAGGAATTACAACGACATTATCCTATCAACGACCATTCGCTCCAACGATGTCTACCAACGCCAGCAAGGTGAGTTGTATCAACCATTTGACGTCGCGCTTCTCCTTTCCCTCGGCCTGCTTTCGCACACGACCGTGACAAGCCCCTGACGGCGTGAGCGTGCACGTCTTTTCGTCTCATCTTCTCAGCCTTGAACCTACGCTGATGGCATCTACTACATCCCAGACACACTCATCGTATGGACCGAACCTGATGGCGTGGACTATGCGCTCAGCTTCCAAGATCCCGAGGGTTGCGCCGAAGTGTGGAACTTTATTCTAGAAGTGCAACGCCATATGAACGCATCAGGCACGTCTTCAAGACCAATGCTCTTCTTCAGAATCTCTGACGGGTCTGTAGACGATCCAAACATATCGTCCCCACTCCTCGGAGAGACTTCTGTTACCACAGCCGGCATCATTCGTTCAGGGCACCTTCCAACACCGCAGATGGGAATCATCAGCGAGATTGAGAGGGCAATCAAGTCGTTGGCGCGTACACAGCAGGTGAAGGAACGTATATGTGAATACATTCAACATGAAGTGAGTGCCATACTTCGCTTGCTATTACATTTTCCCCCCTTCTATGCCTGCTTTTTTCCGCTTGGTTGGACAATGTCCCTTCTGTTACTCCTTAGCAAGCTAGAATACATTCGTTCTGTGGCCGCAGTTATGTGTAATCTGTGCGTTTGCTACAAGACAAATAGCTGATCATGAGCCCGCCCTCGCGCATTGTCCTTTCCATCAGGAGTACATCAAGTCACTAATTGAAGTCATGCATACTGCCGAAGATCTGGAGAGTTTGGAGAACTTGCATGCACTGTGTAGTCTTATGCAAACGATTCGTGCGTCCCTCTTTTATTGCAACAATGCGAGTAACTCCATTTATTCTTCTCAGTTATGTTAAACGATCACTCAATGTATGAACACATCTTGGAGGATGAAATATTTTTTGGTGTAGTCGGTATATTGGAATGTGAGTCCTCTATTACCTTCTGTTATACTTCGCTCTTAACAAGCTTCTAGATGACCCGGATTTTCCAGGACATAAAGCCAACTACCGCGAATTCCTCCACAATACAGCGCAGTTTCACCAACCCATTCCCGTGCGCGATATGGCTGTACAACGCAAGATCCACCACACCTACCGCTTACAGTTCCTTAAAGACGTTGTCCTCGCCCGAGCCCTCGACGATTCAACATTCAATGTCCTCAACTCCTCCATCATCTTCAACCAAATCGACATCATTAATCACATCCAGCAAGATCAGAGTTTTCTGCGCGAGGTCGTACGGCTATTTGTGGACGAAGAGATGCTCACTGGTGGCGCTCGACGGGGTCAGCAACCACAGCAGCTCCAACAACCACAAGGCCAACAGCAGAACCAGCCTCCGCATATGATCATCAGCTTAAACGGCAATGGAGACAACGTCAGTAAGCCCGATTCTGCCATGCCGATGGACGTCGACCAGAAACCAGCAACCTCAAGTCCGAAGCCAGTCAACGGAACGGTCGCTTTAGTGAACGGACGAGGTGCTAAATCCCAAGGTACCTACGCATTCGCACCTCCCGACAACCTGACAGAGAACGAAATCGCCCTCCGCCGCGAGGTCATCCTCCTCCTTCAACACCTTTGCACGATGGGCAAGAACGTACAGATGCCTGCCCGGATGACGCTTTTCCGCTCGCTCGTCGATCGCGGGATCCTCTTCGCTGTCCAGTGGGGGCTCAGCCTTCCCGAGAAAGTTGACGCCAATCGTCCGGTCATCAGTGCCGCTGGCGAGGTCCTCTCGTCCATGCTGGATCACGACCTCAATGGGGTTAGGGGCCATGTGCTAAAGCAGGTTGTGGCGATCGAGAAGGAGCGCGAAGCAGGGAAGAAGGGCGCGGATAAAGCGGAGACAATCTTGGAGATGGCGTGCAGGATCATGGCTACGAGCAAGGATTTGGGATTCCAGAGCCAGATCGGGGATGCGTTGAAGGTGTGGATGGATGTACCTGCAGCGGACACAAACGCGGCGGCTAGTAATTCGGAGGTGAGTCGTTATAATTTTCTGTTCTTCTGGTGTAGAAGATGACCGTCGAATCCAAGGCTGTAGGTCCTAAGCCTCAACTGCCGGTTCGGAGGGACGATCCGGGTACGGAGCGCTACATGGACTATTTCTATAAGGACTGCATCTCCATCCTCCTGAAACCACTGGCGGACCTGTCGGAGTGGAAGAATTTTCCCCGACCAATCCTCCCTCTTACCCGCGATGAGACGAATCGATTTGTCTACTTGTGTGATCTGCTCTATAGTTTCATCCTCCAGCACCATTTCAGAAGCCACTTCCACCTCATGTCATCTGAATTACTTCCGCGTGTGGCAACGCTCTTCAAGGCCAAAGATAAACATCTCAGGCATGGTGAGTAATTGATACCTAATGATCATAAATAAGCACTTAAACTTGCTGCTAGCCGCATTTCGTATCTTCCGCTTGCTTCTGAAGCAAAATAACCCCAATTCCCATGTCCAAGTCCTTAAACATGATATCATGAAGCCGATTCTGGACCTGACGATCCAGGAATCAACGCGAGACAATCTGCTCAGCTGCTCATGTCAGGAATACTTTGAACACATGCGCAAGGTGTGTCTCACGGCTCCTTTTTATGCATTCATAGAGTTCTAAACGGATGATTGCCGGAACCAGGAGAATATGAAAGATCTGATCAGGTTCTGCATGTCGAAACATGAGCCGGAGATCCAGCGTCTTGCCAAGAGCCCTCTCGGTGGCCAGCGGTTTGAGTTGTTCATCCGGCGGTATGAAATGAATATCGCACCGCCCCCAGAGGAGTCTACACCCGATAGGTACGTCATTTGTCGTCTTTGGGTTTAAGCGATTGATTGACTTTTCCTCCGTCCGTTAATTAACATTAGATCGACCGCGGATCGCGTGTGGTCAGGTCCCGGCCGTGCCCTCGACCTCGAGGAGGAAGATTATTTCAACGCCGATGACGATGATAGCGAGGTTATTCCTTCGATCAGCCAACAGCATTGGAACCGGTCCGCAGGGACAACATCACCCCTACCTGTGAACAATACTGGTATGAAGCGGAAACGGAGAACAGCTGTTGGTGCTGCAAGTAAGGCGTATCGACCACCACTCAAGACACCTCAACTCAGTGCTTTGGTTGATTATGGCGAAGACGATGACGAGACATTAGTAACTGGAAAAGCAATCTCAGCTCTTGGTCAATCGTCCAGCCCTGGTTCTCAAATAGGGGATTCTTCCAGTAGTCCCAAACTATCAGGCCGATCTCCGTCTCCATCTCCCACCACCTCTCCAATACTACAATCACCACCACCCCCCACCAGCCTTCCGCCCAAGCGTGCACTAAAAGGTGACGATGACGATAATGTTCTAGCAAGTCTTGTTCGCACAAGAACACGGTCACAGGCTTCAGTAGCTCCTAGTCCCATGCGGGCTAGTGAGAAACGCCGGCGAACAGAAGACGAGGATGACGAACTGCTCGACCGTCTCAAATCGTCGAAAAAGCCCGACCTCGGCAACCAAAAGGAAAGCACTCCGTCAATAGGCGGGCGACTGAAAAACGGAGACGACCCTCCGGCGAAGAAGATCAAGGTGAAATTTGGTCCCCTTGGATTAGCTGTCGCATCTTCGCCGAATTCAACACCCACGCCACCGGCGACGACGACAATCACTTCAACGTCAGAACCGGGCAAGAAAGACGGAGATACAGGCTAACAGTTCCTCTCTCTTTATCCTTCGTTACACTGGCCCTACGGACCTAATTGTCACGTTGTTCCTTTCATAATCTTTGTATACACCCAACGCTGCTAGACTTCTTTGCTCACTACTCACACAGTTATCACTCATGCTCGGGCCCGTTTGTGCACTTAATTATCCCTTCGCATTCAGTTGTTGGGCTCATGATTTTGTATGTAGGTAATGTTTTCGAACCATGCTCTATGTACTTATGTGTCATGCACCGCTCAGGAAATGTGCTACTATCCATATGTGAATCTCTCAGAATCTTCCACTCCAGTTTCCCTTAGGCATATTGTGGCACCATTCTAAGAGATGAGAGGGGAATAAAAAGCAGTCTGTTGTTGAGAATTCGTAATACACATCGTAAATAGATACTGATAGGAAAGGCGAGGACTGCAGAGATATAGAACAATCGCACCGAAAAGCGAGTAAAAGGCGTGCTTAGGTCATCGCAGAGTGAACCAAACGCACGAGTTAGAGTGTTGAAAATAAGAAAGAAAAACGTATGGGTAAGGTTACTGTTTGTAGTTGAGAATAAGTCAACTCGGAAACACATGAAACAATATGGAAATCATGATCTTGGGCAGAGAGACGAAAGGAAGTGTGTTTGTGTATAATGGGATGGAACATGCGTTCAATTAGTGGGTGGTGTAGAAAAATGGGATGGGGGACACACACTGAGACATAAGAGAGGAGAAAGCCCGTAATGTAATGGTCATAAATGATAACGATGCTTCATGTGAGGATTGCAAAAGTATATGATTTGTGGACACGTAAGGCGGTAGCAAGAAAGGGGGCAAAGAAAGAGGATGAGAAAGGCGATGGCGAGCAGGATTGGTTACTTTGATTTGGGTGCGGTAATAGATATCGATGGGACAGCAGGCAGGACGGACGGACGGAGATCAGGCAGACGGCGAGAACAGGAGACAGACTAGACAGAACAACAAACAACATGTCCTAAAAAGATATAGCGAACACAGAAGACGAGAAAGTGGAGGGAGAATAAAATAAGACAGTGGATATGCAAATGTTTCTTCAGATCACTGAGAGAATGGAAATGGATGGGCATGGGCATGGGCAGCGGACGTGGGTGCGGAAACTGATGCGAGGATGACGAAATGGAGGGAATAATACATAGGATATATTGCAGGATTGAGTGCAGTGCGTGGACGTTGTGCGTATATGCGTGCGAGGAGGATGAGAGAATGTGGAGACGACTTGCAAAAAATGTGGGTTGATGTTGCGTTAATATGTTGGTTGGGGTGTATGGGATGTTGGATGACGATGAAAACATGTTGAAATGCGCTGGAGAAAAAGAAAGAGATCCACCCCGCGTGCAGCCAGCCCTCTATGTATTATCGGCAGGTCGGAAACGACGATAAAATGCATGAAAAAATAAGAGCAGACAACCAGCGTCATCACCTAGTCGTCAAGATGACCGTGCTGGTGTTGTTGTTGTTGTTGGTGCAGATGCATCTGCTGCTCATATCGAGTGT